TCTTGGGAAAACAGTCGCCACTTCCAACGATCCTGAATGCTCTGGTGACGTGTTTGAAGGACGAAGAGTCGGATGTGAGATCGAGCGCAGTCGATACCTTGGGAAAGCAGTCGCCACTTCCACTAACGATCCTAGATGCTCTAGTGTCTTGTCTCGATCATCCGAATGCAAGCCCTGAAGTGGAAAAAGTATTAAGGAGTCAAAGAGACTTCTATTCTATTCTTCCAACGTTGCAAGGACACAAGCTACAGAGCCTATTTAAACTTTGGCTGCAAAGGAGTTTTCGTGAGGATGTGAGTTGTTCCATATACAATGGGAAAATATTTATTCGAATGCCCGAGGGTTTTAATGAAGTTATCTTCAAAGCACCTATCCAAGAAGAGAGGTTTAAACTTGAGATGGAAAAAATCACAGGGAGCCAGAGGCACGTCTCACTATACTGAAATCCTTTCGAGTCCGGTATTTAAACGTTACTGGTCAATACGCTGACGATCCGAGAAGAATAAGATTAAATCTGTCAGGACGATAACTGTATTTTTACCTAAATATAATTGGCGAATTAAGCGATGACGCTTAACTATATCTAGAGTAATGTGCCCCACTCTATGCCAGTAGAATCTTTTAAATGTGTTTGGGTGGAAACCGGTTTTGCAATACTCTGTAGTCAGATAGGCAAGCTTCCATAGCCCAATGTGCAAGCACATGCTACCCTCCCCTCGAAGGGGGGCTCCCAACTCGACATAATTCATGGATTGGATCCGATGAAATCCTCCTGTCAAACTTATTGTGCAACTTGAGGGGATGGAGAGCTCTGTTCTCTATCTACTTGTCGAGGTACTGAGGCTCCTTTTATAGACATGCGAATGCTACATCGTTGCACAGAGCAACCATCTGTAACATCGTTAATGTTTCTGCGGTGGGGCATATACACAACACCTCTCTATCCAACACCTCCCTTTGACCATCGGATCCAGTCTGTGGACCACCCTGACAAGCTCGATTGATCATACTTGACATGATGCACGCATTGGATCCGATGAAATCTGTTGAACTGTGAAACAATATGTGGCAACGATTTCAACGTGGCAATGAATGTTCAGCTAGACAAGGATTTCGTCTACGAGCTGAACACGGAGACACCGAAAGATGGCGACAATCTTTGTCTATATAAACATGTGAGGCAGGACCTCAACTTGATAGAGAACAGAGCACTCTTTCAATCCACGAAGTTCAACAGCTAGCCAATCATTTATGACAGACTAGGATATTTGCAACACTCACTCAATAGGTTGTATCACCATTAACAGGCAGCAATGGTGACGTACACTCATTAGATAGATATATAGATGGGCTCTATCCTACACTCATTAGGAGAGCCAGAGCAGTCTTTCAATCTCGAGTGCGATCAGTAGAGCCTGTCTGGGTGGTCCACAGACTGGATCCGATGAAATACCACGACCCCATCGGATCCAATCCATGGATCATCTCGACGTCGAGACTTACCCACCCGTTCACGCTCGATTACGAACCATCTTGAGTGTGATTAATAAAGCTTCTCTAGGTGGTCCACGGACTGGATCCGATGGGAGCTGGCGCGGAAAATATTTAATCCGATGGCGGTGTACCGGATAATTGTTAATCCGTTAAGAGTGGACGGGAAAGTCTTATCACGTGATTAAACTAACAAAGATGACGTCAACTTCTAGCCAATCAGAGGCCGGTGTACAGAATAAGACTTATCACGTGATTAGTGTACTGAATAGTATTTTCGCTCACTAATCAAGGTGTACCAACTAGCCAAGGGGGTGTATAGAATAGGCGCTGCGTTGAGCGCTTGGCTGACACGCCAAGTCTAATAGCCTCGAGAGACTGGCACTTATACATCCGCTTTCACCTATTGCCTCTCCTACTACAGGGCTACTTAAGCGTTCATTGTTGGCCAGCAGAATAGGCAATGCTGGCTTGGCGTGTCACCTCGACTGGCTTGGCATTATCACTCTATAGTGACACCTGAGGCAACTTGTACCCTCAACCCTTTCCACCTATTTATGTTGACATTGGTCAGAGTGTGCTTTGAGATAGATCAATCAATCTTCTCTCCCATACAGATCATCATTCATAATCTCTCCCACCTCAGTGCACCCACCTCTCTCCTCAGTACACGCTTGACTCATCAACAACTTTCCCTGCTTGATTCTTCTACCAGCTTTTTCTACTCCTTCAACATTGCTCCTTCCGGCCTTCGAACCTCAACATGAGTACAATTTGTGGACCCAGTGATGGGGCACCTACCTGTACACCCATGTCAAGGTCATCTTCAAGCGAGACTACGTCAAAAGAGACTACGGCAGCACCGGAGATATCGCCCTTGAAGGGATTGGAAGACGCTCGTATCTATACGTACAAAGGGATCCGAGACCTAAAAGAACGTGTCAACTTGCAGTCCGCCGCGTTGATGGACGGTCGCACGAATCAACAGTACCTTGTTTTCAGGGGTGTCACAAAAGGCCAGCTTGAAAAAATTGACCATCAGCGCGCCAACATAGGGAAGCATACTCGGATGAGCCATTACGCGGATAACAATCTATTGGTTATCAAGCTGATGCCCTCAAAGGCACATGAAAGCGCGCACCTCACACTAGCCCTGAGACTTAATAACGCATTTATCAGAATGGGCCTCCCAGAAGACGGCTTCTGTCCTACTGGCGGGACAACGTACAAACTCCCTAATTCCTCTAAAGAGGGTGATATGGGATTTTGCCCCCTCCCGGCCCGGGAAAAGGAATCTGACTGGCCAACAATTGTTTTTGAGTCCGGGCTCTCTGAAACACTTACTCGTCTAAGACATGACGCAGAATGGTGGATAGTCAACTCTGGAGGAGATGTCAAGATTGTCATCATCATCTCAATTAAGCGAGCACAGAAGACGCTGATGGTCGAAAAGTGGTGCTCTTCTCCGCCTACCGCATATAGACCAGCTACCAGAAGCCACCCAAATCCCAACGCTCCAATTCCGACAAAAGTCCACGAGCTTACTATCACCCAAAATCCCACTCCACAACTAGGTCCTCCTGCTCAGTCGAATATCATCGGTCAGCCAATTGTCACCGTTCAGCCAGGCACTGTCTCAGTCTATGACGTTGCCGGAGCGCCTCTGATTCTCGAATTTGACAAAATCTTCCTCCGAGCCGCTGTACCGCCAGAAAGCGACTTCGTCTTTAATGACGCGGATCTTGCGACCTGGGCGGATCACTTCTGGAAGAGCCTTAAGTAGAGACACCGCAAAGGTTGTGGCAGGATCGGGGGAACACATTATGGGACTGGTAACGGTTAATGGTGGGTCGGGCTCAATGCTGCGCTGTTGTACAGCATAAAGGACAACAAAAGTGTCATCACTTTCCCAGGGTTTTTTCTAAGGGCTTGTTCAGGGCAACGGAAGTACCATCCTTGTCGAGGTTCACTTAAGAGCTTATTCAGGACAACAGAAGCGTCATAGGTTTCTGTCAAACAATGAATGCTAAGAGAATATGAATCGATTGCTCTGCTCTTTAGCAACTAGTCCTACCAGGTGCTGATATTTATACAGGTTTTGTTGACCCCTTTTCTTCTCCTATTAGAGGCAGATTTCCCGGCGACGACATTACCGTTCAACGCAGGTTGCAGGGAAATTTCCCGCAGCATTCTTTGCAAGGATGTCGTCGGCCACAAAAGCAAGGAGGCTTATCGCTCCTTTGTCCTTGAAAGGTTGGGAAAGCGGAATGTGAATATGACGCACTCTTTTCAGTATTTCTCATAACACGTCGAATGTTTCGAAACTCCTCAAGTAGATCGTAGAGATCTTGCGAGCAATCACCCTTCATGATTTGAGTAACTTCGCCTTTTACCCAGGCTTCTTCAAAACCTTGTACGGCAACGAGGAAACCGTAGAGAGGACGTTCACCCTTCACGCCGGGAAGGTCCATTGCTTTCATGTCCGCACAGACCTTTTCCCATGACGATAACCACTTGTCGACGTCGCGTGAACGTGGAGGTTTCTTTAAGTCGTTACATCGACGAATCAACTCAAGTTCTCTCGCACGGTCAGACGGTGCAAGACGCTTCTTGAGAGCCGTTAGCTTCTTCCACGGGATGTCACAGTTCGTCAGTATATATGTGAGGTTTTTTTGCGTGAAACCGTGTTAACGATGATAATATTGAGGTTCTTGAGTGCTTGGTTCTGGCGCTCGAGCTTCTTCGGCTTTTGCTTGTAATCGTCTCGTTTGTAATCATATTGTTTGTGCTGAGACGGACTTAGGTCATCGAAAGTCGTTGCATCAGCGTTTACTGACTTGAAGTCAGGGATTTGAGGCTCTGCTGGTGTTGTTGTTTCGATGAATCTGTATACTGCCAAACGTCGACAGCTGTGGCCTGTTCTTTGATCATGAATAGCCATTCATCCAAGTCAGAAGGTTGATCGAGGATCAGCGTAACTTTTTGGGCAGGAGACCGACATCGTAAGTTGCAAACGTTGTTGTAAGAGTGGATGCAATGATTATTGGATTGTCACCGGGCTTGCAAATAGATTGTGGCTCGCGCGATCCTCCATCGATATAGGACTTAGGGCAGAAATACAAAAAAGGAAGGGCCCCCTCCTATAGTCCATCTCTAACGAACTCATAGATGGGGCGCCGCAGCCAGTGAAAGCTTCAGCCAGACAAGTTCAACTGCAGAAGAGTGACCTCCCAACGGTATGAACAAGACGACATCATCAACAATCACTGGCTGGAGCATTACGTTTACCCATCTAGGGCACCTAGAAAGCTAGGCCGGACAACCCTCTTACCTTACCTATGATCGAACACTAGTAAGGCCCCTCAATTCTATCGGTTCGACTGCAAGCCGAGCGTTTTACCACTCGGTTACGTCCTTGATAGGTCAACCACGATTTGGTGTCAATTTTGAAGCAGTTTTTGGCAATATAAAATATAAACTTGATTTTTTTTATTTTTTTTAATTTTTGGAATCGCCTAGTTAGGGCTTGGCGCTGTGTGGCGACGCCAAGGGCGACGTGCTGGCCAATCACGTAAGCATATGGCTTGGCGGTGTCACGTGGGTACTCCCCTTTCCGCCGCGTCATCGGATCCAATCCGTGGACCATGTTCGGGGGGGCAACCTACTCGATAGAAGTCGATATCCTCGATATCGAGATGGGCCATGGATCGGATCCAGTCTATGGACCACCTAGACAAGCTCTACCGATCGCACTCGAGATAGTTCGTAACGGAGCGTGAACGAACAAGCCTCGACGTCGAGATGATCCATGGATTGGATCCGATGGGAGCCCTACTGATCACACTTGAGACGGCTCGTATGGGAACGTAATTGGTCATTTCACTTAATTACCGAAATTTTATATGGGTCATTTGATTAATTGTATTGCAGTAATGTTCGCCATATAAATCTGTCCCGGATTTTGACCCAGACCCTTCTGCGAAGGTTGCCCAACAGGGGAGATTAGTGCCTCGGCAGATGGTCGTGGGTGCCGAGAAAAAAAAAGTGGTATACAGTATAACATCCCCCAGAAAGGGGGGTATGATAAGTGGTGACGCCAAGGCTTGTAAGGATCCTCGAGCGGAAATCGACCTTTGATAAGGCCAACAATTTTGAAGAACCAGGCTAGTAAAGTGAGGTGAGAACATCCTCAAATAAGGTCCCTCCTTGTTGAGGTTGGGTGAATTTGTCCAACAGGAATTCCCATGCACGGATTCCGCAACCGAGAGCACCCCTGTGCTATTTTACAGCTCCATGATCAAAAACCATTCTACCCCGTTACAGTAGAGGAGGTGGTCAGACAATTGGAATTTTGAGCGACTGGTCCTAATGCTCCGCGTAAAGTCCTGGGACAAAATACTCGTGACATCCTGATCCAACTTCAAACCGCTGCACCTGTCCGTCTGGACCAGCCGGCAACGTCACATCGGCTTTCGTATTGGGTGGCACTTCCACAATCAGATGAAAGCCGTTCCTATGCTTAATGAAATCATCCTCATAACACTCAAACCACCAATTCGTCGAGACTAGCCCGTAGGGACTTAGAAAGCGCGTCTTTGCACTGGTGAGCTGGCCTCCGGGAATGGGCTCCACGGCGATCCTTTTCCAACCTGGTTCAGCCGGACTCAGTCCTCCAATGACTCGGTGAATCCAGCTTGCCACAGATCCCAAAGCGTAATGATTGAAGGATGTCATTGACCCAGGGTTGAGTTTGCGGTCCGGAAGCATGCTATCCCAACGCTCCCATGTCGTGGTACCACCCATCACCACCTGGTAGAGCCAGCTGGGTACCCTTGTTTGCAGAAGCATTCGATAGAAGAAGTCTGAAGCACTGTACTTGGTCAACGCATGGCCTAGGATCGGAGTTCCAACAATCCCCGTCCCCACTTTGAAATCGTTCTTCTCAACGGTATCGCGTAAGAGGGAGACGGCGGCGTCAGCATGCTCAGGTGTCGCAAAAAGGGAGTAATATAGTGACATTGCCAGTGCGGTCTGCGTCTGGATTTTGACGACCCCGTCGGCGGAGATCCATGCTTTTTGGAACTCTTTCTTCAGAGTCCCATGCTGGCTCTGATAGGATGAACATTCGTCCTGGCGCCCAAGCCAGGAGCTCAATTTCGATATCAGACCCGTGGCATGGACGAGGCAGGCATCTGAGACGAGAGCCGGATCAGTGGTTGCCTCTTCGGGATGCTCGGGTGGTGCCCGGGGATCAAGCCAGTCCCCAAATTGAAAGAAAGACCGATCCCATAGACCCGATTCATTTCGCGGTATGCCCTGGTCGATCCACGCTTTGGAGCCTCGATACTGCTCTTGCAACATGACTAAGTCGCCGTACGAAAGATAGACTTCGTGTGGTATTTCAATTACGGCATCTCCCCAATAAGCGAGAGGCTTGTGGCCGAAAATTTGGTCCACCGGACCCAGTGGCACGGTCATTGGCGTCCAACCTAATTTCAAGTATGAGCATCACGGTTCACCGGTGCGCGGAAAATTCCCCGACGAACTCACAAGCGTTGTCTGCAAACTGCTCAGATTGCATATCCTTAAGCCAGCCCCGCCAAAACCCCGAAGTGTCATAGAGGAAGTTGGCGGTCGGAGCGAAGGCACACGCGTCTCCCGTCCATCCCAATCTTTCATCTCTCTGAGGACAGTCGGTTGGGATGCTGACAAAGTTGCCTTTCATACTCCATTGAACATTCTGATGAAATTTGTTCAAAAGAGGATGGGAGCATTCAAACCAGCCGGTCCGTTCCATGTCCGTATGGATGACCACTGCCGTCAGTGAGTTCTCGTCCAACGGGGTACTGTTTGTCGGCCAACCATCGATCTGGACATAACGGAATCCATGGAACGTGAATTTGGGCTCCCAGATCTGAATGCCCTTGCCAGAAAGAATCAATTCATCTGTAGCGGTGGAAATGCGCAACGGTCGCGTAGCGACCTCTCCCCCTTCGAGAGCTTTTGCTCCCAGCCAAAGAATATCAGCCAATATCGCTCAAGTAAAGGAGAGAGGAGCGTGGAGCATGAAAGGGACCTGCGCGTTCCAGATGCGCGATATATAGTTACCTTCGGTATGTATCATTCGAACTTTTTGTCCACTCAATCCCTCGATTTTGAGCCGAAGCCATCCCACCACATTCTGTCCAAAGTCCACAATCGTCTTCCCAGAAGGCGACATCAGGAATTTCTCGGGCTTTCTCTCTTCCCGTCGTCTCACCGGAGGCCCATCTGCTGGCACCAAGCTTCCCTCCAACAGGGGCAATTCCTTCACCGCCAGCCAATCACGGTTGTTAAAGGCAGCTGTCGACCAACCTTCATATTCGATTCGCGAATCGTAAATTTCGCCGTCGTATATTTCAGACTTGACGATGGGTCCGATGTTGGCCTCCCAGGTAGCGTCACTGGGGACGAACTGCTTGGTTCCATTGGGACGAGCAATCACAAGGAGACCAAGTAGGCCAAGAGTGTCTCCATAGATGTTCCGCACTCCTCCATTCCACCCCAGTCTCCCGGCGTACCACCCTTCCCCGACAGTGGCGCCAATAACGTTCTCACCCATCTGGATGAGTTCGGTGACGTCGTAAGTATCATAGACCTGGCGGTGCTTGTACGATGGCCACCCCGGAGCCAGGACTAGGTCACCAACGCGTGTCCCGTTGATCTCGGCCTCGTACAGACCAAACGCCGTGATGTACAGTCGGGCAGAAGAGGGAGGTCTGTCAACGGAGAATTTCTTGCGGAATAGAATCGGGCGGTGAGGACCATCTCCTTCGGTGTCCCGGTCGGCAGCGATGGCCACCGCGCCGGACCAGGATTTCTTGTCCAGCAGTCCTGCCTCAACCGTCACTCTGTCCGACCATGGTGTGGTGGGCTGGCCGGCTTGCCCGTATGCTCTCACTCTGACTGTTGCTGATGCACCAGATTGCAATGGGTCAGTAGGCCAGGCCACATAAAGCGAGTCGGGTGAGTTGACGTGATAGATGGATGGCTCGCCACCCTCATGGCTGATCTCGATGTCATAAGCACTCTGAACCCAGTTGACGGGATTCCCTCCGAATCTCCATGAGATTCGAGGTCGTGCTTCCCCGATGCCCAGTGGGACTCGATAATGTTCGAAGGAAAGCTTTGATATAAACACTGTCATTGTCGTTGGTGAATACCACCTTCTCCTCTGGCGTGGAATAGTTTCACTAGAAACTCCCTCCCGCGGTGGGGGAGTGGTCATCACTTTATAGCACCCGCGGGACAAGCCATCCACATAATTATGTCGGGATCGTACCAAAACAGTAATGCCGACAAACCACTGCTTTGGCCAAGCACAGTAAGAGTATGTGACTCGTCTGCGGCTCGAAGCCTCCAAAGCAAACCGGGTTATGCCGACAATAAATTCTCGTCCAAGATATACATCCGAAAATAAAGATTAAATTTCAATCTGTCCGCTTCCTCTACTGGCCAAGATAAAACAAAACGGTCATTCAGCATCATGACCGCTTCAAAGGTCCTCCGTGTTGGAATGCTTGGCGCCGGTGAGGTTGCGCAGCAGGTCTGGCTGCCAACGCTCTCACTTCTCAGCGAATACTTTGTGGTTGACTTCATCTGCGACATCTCGCCCCAAGCGGTGGAGTTCAGTCGGTCACGTTTCCACATCCCGAACGGGGACACATCGCCGGATTGTCTCTTTCAGGCCCCTTCAGTGGACGTCGTCTTCGTCCTCACGTCCGATGAACTTCATGAAATTCACACCATTGCCGCGCTCGCTGCAGGAAAACATGTGTTCCTCGAAAAGCCCATCACCCTCTCCACCACCTCCGTACAACGGATCTTGGACGCGGAGCGTGGAGCTCCCAACGGGGCTAAAGTGTTTGTGGGTTACATGAGGCGCTATGCGCATTCCTTCTTGGATGCGTTCAAGCGTGAATTGAGTACGATCCCCCGCATTCTGTACGCTCGTGTCCGCGACTTTCCCGGCCCAAATCCAAAGTTTGTTCAACAAAGCGGCATCTCCGCCATCAAACCAACAGATCTCCCGGAATCTGGGTCCCCAGCCGCCATCGAGCGCGATCAGTGCTTACAAACACTGCTGGCCGAAGCGTGGGCGCCGCACCCCGTTGTTCCTGAACGCAGCACATATTGCCGCTTTCTCTCAAACCTGGGATCGCACGATCTATCATTGATGCGTGAGACATTGGGATTTCCGGACGCTGTGGCAGGAGTGTCGGTCCATGACCCCTTCTACTCCGCCATATTCGAATACCGGGATAAGTACGGCAACCCCTACGCGGTGACGTACGAATCCGGGTGGGACTCTGTCCTTCGCTTTGATGCACATATCGCGGTATACGGAGCGGAGAAAACCGTAAGTGTCCACTATGATACGCCATATATCAAGGGGTTGCCCATCAAAGTGAGGGTGGACGAGATCAACGAACATGGAGAGGCGACCATCCGGGAGATTCGAACGACCTATGAAGATGCATACACGACCGAAGCCAAAGAGTTATGGGCATGTCTGGTGGAGGGGAAAGAAATCAAGACATCGGCAACGGATGCCGCGGATGATGTGCGACTAATAAAGATGATGCTGGACCAATTCGAGAGACAGAAATGTGCTGGAGAAACAAATGGCTACGTTCGGCCGAACGTGGGACGTGTTGATGATAGTTCCCTGGAGTGAGGTTTTCACCTGTGGAAAGACTGTCGGTCACTCGCTTGCCGGTGTTGAGGTGTGACGGAGGATCAACGGTCCGGACGTGAAATTTCCTCAACAAATCTGTGGCCTCCCGGGAAAATTGCTGTTGGAACACGGAGGTATGAAGATCTTTAACATACAATCTGTGTTCCGAGACATTCATGGTCCAGATGTTGATCTATGAAGGGTGACCTCTGCTCCACGAAGGTATTCGGCCGCAAACAGTTTCGTGGAGCGTCGTATCGATGAAATATTGGGAGGGTAAAGATGTCAAGTAGAGCGCCGGATATACTCATTGGCTGATAAATATTGTCAAGTTACATGAATTCGGCTGTCGCTGCATAGTCCATTGACGCCGCGGACTTGGGAGACCTTCTCATTGAAGAAATATGCCACACTTCTCGTACAACTTGAGGTGAAGGAGTGCTCTGTCCTCTATCTACTTGTCGAGTTGCTGAGGGTTTCTTTATAGACATGCGAACACCTCGTCGTCGCACAGGGTAACCACCACCAACATCGTCGTCCACGGTAGCCTCTCACCAGCGTTTCAATGGTGGAGCCTATAGCCCCCTGTCTGACAAAATATTCTCTGACTTCGGATCGTGACTGAAACGTCAGCGACAGGAGTAGCACTTTTACAGTAGAATCCTGGGGCATCCCACCGTCTGGAGCGACCGTCTCAAGGAGAATGTCCGCCGTCATAGGTATGCAGACCGCATCATTTCCACAATGAAGAGCAAAGACTTGGAACCACATAAGCTATCTTTCCATAGCTAGCTCTGTCTCATCCGACTTGGACTAACGCCCTGGTTTGCCATAGAAAGCCATAACCTAGGCCTTCAGAGCTTTGGCTCCCGCCCAGCGGTCCATGAAGTAATATTTCGCCCTCCCATTGCCCAGAAACATTGCGTTAAACTTGTAAGTGTCGCAATAGTCCATCCCCAGAGTATTCACATCCGCAAAGTGTGAGTCCACCGGCGACATTCGGACTACTTGGGTATATCCAGCAATAGTGGCAGAAGTGGGTCCGTCTGTCCTGAGGCCGATAGCGTCGCATGCCTCGAATTAAGTTAGTAGTTTGGTATGCTCTCTATACAGGGGGGGAAGCATTCACCTTCTTTGAAAGAAACGTTGCAGGGGAACCAGTGTCCACGAGAAAATGCACCCAATAACCCTCGTCGTTCTCGCCATTGTGGACGACACATGGAACCATTGCACGGCGCGCTTCGCCGTACAAATAACCACTTACGATGTCGATCTTTCTCTTTGCATCATTTTCAGTCGCTTTCGCAAGGTAGTCTATGCCGAAGACATTAGAAATTTCAGTTCGCAACGTATTCTCAGTAATATCAGTAATCAGAACGTCATAGTTGTTCACTTTCAAGTCGCTGATCTCGCCAGGATCGTGAATATCGACATAGCCACCAGGGTGTGCGGTCTTTTTCCAACTCGGGAGAGCGTAGAGGTTTACTGGATTGGGGTATGAAGAGAAACGTTGGGCAAGTATATCATATCCAGAGCATGGGGTTTGCAAGATTCCGGCTTGGTTTGAGAAGGCACGGAGTAGATTGAGAGGAGCGTGGCCAAGAGGATGGCGAAGAGGATGGTGAAGGAGACTCCAAACAGCCTTGAAGGTCCGCTGGCTGGCGAGTGTCGACATGGTGGAGGAGAGCGGGTTAATCACGTGCCAGGCCTCCCTTCCGCTGGGGTAATGTTATTCTGTACACCACATTTTGTTATTCTGTACACCGCTTTTGATTGGTCCGGATTTTTATTTTTCCGGTTATCTGCGCAGTTCGAAGATACGTGATGTCACAACACCTAAGTCTGCCTATATAGAATGCAGAAATGATGGTTAACGATGGTATCCTCTGCACGGTCGATACCTCGTGCTGACTAAGGTAACAAACCAGCGCCCATAGGCTTGGGTGGGAACCGCCCATAAGCGGGGCAGTTGCCCCCCGGCTTATGGGCGGTTTCCCCCCGGTTCATGGGCGGTTTCCCCCTCCGGCTTATGAGCGGTCCTCCCAAGCCTATGGGCGCTGGTTTGTTACCTTAGTCAGCACGAGGTATCGACCGTGCAGGGGATCTCTACACAAATCCGGCTGTGTAGGCCACAATAATTTACAAAGTATACAGAGAAGCTCAAAATGCACGGTACTTATCTACCAAGGAAAAGGGAATCAAATGTGTTTATTGCTTCGCAACCACCTATAACGGGGAGAGTTTAACGCGTCACCCCTCCACAGCTACGCCACTTACTAGTGTTTTCTCGCCATCGCCGGGCCAACGGCAACAAGCTCTGTTAGCGCGGTGTACAGAATAACAGGATGAGAGCGTTAAGTGTACAGAATAAGGCGAGAGAGAGGTGGTGGTGTACAGAATAAGGAGAGTTGAGGCATGGTGTACAGAATAAGCAGGTTTTCCGGTGTACAGAATAACAAAAGTTGGTGTACAGAATAATACCCCCCCTTCCGCTGTCATGGCAGCCAGCGCCAATCCTATTAGGGAAAGCAGTGAGGCACTCCGGGCGCAGGCAACTTACAGGTAAGCACAAGATTGGCAGGCAGAAATGGATGACCTGCGCAAACGAAGCCTTAGAAATGCCGGGAAGTCATAGACTGGAGTCTAGAGAAGGAACGCGAGAGAGCAAAAGAGTAGGAAGGGTGCAGGTTGCAACAATGCCAAGCCACTATCATCACGTGATAATTGCCAAGCAAATATGTCACGTGGTTTGCCAACATTCCGCTTTTTTCCTACACCATTTGCCATGAAGTACATAAAAGATATGCCCATTTTCCTACAACAGAGTCCTGCACCCTCGAAGTGTTATGCCGATTCCCCCGAAGGAGCCTGGACCTCTTGCAAAATTGAACATTTATGACCTGTTCCATGGTCAGTGACAACGCATTTTTGGTCGTGAGCCTTTTTACCTTTCCATTTCCACGCTGCCACTTTCGTGGTATACATTTCTTCAATTTCCGCCAAAGTTCGGTCTTTTGTTTCGGGCCTGTCGGTTGTGAGATATGTTTAGAATTCTGGTGGGATGGAATCTGCCTTACAAATAGAGGTACGTTCCGAGGATGATAATCAGCATACACCCTGCAAAGACAAAGTCTGCCTGGGCCCCTATGTGCTCCGTAATATGCGGGATCACAAATGTTGTCACTATTGCTGTCACATAGGACCAAAACATAGACCAAGATGCGGTTGCTTCCCGCAGCCGGGCCGACGGCAACTCGGCTGGTAACAGCAGAAGCCTAGGTCTCAAATTAAAATTGGTGCTCACGAAGAGGCGGGAGGGAATCGGGGGAGGTTGCGGCAGCCGAGGAAGACTCACAGAGATTGGAATACCAGAGCGTTGAAGAAGCCGAATATAATGAACAAGGAGGCCAAGCCAAGCCGCTCTGAATCTGTAGTGAGGCCACTAGATGCCAATCCTGCAATCGCGATATCGAGAAGGAAGAGGATGGTGAAGCCTCCCAAGGCTGTTGGCCGTCTTCCCACCTTATCGAGTAGAATTGGTCCGACGCAGCCACCGAGGAAGTATGCGAGATAAATGATGACCGTTATCAGAAAAGGATCCTCGACACCACTTTGGACCAGCATGACCGTGGAATAGAGGAGGACCAATATTTGGCCTCCGACCTGACTGACACTCAACGATGCGCCAGCTATCAACGTGCGTTTGATGTTGGGCTTGCTCAGGATATCCCAGAAATGAACATCCTCCCTGGCCTTGGCGTTCTCAACCAGAGCAAGAAGTGCCCTCATCTCTGCCTCGATGAGGTCCATGTTGTTGTTGCGTATGGTCTTGAGAGCACAACGTGCATCGTCCATCCGACCCCGAAGAGCAAGCCACGTCGGCGATTCTGTGACAAACAGCGTCAACACGGCCAAGGTCGCAGGGACGACCACTTGGATGGTAAACGGGATGGTGTACTGGCGGTTATCGTTGATTTTTTCGGTGGCCCAAACAACCGTGGCGGCGATGACACTCACCGCAGAGGACCCAATGAGGGCAGATGCGATGGCTCTCGCGCGAGCATGACTGGGGACCATCTCCGACAGATACAGTCCGCTAATAGTATTCAACATGCTGATACCCATATCTAGAATGTAGTCAGCCTTTGTCAGAGCGGATTCCGGGTCCATTTTTAGAGGTCCCACTGTTCCAGATGCGTCCGCAGACCATCGCCGCCATATCTGGCGCGAATAGTTGAAGAATCGACCCGGGGACACAGCAGAATATATATGCGGACAAGAGCGACCGTTTCCTTCCCATCCGACTCTGCATCCAGATCGAAGCGAATGAACCAATCGCTGCTCCTATCAAAGGGACAGAAACCAACAGATTGAGGTTGGTTGCCGTGAATGCCGTGCCATGATCCTGATACTTCTGGATAAAGAGCGGTAAAGAGAGCACAGGGGACACGAACGAGCTGTCGTAACCGTAAAGGCCCCATGAAAAGCCAACGACAAGAACTGAAGAGATAAGTTACATGGTCAGGGTCTTCACGGCTCACAGTGTGAACTCACTGTTCGCTGCGACTCGCCAAGTCAGCCAACCTTTGGATTGAGAGACATCGTGATGGAGTTCTTCCACGTGGTCGCTATGTGTTTTCTCCATTGGAATTACTTTCATCAGAGAGACGCGTATTGGATTTGCGCGATTTTGGTGGGATATCCTGGGGAGGGGAACGAATTTATGTCTTCCCGACGTTGTAATGTTCTCCTGTAACCGGTAATCCCGACCCGACCAGGCATTTGGATTCATCGGCACTCTAGCCGATAAGAGAAAGTCTGGATTTGGCGGCTTTGCCGGTGGTTCTCTTTCGGTCCACGTCTCGATGGATATGGAACGGAGCTCGAGAGGGAGGAAGGCATGAAGGCTGGATCTACGTGCTATCTTGTCCATTGACCTCTGAAAGGGAGGGATAAAGAGGACCTGTATCTGGTAACCCTTGTTCAGTTCAGAACGGCCTAATATTCCATTCTACTACGAAGGCAGGAGAATATTTCACCCTGCAAGCCAACATGTTGACCTAGTGCTGACGCCAGGCTGCAACAGATTGCAGCATCGTCGACGGATACTGATTAAATAGGTATATCCTGCACTCATTGGAGAGCCAGAGCAGTCTTTCAATTCAAGTTGCACCAGAAATTTGACACGACATCTTATTGAGTGCGTTGGTTCGGCTCCAGAATAGTGAAAATGCCCTGAGCAACGTCTCGCTCAAAATCAAGGCCGAGATATTGCCAGAGGTCTTCATTATCCAACGCCCATGGTTCCATCACCCATGGTTCCAGCGCCGCGTCTGGTAACATATCCTCTGATTCCTGCCCTCCATCTTCCTCCACGTTATCCATATTCTCGACGCCGTTGGGAGCCCCAGCCTGTCGTCCACGATCATTTTTGGCCACTTGCAAACTGTCAGCGATACGGAGCAACGCCTTACCAAGCATATGCTTCGCTGCTGCGGCCCACCATTCGCCACTCAGGTCACCAAGGCATTCTACCGCCAATTCAAAATTTGATCGCGCTATGGTCTTCTGCTCAGAAAAGCCACTGTCATTCACATCGTACCAATATATCAACATGGCGGAGACGATACTGAAGATCGTGAAAGGCCAAGAAAACCGAAGGAGATTCTTGGACCGCAACACATTGAGGTTATGGATGATCTCATCAGAGTGCCGTCGGGCTTGCACTCGGCATGGATAGGTTCCCGTGGAAGGATCAAGATATGTTAGAAAAGGCCGTTGAATGAGAATTCGTACAGCATTTAGATGGGTTTGTAAGAACAACGACCACATCATTGCCGAGCTAACAGTGGTATTGGTCGTAATGGCTGGTTGGCCCCCTCCAAGGGTCATGGAAATCTGGTGACAGAGCAGATCTAGTCGACCGGAGAGACGGTCCCGGATCTCAAGCCTGGTGTGCCAATCCTTGTTGGAGTCATCTGCTTTCACACTGTAAAAAGATCGCATAGCGGTCTCAAGGATCAAACTCAGGGAGACATTGTAGAGCGTGGTCTGTGTCGTGATCAAATCTTCTCCCAGCAAATCATCCGTCGTCAGGGGCTCGACGTCGCAATCTATCTCATTGATCAACAGTGGCGTGCCTTCCTGCGCCGCGTTGAACCGGTCCAAGGCATACAGGCACCACCAAACTTTCTTCAACAGGGTTTCTTCCCCTGAAAGTTGGGAACCACGGGAGCGAGCATTCGGTGGCCTCCGACGATGTAGACCCAATTCATGTGCGAGTCTTATCGCAAGACTTAAGCAGTCCGAGGCCGAGTTGATCCCTTCTCTTCCTTCCCAATGGAGGCTGGCGAGGAGATTGGCCTGTATCGCTGGTAGCCGGTCTTTGATGAGATCAATGTCACATAGGGCCTGAAGCTTCGTGTGGAGTAAGTCACATCGTTCACGGATGCTTGTATCGCCCGACGGCGTGGATAATGGGCTGATGAGTGTATATCGTGACGCTGCAAGGAACACGGCCAATTGCAGGATTAGTGGTGGCGGGTCATCGGAACTGTAATACCGCGAAAGGAATTCTGCTCGATCCATAACTGGAAGCAATGGATGGATCCTGCTAAAATAGATGTCAAGGAGTTGCCCGCAGGTCTCTTGGGGTGGTAGCTCGAAGCATCCCAGAGACTTGAGATACTCTAGTTTGACAGGATGTATGAGTAACTCGGAATATGCTTGTTCCCAGAGCCACCTCGAAGAATTGGGGCAGCGCGAAGGTACCGCTGAGGCCAGGGTCGATCGTGGATCAGGGGTCCTGAAAGCACACAGGCCATTCACTATTTTGTACTTCAAGTCATTCCTCAGGAGCGCGCTGAGGGGATTGGTGTCGCCGAATATTTTGGTCATATTGAGCTCCTTGTCATCCAGCGCCGGGCCACGGTCGTCGTTATCCTTCGAGACCAATGCCAGCATGGTGGCATAACGAGCCTCGCTTTGTTCTTTCACACTAGACTTGGCGCTTGGCCACGACGAAGCCCTGTCCAGAGAAGGGACATCTTCGTAAGTACTTGGGAGGTCGACTGGCGTGTGGCTGGCCCCAGAGAGTGATATGTGGACGGCGACTTTATCGGCTGCTGGCTTTGATCTTTTCCTTCTTGGTCGAGAAGAACCTGAAGGGGCCACTTGTCCTGGAGCATGATCGGATGAACCTCCAATGAATGAGCAATCGAGACCTTCTCTTTGACAACGGTCGCAAGCAGGATCGGATGATCCATTCTCCCCATCCCTACTACATCGCTTTCGGGACGAGTGACACTGCGAGCAGGCCACTGCGGCGCGAGCCTTCTTTGAAATCGGCAGGGAAGAACCCTTGAAGTTGATCACCCCTTGCATGATCGATGAAAGCGCAATAAGTTATATGCAGAATTCTCCCTGGAGAATGTCTTGATAGATATCACGCACGAATGATTAGGAGTACTGAGTTCTTTACCCCCCCGCCTTTGACAAGCCCTCTCCGAAAAGGCCTGGAGTCCCCGTGGGGCGGAGTAGGTTTGAAAGCCTTACTGTTCCTGGCAATCCCGACGTTAATCATTTATTGCCACTAACTAGTTTGTCGGGATTGCTTTAATCGGCAGCCCCCCATAAAGCTGCTAGTCATATAGACCGTATTGGCTTCAATGCTCGTCTTTGTAGGAAGACCTGTTTCATCCCAGGTTGCTGAGGCCCAATGGCTAGGTCTCCTCTAAATGTGGCCGTTATAGGCTATGGTCTTTCAGCCCAAGTCTTTCAAATTCCCTTCATTGCCAATGTGCCTATGCTTAATCTCTACGCTATTGTGCAGCGCCAACCGATGCCACACAATGACGCGGGCAAAGAGCACCCTGGCGTGAAGATATATCGCAGTACCAGTGATCTGCTTCAGGACGCAGAAGTGGACCTGGTCGTGGTGGCCACCGCATCGCATACGCACTTCGACGTATGTAAACAGGTTCTTGAAGCAGATAAACATGGTGGTTCTTTCCTAGCCAGAAGCAATGGATCGTTTTCGCTGACTGAGTCTGACCACAGTTTTATGCGAGAAGCCCTTTACAATGACGGTAAAGCAAGCCGACGAGCTGATCGCTCTTGCGCATGAGCGCCGTTGCCTGCTTACCGTGTTTCATAGTTCGTCTGTCTTCAATGCGTGACTGTGAATGAGGCGACACTAAGCCTCTTCTCTTTTTCCCCTAGACAGACGTTGGGACTCCGACTTCCTGACGCTATCCTCACTCATTCAGAATGATGTTCTAGGTCGTATCGTCGAATTCGAAAGCCACTTCGATGTGCACTCGCCTTCCGTTCGTGCAGGATGGAAGGCTACCTGGAGAACTGAAACCGCAACAGGGAGTGGTGTTCTATATGACTTGGGCGCCCATCTGATCGACCAGGCTCTCGTTCTATTTGGCAAACCACGAAAGGTGACTGCATTTTTGTATCATCAGCGCACCGGGGACGCGAAATATGGAGACCCTGACTCGATGACTGTCCTGCTGCATTACATGGACGGCAAGTTAGCGACACTCAAGGCATCGGTAATAAATCCGACAGATAAGCAATTACGATATTGGGTACGTGGAGAGAAAGGCACGTTCAGAAAGGTGCGTTCTCCATGCCATTTTCTTTTCCGTTTCTGGACGTCTTTTCTTCGTAAGACATGGCACTAACGGTCGACGTCGACGAGGTAGTATCATCTCGATGTTCAAGAAAGTCAAATCGTGAACGAAAGACGCATGCCTGGGAGCCCTGGATTTGGCATTGAGCCGTCGAGCCACCATGGTCAGGACCCCTCTTCCCGGTGCCACCGTGTATCCTCGAATCTATTTTTTTGAGCCGCGTTGACACCGTCACTACAACTAGGAACCCTTACCACCGCACCTGTCAACGGTAACATAATAAGTCAGCCTCTTCCAACGTTAGCTGGACCGACCTATGAATCACTTTACAAGACCCTGGTGGAGGCGCTCCATGGCAACGGGGATGTGCCTGTCTCACCGGAGTCGGCAAGAGACGTGATCCATGTTATTGAACTAGCCATCCAGAGCGCGGCGCAAGAGAAAACGCTGTCTCTATGATCCATGACAACATTATGTCGGCTCTGTGAGCAACATCCATGTCCGCGTAATAGAAGCACTCCACTCTGGCCATGTCACATAACTTTTGCCGGGCCGAGCAACTTGGACTTGAAGTGATAGCCGCAACAGGACGGGGAAGCCGAATCTTAATTAATTAGTATAGTACTTACGTAGGAGAGGAGCTGGCCCAGAGCTGGCGATTGGGCATCCGAGATCAAAAGGGGACATGCCGCTACACTGTCATCCTTTCTCGGATCGGATTGACTGGGAACTGTTCCCATCATTCATTATAGTGTAGCAATGGATCATTCGTGCCTTAGGCTAGAGAAAGAGAGCTCAGTTGGCGCCACAAGCAATGTAAAAACTGCTTCGGAGCTCACGAAACGGGCTCACCCCGACCGTGCTGCTTTAAAATCACCTGCTCGCGACCCACCCTCATCTGAGTATCTTCTACAATTTCCGGCGGGTCTGTTACTTGGTGATTCCATGTGTTCACCCTCTGGCCGTTCTCTTGCTTTTGGGCTGCGGCGCGGTCTCTGACTTCTGCCTTCTCTTCCCCGCTGGCCACTCGCGCGATAAGTCTTCATCCGGACGAATACCTGTCAGACAGCCGGTGCCTAGTGCCAAGAGCCCCTATTCTGGCCTATATCGGGGGCTTCCCCCCCCATCCATAGTTGCACGAGTTTTCACCCCTTCTACCCGCATCTCGCTCCGTTCGACAATACCCAATAACAAGGCGCGGAACGCCTCTGCAAGAGTATCGTCTGCATAGCCCTTTGCCTGTCTCTGTTCGAACAATGTCCGCGGAGATCTTCCTTCAGAGTCCTTTGCTTCCACATTCAGACCTCTGATGTCAGGTGCAAGAAATAGTTCAATCGTCTGCAAATCGGCAAACTCCGCGATTATATGTAGTAAGGACTTGCCGTCATTTCCGACGGCACTCAATGCAGGTGCTGCGGCGAGCACTACTTTGAGAGCATCGTGTGAGTTAGCCCACACGCCATTGAGAAGAATGCTGTAGCCATGTTTGTCACGGGAGTCGAAAGGATGCGTGCGCCCTCTGCATTGTTGTTTAAGACTGCAAAGTCCAAGGGTGTCTCCTCCCAACTATCACGGGCATCGATTTCAGCATTTTTCTCCAGCAAGAGCCTGAGAATATTGTTTCGTCCATCACTTGCGGCGAGATGCAGAGGGGTTTCCTTGTAATCGTCCCTGGGACTGACGATGGCGCCGGCATTAAGCAGGATGCGGACACATTGCACCGCCCCATTTCGCGCGGCGAAATGCAAGGCGGTGCGTCCGGGGACGTCTCGCGGGTTTGGTCGCGCTCCACAGCTTAGGATTTGAGTAAGTATCCGACCATTCCCTCTGAATGCTGCCCAGTGGAGCACAGATCGACCGCTGGAGTCTTTTCGGTCGATGGTGTTCCTGGATGTGCTCAGAAGCTGTTCTATGTCCCACTGTTTGATTCCGAGGACTGCTTCATGCAGCTTTGTGAAGTTTCGGTTTTCGAGATCTGGAGTTGGGAACAACCGCCACAAATGCTGCCTCACTGAATCTGGAGTGCAATACTCTTGTGCGAGGTTCCATGCTAAGTCGGCAGCCGAGCTGCATGTTGTTAGTTGGCCGGTAGAAGCAGTCCATAAATCTAACCTACTCTGCGAGCGCCGTAACGATCTGCACTGAAGCCTGTCGTTGCAGGAGCAGTTTGCGAAGTTCCTGGCTCTGACCTGTTCGAATGTACCTGAATATATCCCGTGTTGGTGGGGATTTGGCGCCTCGCGGTGACACTAAGTCCACCGATCAATGATCCCGACGACAGCGTCAAAGACACTTGGATTGCACCTTTCTACAACCAGTGAGGGACAAAATACGTCACAGTGAATGCTGGCTCGCGCCGCGAATGCTTCCGGCAGCTGAGTGCTCAGGAGGAGCATTCTGCTCACTGTCCAAAGATGCCAGGCGGCAGTGGAACAGGGAGCGCGGACATTCGACTGCTGAGCTGACCGGCTCATTGCTTGCTAAGGCTTCCAACTCACTCTTTTTCATGGCCAAGTGGTACAGATCTTCCAAGCCGCTCATCACCTTCTCGAGACGGTCGGAATCCTCCTGTACCGAAGGATCAAATCGACACATATCCGAGTGAGTTGAGTCGAGGCCCAGAACCCGCTCATGCCCTCCGGGAAGCTGGAACATAGTCGCTGCCTTTCGAGACTATCAATGCTTGAGTCAGCAAGAGCACGGCGAGGCATAATCGGCTAGCAGACATTGTCACGCTCTTCCTAGAAGGAGATGATCTGATACAACAATAGCTGATGTCGAAAACTCTCCGAGAGGACGTCAGCGAAGACATTGCCCTCCTTCAATGTTTCGACGAGATCACTTCTGGCCGAGAAGCCTAGTCTCACAGCAATCTTGGCTGCTATTTGGCCAAGGCCGACGAGCCAGTCGTTGCCACCAGAATGTGGCGTTCCGAAGAACATAAGTCCGATGCTATCTCACTAAGCCCCATATCACAGAAGGGGTTTTTTCCATCAATTACATACGTGGCATCTTTGATTAAGCCATAGTCTTCGTAGTTGCTATGCACATTGACAAGGGCCCGCAACATCACGATCAGCAAATGCTAGGTACCGCGACAAGGGATTGACTTTACTTGTTTCACCAATATACCGCCCATGCTATGAGCAATAAAAATTATCGGTCGTTGGGGATCCTGCTTGTCGTAAGCATCTCGTGAACAGTGACTCAGATACCTACAGATTTTCTCTTAGATCTGAGTGCGTCTAGGAATCGTAGGCTTTGTCGATGAGTCGACTCTTGTTGTAGTTGAACACAATGCCGGCCTCATATTCGTACAGGAACACTCTTGACAGTGGGAGGCTCTGCGGTAGAGTGTCACGAAGCCAGAGGTGCGCTTCTTTTCCAGAGCCTTTTGCCCAGTTACGAAAAGCATGGTCTTGAACAGCCCTACTTCTAGGGTTAAGGCCGTGCACAGTAATAATGCTAAATGAGTCAGTGATAATATTGTTTCGATTCATGCTCTCCAGTTAAGACAAGCGAAAATGAAAAGATCTACATACTCGACCTTGTAGGGGCTGGAAGGCTGCGAGCCTATTGTGGCATCTTGTGGCACTAGTTGGCGGAGAGGCTTAAAGACAGAACATTAGCTCTTCTTTCATCAGACTGGTAAGAAAACGTACCATCACGTTCAGTTTCCGGATTGGCAAAACAATCTGTATGCGATTGGTGCGTCCAAAGCTGGTCTAGCAAGTGCTCTCAAGATATTGAAGTGATCGACTTTCTGAATGGCTCGAGTATCGGATGCGATATCAGCTCGTATTCGGGCGCCTGGACAATTAGCCGCAGGCACACAAGCCACGCCAATCCGGTCGGGCAGCCATTGGGTTCGACGCCCAGAGCGACAGCGAATCGTGCTCTCTCGAGAGCAGTGGAGGCTTACGAACGAAGGATCCTGGAAGTCCAATATGCGATACAGCTTCATTGACAAACAGGCGCTTGGGAGTTGGAAAATGGCAGCTTCCAAGACCCTTTCATAACTGGATGCGGCCACATACTGTGTGTCTCTGTGCCGGGTGTGGGCTGCTGGTACCATGTACGGTTGAGAGTCTGGAAAGACTTTTGCTTAATAGCCGAATTACCCGTGCTGGGAGTGGATAGCAACCAGGATCGAGAGCTTCCTTACTCACACTAAGACAAAGCGTGCTAGGCGAAGTCTTGCCAGAAATGTGAGTTCGAGCAATGAGCCCCCATTGACGGGGGTGATCACAGGGCGGCGGCACCCTCGTCCGAGAAGAGGGTGAGCTGCAAGCAGATTTTCCGTCAAACAATCAGTTGGGGGGGTCGTGCATTGATTGTTGTTGAGTGTTTGGCAGCTGGTCCTGCCCGATTACCGGTATATATATGTGCTTGGTTGACCCCTTTTCCACCACTATTCCTACCCCCATATGAATAGGAATGATAATCCCTTTCCAATAACCGGGAACTGGTTGCTGGTCAACAGACAACCTGTTCAATTTGCATTAGACATTTTTGGGGCCCCGGTTGTGATATAAGCACTCCGCCAACCGTGTTTCTCCTTGAACCCTAAAAGTTCTTTCGCCTTCCTATTGCTGACTGGAGCCTCGTGCTTACCCATCTCCCGTGTGAAAAGTGTGCGAGGGCACTCTTTCTTAAGAAACTCTTCGGTTGGATTCGCATTCGTGATTTCATCGTTGGTGGCATTGAAAATTTGAAATCCAAGACCATCTTTTTTCACACACAAGTCACACATCTGACCCAAATCCCTCACATCGATATACGACCATCCATGGCCTTTCCAAGCGCCTGGTTCTTCCACGTATGCGCGAAAAGCTGCTTCATGTTCCTCCGGTGCAATAATGTTTCCCAATCTCAACATGTAGATATCCACGCCAAATCTTCGCGCAAAGCCCCTCGCCACGATTTCACCGCAAAGCTTTGAGATGGCATACGTATCCATGGGCTCAACATTAAGAATTTCTTCAATTGGAAAGGAGAGGTAGTCAACGTCTCCCTCGGCAAAAGTGACTCCGTACGTCGCAATACTGCTGGCGACGATAATCTTCTTCACACCGAGCTTGCACGCCGCTTCAATGACATTGTACGTTGCAAGAACATTGACCCTAAATGTTTCATCATCTGGCACAATCATGTTCCGAGCATAAGCTCCAAAGTGTACCACCGCGTCAGGCGGCCGAAGCAGGGGTTCTCGGAACGGTTGCGTGAGCTTGAAGTGCGATGAGATTCCATTAAATACTTGGCCGCTCTGTGTTAGGTCCGTCTTGATAGTGTGGACATTGGAAATATCGCTCGGCAACGGCATAAGGTCAAGGTTAAGAACTTCATAGCCGTGTTGAATCAAGTAGGATATCACGTGGCGCCCTGCTTTCCCCGAGCCTCCGGTAAATACAATGCGCTGATTTGCATGAGCTGTTATTCCTGCTGCTGCTTCCATGGGGCTGGCTGGACACAGGAGGTGGCAGACTGAATATCTCTGATCGGATAGACTTGGTGACAGTAATCACACTGCCACTTAGCGACAAACGGTCGTGTGCGGGAGGAAGATGGTTTGAGCGAAAACGTTTCAGCGAACAACACCATGCGGTAGTCTGACTTGATGGAGAATTTATGAAGCGGCGAAGATTATGTTGTATTCTGCTTCATTACAGCCCTGTTGACTTGGTGCATTTATGTGATTGGAGTGTTTAACTCAGGACTCAGGACTCAGGACTCAGGACTGTCGGGATTTCCGCATTCTGCTATTGCGGCAACGAAACTCTTAGAACACGCCAACCGCTCCCAACCGCTTTCCCGTGAGCAGTCAACACCAGAGACGGGCAGTCCATTCATTCCGATGAAAGTCGCCGACATTCTGACACTCTATGCAACTATAGCATTTGCGGCCTCGGAGGTCAAGGAGACCGATATGCAGGCATTCTTCTATGGTAGAAGCGCGACATTTTGCAGCAGGTCCAAGTTCCAGGGCTGCAAGTCAGAACTGTGCCAGGCCAATTTAAAAGAAAATCTGAAGTTGAAAGAGACGGTGTTAACTTATGGGATTGGTTGCCTGCTAGGCTGCAGCACAGTCAACAACACTGAAGGACGTTGTTCAGATAGATATATAGATGGGTCCTATCCAGAGCATTCAAGTTGCACAGAAGTTTGACAGACGAGGAGGCAAAGAATGCTTTCTATAAACTCGTAGGTCAAGAGATCCGCACGCCACCATCTTCCTCGTCTTCCGACATATTGTCTTCCCCGTCCTCAGCTTCCACCTCAGCCCTATTCTCGGGCTCAGGGGAACTGCTGTTTCGCCTCACCGGAGATATTAACTGCCGAATTTCGTCGGCCAGCCCGGTTTCGGTGTCCACAGGCTCCATCTGAGGGGCTCTAGAAGCGTCTTTCTCTCCTCTATCCTGTTTTTCTGGACGGGTCCATCCTTTACTCAAATTCACAAGCGGCGTATCATCGTTGAATAACCGCAGTAGCATTGCCTTCCTCTCTTCCTTGGGTAACATCAGATTCAGGCTTTGTATGGATTTCCACAGCGGAAAGACCATTCTCTCGCTCAGTCCGTCTTCAGCATCACTGGGCTCGACGACAAGGACACAGCAGCCCATTCCTATCCTCAGAATCTGTTCGCCCACTTCACCCAAATTCTTGTACTCTTCGCCATGGAAGCGCGGGAACATTTCAATCAGCAATTTTCTCAACGTCTCCTTCTTCTGTAGCGTGACGATTCGCTCGGGCCCAACCCACGCTTCGAGCAACCGGAGTCCATCTGTCTGGATTCGCCAGGGGCACACATCGGGCGCCGGCGTGTCTTGCTTGACAAACATTTTTACACCGGCATGGACAAACTTGAGACCTTTGCCTTCATTTTCTTGTAAAATTTCTTTGGCGAGTGCATTGGTATAGTAGATGTTCTTCGTCGCAGTTCCCTGCGCGTTACGCACCATGTACCGATCTTGTGGGAAACGAGGAGAGAGGTTGTAAAATTCTTTGATTTGAGCAAGCTCGGGGATCGAAGGGGCGAGATATTTGAACGGTTCCTCGAAAGGCTGATCACGGTTCTTCTTTTTCGAGGGTTGAGCTGTTTGTGGTTCTTGCCTGGACGGTGCTGATTGACCGTTCTGTGCAATGGCGTCAGATGCTGGAGGTTGTCCGTGTCGGGTTTCTGAACTAGTATTGAGCTGCTGATCACTCTTTACTCGCTTGATTGGTGCTGCGTCATGGGTTCCCTCGTCATCATCGGAGCGCTTCCTCTTTGTTGGAGTCGCCAATTCCGAAGAAACAACTCCGTGGACCTTTTCGACCGAACCATTTGGTGTCGTTCCATGCTGGAGGTGGGTCCCATTAGAATCCGCCGCTTCTCCCGTGGTCGATTCGGACACCGCTGCTGGCTTCTCCTCCGGTTTGGCCTTGATCTCCGACTTTTTCTCCAGGATTGCGATGAAAAATGCTCCAGTATCTTGTTGATGAGGATAGACGCGAATTGCTCGGTCCAGAGGCAGGTCCTCTTTGGGGGGAAACATGCTTTCCGACAAACGTCCGAGACCTTCTTCGCCAGCATCTTCCTTTTGCTTCAGGACGGAATCATAATCTTTCCAGATGCGACCAAATTTATCCACCACATTCCACTCCTTGAGGCCCGGACATCTTTTCAGTCCGGGTAGATAGTCTTTCGTTTCCAGAATTTGGACCAGTTTCGGGCCACCACAGCGGGTGATAGCTTCTGCAAGGACCGCCTCATCCTCCACGGGGTTCATACTGCATGTCGAATACACCACTCGTCCCCCGACTTTGAGCATCTGGAGGGCTCTGATCAAGATCCGGACTTGCGTAGCGTGTAAGCCCAGTGCATTACTCGGTGTCCACTTTTCCCAAATTTCCATGTTCTTTCTCGTGGTCCCATCTCCAGAGCAGGGAACGTCTGCCAAGATACGATCGAATTTCAGATACCGATTTTGAGTCGGTTTTCCTTCCGGTGCCGGAGGAGAGGAAATCTTGACTGAGGGGAAGACAGTGGCATCATGATTCATGACCAGAATGTTGGGCGAGCTCAATCGTTTCACCTGATGGACCAACATATGTGCTCGTCGGTAGTCGACATCATTCGCAATGAGTAATCCGGTGGATCTCCCATCATCTTCAAAATCCTCTCCTTCGGTTCTGTCCAGACCATGGGCCGTATTTGCCGCAACTTGTCTGGATCTTTCCTCTTCACCGGCATGGATCATCTCGATCAGCTGGGCGGATTTACTGCCCGGAGCCGCACACAAGTCCAACACCGTCATGCCCGGCGTCAGATCCATGAGTAGCGGCGGTATCATGCTGACCACCTCTTGTCGAGTGATATTCCCCACGTCTGTTTCTGCCACCAGGAATTTCTGGAAGGATGCGAACGGTTTGAATCGACGAATGACATTCTTGGGAGTGGTCATGAACCAGGCCAATTGATCAGGATACCACGGTACTGGCTGCGGGGCGTCGACATACCGGCCTTCGTAGGTGATTGACGTGATTTCAGGGATGTAGAAGTCGCGCAGTCTCTGCTGGACAGCCAAAGCATGCCTAAACAAGGGCTAAGTCCACACAGTCGAGACGTGTCTGGAATGGTGCTCTCACATACGCTTTGGACCCCGTAAATCTAAAACTATTGGGCAGGTCCCTCCTCATTGCTTGCCAAAACTCATCTTGGTCGTCATCCGGAATGATACCTAGCTGGTTATAGTACTGCTCATACTTGTCATTATGTCGACTGATGTCTGCTTTGTTGGAGCGGTAGTCTCGATGACGAGGTCCTGCACCTCCACCACGACCGCGGGCACTCTAAGACATTGTCAGAGATACATACGAATAAAACGTACACAGACATACCTACTTTCTTGCCGCCGCGTTTGCCCATCCTTGTGGAATTCAGGTGAAAGCAGACGAAGATTGGACGCATATACCCGGTGAGGACGGTGACAAGAACCACCACGCACCCATCCTGATAGGCGTGGGGAAATTTCTTTCTAGAGCAGGAATTGGACTCGGTGGCCATGCGGAGTTGCAATTGGTCACGTGATACTTCTTGGGAATCTTGGCGGGTTGTAATCCCATGACCAACAGCCTTGCCTTCTCACCCGGTCACGAGGTATTTAAGCGGTACCAAGGAGGATCAATGTATATGGCATTGCGTTGAGGATACTCTTATTCGAATTACCCGGCGATGTCGCCCCGAACCTATAGGGATAGCTGGGTGCCCTTTGATGCACTCTTTGGAGCCTTCTGGCGAGCCGATCCCGGACACGCCACACCATACATAATTCACTGGCATGTCCATGCGACATCTCATTATACCGTTGAGCTGCTTATCTAAATAGGTCGAAATGATCACCTGCTGCTGAATTACCCACGCAACCCAACCGAGTTTTCTAGTTTGACTGCTAGCGAAACTGCAGGTCAGATGTGAATCGACAAAATCCTTTGAAAAATTCAATCTCTAAAACCATTCACTCACTCCTTCGACTCCCGCCACTCACGCAATCCTCTCAAGAACCACGGACGTGTAGACAACAACAACACGGACTCCTTGGGTCAACTTTTGCCTCTCCTGATCCAGATATGACACCTATGGCTTACGCAAAGATTCGTTGAGGAGGATTCAAGTATTCGCCCTGGTGGTTCATCAGTAATTGTCACCAATGCTTCGAAAGAACCAGGAGAAGAAGTCGGTTACTGAGCGTCTGGATGAGTGGACTTACAGGGTCGTTGAATCTCAATCCCTTGTCAAGACTGCTGATCGCGTTCATCTCTTCAGAGGAAAGCTCAAAGGAGAACAGATCCATGTTCTCCTTTTGCCTCGTCGTATCATTGGATTTGGGAATCACAATCAGTCCTCTGCGTCCAGAACGTGTCAGGCCCCGTCAATCCTGCAAGGTCGAAGAATCAAGCTCACCGTTGAACAGCCCATTTCAACAAAATTTGGGCTGGCCTTTTCCCGTGTTTGGTGGCCATCGAAGCGACAATATCGTTCTCAAAGAGCAACGATGCGGTCATGGCCTTTGGAATTTGCAAATCCCGATAACTCAGTGGTCCAAAGCTTGAATATGCCGTGACGGCAATTCCCAGGTCTTTGCACAGGTCCATCAATTGTGACTGCACAAGGTAAGGATGATGTTCGATCTGAAGCATGCAGGGCGGGATTCGAGCAGAGCGGGGCAAATCCATCAACAGACCACCCTGGAAGTTGCAGACGCCGATGTTTTTCACCAGACCTCCGTCGACCAGAGACTCCATTGCCCTCCACGTTGTGGCCAGAGAGACGTTGCTCGTCTTGGTTTCCCATCTATCGGCCGCGATCGACCAGCCTGGTGGGTATCGCTCTGCCGGGTCGACATATTGAAGCGGGAGCGGGAAGTGGATGAGGTAAAGATCAAAGTAATCAAGCCCCCAGTCCGCGAGTTGTCTCTTGCATAATTGTTCGACATGCTCACAAATGGCCCGTGAGCGCCACTTCTTCCAAGCCGGGAATTCGTAATGAGTTCACGTACGGTTCATAGAATGTCGCCCAGAGCTTGGTCGTCACGAAAATATCTTCTCTCTTGACGAGGCCGTCTTTGATCGCTCGTGCAATTCCTTGACCAGCTTCCTTCTCGTTTCCTGAATACTGTTGTCAGTGGAGATATCAAGTACCAGACCATTGGCTTGTACCATAGTCACATGCTCCATCGAAATGACGGTAACCGTTCTCAATGGCCTTGTACACGATATCGGCTGCGCAGTCGTTTGGTACCTGTTGCCGATCAGAACTGCTGATACGAAGCCGATCAGATTGAGCTGACTTTCCATAGACCAAGTCCTATTTGAGGAATACTATGACCTGAAAGTTTGAGGGGAATGGTTGGTGAAGCCATAGTAGACGATGCAAGGCTGGCTGGGCCAGGGAAGAAATCTGTAAAAGAGAAATCTTGCTTGGTTATATAGCCTCTGATGCTAAGGAGGATGTGGTACATAGCTGTCACGAATCACGCCTGTAGGTCTGCCACGTGGAGTTTCATAACTAGGAGGACAATAGAATAGGGAGAGATAGTGCCAGGAAGCTAGGGAGGAGCGAATCAATGTTCTGATACCGATGGGTGTTCTGATGGCTCTGTTGGCTCCCATTGATCTAACACGTGACCTAGTTAGGCAAGGCTTCCACTCTGGAGAACTTCCCTGTTTCTCCGGGACGTGGTATTCACAAGACGTCGTGTCCGTGGCAATATCATGCGTTGCGGATGATACCCCTATTCGACTTCCGCAGCGTTGAAGTCGATGTCGCCTGGCACTGATATAAACCGACAGGGACTCCTTGGTGCACTCTTTAGAGACTTCTGGTTCGCCGATCCCTGACAATAATTGCCATTCGAAGAACATTGCCGGCTAAAATACAGACGGGTGTTTATCACGACACAACTTTTGCAGTGGCAAGCTTCTCAAGGGACGTGGGTACGCCGCGATATTTCGCGGGAGCGCCAAGACGCTAACAATCCAGCTCCCTTTCGGAAAACCTTCTTGTATTTCGCACCTACCCACTTTTAATTTTATCTCAGCCAATGAGCTGAGTGATGGAAGGTCTCTCGCGGAATTAACTAATTCAGGACGGCTTGCAGACAACACTTTCTCGCAACCAACACCATTGATAGCAACCTCGATGGCACTCAAATTGACGCCAATTTAATGATACTGAAGTCTCTCTACGCCATGTCTCACTCTACTGTCTCTTGAAGTGTTAGGAGGCCCTGAAATACTTATTAACGAAACCGCAACTCAACTTCAACAAGATACCGAGATTGAGCGAATGGGGAGCCAGGAAGGCCGTCAAGAAAACCAACAACGACAGCAGCATCAAGAGGTGCCTCAAATGCTTCTACGGACGCCAACTCGACGCCCCAGACGACCAATCACAGTGCGCGCACGCTCTCGGTCGCCAACAAAGCTGATTGGTCGAAATAGCATTCCTGGCACGTCCGGTTTGACGCCTTCGCTAGAGATATCCCCCCATTGGGTCTAGCACCACAGCCTTCGTGGCCTTTTTGTAGCTTGCACCTCGCTCGGATAGATTCGATCGATCAATCTTCTCTTGGCTCAACAGTGTGGTTTCAAGAGACTCGGATACGAGTGTCCTGACCATGGATTACCTTGCCTCCATTCCTGGTGGCAGCTTCTGATATCTTCCTCTTGGCCGTCATCTTTGCCGCCCGAGAGCTGGCAAAGACATACTCTTCTCTAGGTATCTGGAAAATAACGCCCTTGCGCCGGGGTGGGAGAGAGCCTTTAGGGCCCGAACGCAATATCAAGGAGGTGAAAGAGGCTGCGAAGCAGGTCTTGGTAACGTTGCGTCAAGTCGATGGAGGAGTAGGAGGGCTCCGCTATTTGAGTAGTGAAAAGAGTGGAGAATAATGGACGAGAGACGTGAAAAAAGCAACAACAGAAGAGGCGGCCAAAGGGTTCATTCAATTATCCAGGAGGAGTTACAGTGTGACTATCAAATTATCAAGACATCGAATACCGCATGGTGAGAGTATTGTAAGTTCTTGGGAGCTCTCACCTCCCCAAGCAATATTGAGGTCCTTCTCCTCAGAATGCTTCTTCTCTTTGCACCAAATCTCGAACTTGACGTCGCCCGCGGCACTCACAATGACTTTGATCTGATACTTGGCGATGAGGTGGTCTTTCCCCTGCTCGAAGAACGGCCAGCGCGGCTTGGGCAGGTGGAACTCCAGCGATGATCGGGCTCGTCGGGGCAATTAGGGTCGATGTGCCGGATCACGTCGTATCTGAACACATCGTTGGGTATCAACCGCTGTCCTTTCCGGATGACCCATTTGATCTGGTTCATGGTGTACTCCTTGCCTATGATTCGGTCGTTCTTGTCGTGCAGTCCTGCTCGTCGTGCTTACTCTTATCACACTCTTCGACTCGCACGAACCCGTAGCTGAGGCGACGGATCCAGTTTTGCAGCGCAGGCGCCCAGCTTCGACAGTTCCGCATGGCATCTATGACGAGTCCACAGGCCACCACAAGCTGGGGATCGGTGGTATGAAGGACTTCCATCTCTTTCAGACGCGGGCGGGGCTGGTTGCAATACCGCTTTTGCCATTGTTCTCGGGTATAGGTTGAACTACCGAGCTCGCCGGACAGAACCATGGACCGCACGGACCACCCTTGGGCTTTCTTTAGACGCTCCATTCGCTCGGATTGCTCATCTAGTTTGAGATAAATATGCTCGAGGCGTTTGTCGAAGAGGGCCGCCAACTACACCGGGTCGAATTCGATGCACCATTTTTGGACATTGGCGGCTTCCAGTGAAAATTTTTGGACAAATCTTCGATGGGAATCTTGCGCGGAAAGTTCAGCCGTTTGCTCTTCCATGAGAGTTTGCATTTCAATGATGGAAATTGCTTGTGGGTGGCCATCGCCCTTGTAGCGGCGTCAATATCGGTAATGTAACCTGGACGCTGCTCGTCGACAATTTGGAGACGACCCTTCACGGAATCTGTAAAGTCGCGGTCAATAAGAGTCGACCCGCCTGGCCTTTGCAGAGTGTCTTACTTGGGTTGGGGGAGAACGTGTTTTCAATGTGCTGGTAGACTTTGGTCGAATAGTCTTTGAACCATTCGCAGACATCGTCGTGGATGGTGTCCTGGACATGCTCGGGATCTTGGGCGAGAGAGTGGCGCTCTTCTCCTGTCACTGCCTGAAGACCCCAAGAAGACAGTCTACTTTCCCAAGAAACCCCATGTTTGCCGGAATCTCGTTTGTTGGGTAAATGGGCGAGTAGAGTCGACGCCTTGTAATGTACTTCGTCTGGTGATGCTCCAGGCCAGCCCTGACACAGTGGTTGGGGGTCCTCGTCCTCCTCAGTCGACTAAGCGACACCTGTATGGCGAGTCAACGAATGAGGCTCTCCATGATTGAGGTTGATACATACCAGGGAAAAGTCATGCTGAAATCGACGGTAATGACAAGCTTCGAATTCTCCATGTTTTCATTTGATTGATCCACTAGAGATGAAGATGATAGTGGTAGTAGTGTGAGATTCGAATTGGATTTTCGGGCCACGAATCAGGCTGTATAAATACACCGCTTTTGTGGAATCAAGAAACTGGCCCTTTGCAAGGTGTTGTCTCCTATGCACACCCTTGTTTGGCAACTTGTGGCACTGGGACAGGAGCAGGGGGAGGCTCGTCGTGCGATCGCCCAAAGGAGAACAGTCTGAACAAGGGACCGTGTGTGCCCTGTTACGTCCTGGGTTGCCATGGGTCTAGTGGTGAGCCATCTCGTAACCCACTCTGGCGAGTATAAGACATCAAGATTCTTGTCAACAATCAGCATCTTCAAAGCCTTAGCTGCCGACCCAATATTGCTAGCTGTAACAGACCGCTCTGAAGAAATGAAAACAGTTTTCCGACAGGAGCCGACACGCTTTTAAAGCCACGTTGAGAGTTGAGTTTGTTTTGCTGGCCTCTTAGCTGTTCGAGGTTTTCAGTCAGCCTAACCATCGCCATTTCTGCTGCAATATGCCGGGTGTGGTGGATTACCGCCGGATTGGCCTCCTCAACCTGAAGTCGACTTTACCGGTTACTGCGTCCCAGCAACCTTCTCTCCCCAGGACTATCTCCCTTTCCCGAAGACCAAACAGTCAAGCATCCAGCAGAGCAAATGCAAATCCGCTTGTAAAATCATGTTGAATAATTTTACGTTGATGACGCGACAACATCGGACACTGCCTCCGAAAATCTCGAAGGCTCAGCGATGAGCAATTCCTCCAACGGCGCGGTCTCCTCTCTCTTTGATAGAGTCCACATCAAAAGTGGAGATCCGAAGGATAATCGCAGCCTCCGTGATCTGTGGCATCCTGCCATTTGACGATTCCCGGGAAGGAGGGGGTCTGCTCCCGAAAAAGTTTGTTTGCCCGTTGTGGCTCGCACCTCGTCCATTAGACGTTAAGAGGAACAGCTCAGGTTTGTGCATGCCACGTTCCCTGCCTATCCCTGTTTTTGAGAATCAGCGTATGCCAATGTGCTAAACCCGTGGAGAGTCCTGTGGTGGTACATCGTCACCCGAGAGGAGGTTTGCGAGAAAAGACCTTGGTCGACAGCTCGACAGTAAAGTCGACGTGGCATCGAGGGGAGAAATAGTGGCGACAAGAAGCTGTTGTCGTAGTCTTAGCACGTGATTAACTCACGTGAATCCACGTGACGACAACCCTGCGCGTAGATAGGCGACCCCTCGGCCTTCCCCAGCACCTACGCTACCAAATTCGACGGGAAATTTCCCTGCAACTGGCGTTGACTTGTACAAATTACAATATACTCTGCCAGCGGTGGTCTGACTGTCCTCAGCCGGTTCCCATTGAGAATGGGAATGGTCAACAAAATCACTATACGCATCCCTCTTCCAATGACGGAGGCGTCTCCTTGACAGATCCCTGTGACTCTCCCAACACTGACCTTCTGACATCACTAGCTCCACTCCTAACCCAGAAGAGAAGGTCGAGCTTCATCCCCTCAACGAAATTTCATTCACCAGCACCCTCTCAATCTTCTTCCCTTCTTCGACGAACCTGCCGTCGTATCTGTCGTGTGTGAATGATGCATGCTCTTACAACGGGAAGAAACAACTTACAGCATATGGCACATGTGCTCGTAATAGCTGACTTCAGATTGTGGCATCTTTTCTGTGCCACCGAGACATGCCTCGAGAGGCTTCACCTTGCTTGACAGTGACGGTTCAAAAAAGAACGGAATCGACACCCGGGGTTCACTACCCCGATGGATAACTCGATGAACCGTAGCAGCATATCGGTTGTTCGTGAGAACACTGACCATGTCACCTGCATTGGTCAGTCCTTGAATGGCTGTTTCACAACAGGAAAACACTTACCGATATTCACGACATAAGCTCCGGGAATGGGATCGGCCTTTATCCATCCACCATCTTTCCCTTCCACCTCGAGGGCCGACTTGATATGATCGTCGGCGAGGAGAAATGTCAGACCACCATAGTCCGTGTGTTCTCCTAAAGATATTCCATTGTCACTCCCATCGGTGTCGGAAGGAGGAAGCGGCGGGTAGTTGACGAACTTCAATCCCCAAAACGGGTCCCCGATCATCTCTTCGAAGGCCTTCGCACCTCCTTGTACACCCAAAGCGTCACCCATGGCTCGCATCAACGCTTGGCCCACCTTCACTAACCGGTTCACATAGTCCAACACCGTGGACTTCAGGCTCGGTAGTCGTGAAGGCCAGGGCTGAGCACCACGCAACATCTCCTTCGACGGGTTCGGGTACTCTCGATATATGTCGAATCCCTCCAGGAGGTCTCTTTTCCCAGAAGTAACATTCTCGCCTAGTCGAGCGTATCCACGGATCTTGTCCATGCTCTGAAAGATGGAGAGTTCATCCTTTTCGGCTTGCGGTAAAGCGAAGAATTCATGACCTAAGCGCAACATCTCCCGTCGCATCTCCTCAGGGATTCCATGTCCCACCAGATAAAAGAAGCCGAAGTCTCGACAGGCGCAATGGACGGCATGGGAGGTAGCCTCGCGTTCTGCACGCGTGGATGTCGAACCGAGGTAAGGAGCAATGTCCACCACAGGTAAAGGAGTATCAGAGAGCGTCATCATGCCAAACGGTACGTCTACCAGAAGAAACTGATAAAACCGCAACGATCGAATATTCGCTGGCCTTGAGTGCTTGACCAGTGTTCAGTTTCACATATTCAAACCAGCAACTTCAAGGTCCATTTTCGATTTCCATTACGCCGTAATAACCGAGTGGAGGAGGTCCATGGTAGTGGTGACATCCGAAATGACTCTCAGGAAACGTGGTAAATTTTATTTGACAAACTTTCCTGATCAGGTATTTCCCACCCATTAACCACATAGCAAATGCGAAATCCATACGGAATTCACCGTCTGGAGAAGGAGGGGTGAGCATTTGATCAAATTTGATACGTGTGTCAGTTCTCAACCGAAGACCAAGTCATGGCCTTCTGGTGGCCTGACCGTCGGACCAGGGCTAATGTAAACTTTATCAATTCTCGGTTGCCTAAAAAGGCAAATCTCCCGCCGAGCATAGGCTTTTGACCGTAGAGCCGAGATGCTCGCCAGGTCCCACTGTCAACTGTTCACGCTTCTCTTTGCATTACAAGACCATTGGCTCGTTCTACAGACACCCCCCCACACGGATGGAGGATCTTTCACTGGTTCCACGCGCAACTACATGGGACCGGTTCCGCGGAAGGGCGGTATAGGGCGAACACTAAATTACCGGGTACAGCAGAGAGTTTTTCATTCCTCACGTTGGACCTCGCAGACGATTTCAGAGTCTCGACATATCCTTGCGAGGACTTTCGTCATTGTCAACGTTGTTGTCACTTCATTCAATTCCTCAATCGGCCTGTGTATCGGCAACGTGGAGTCAGCCTGTCACCCCATTGAAACGGCTGGTATTCAAACGAGACGTCAACCACGGAAGCCTCCAGTGTCGAAACACCCAATGAATAATAGCATCATGTCCGAGAAAACTCAGGCCCGAGAGAAGGCGGAAAGCCCAGTCACGAGTGTGACTGGCGGCGACATCGAATTGCAAAGCAGTGCGTGGTTACAGAAGATCCAGCGCTACTCTCTTCTCCTGGATCGCAAGCTTCACATCGAAAGTCGCGGCATTGAACGGGTCCCAGCCGATCAACGCGATCCTCATCTCAACTACCTCGACATGATGTTTTTGTGGTTCTCCTGCTCGGCCGTGATATCAACCACGGCCACAGGCATCTTAGCTGGCCCTTCATGGCTCGGTCTCAGTGTGACCAATGGCTTTCTCGCCGTATTCTTTGGCACGTCCTTGGGCGCGTCGTGTGCCGCTTACATGGGCACGTTTGGACCACGCTTGGGACTTCGTCAAATCATTCTCTCCAGGTTTTCCTTCGGTTGGTATGGAGCAAAACTCGTTGCTTTGGTGAATACCGTTACTGAACTCGGATGGTGTCTCGTCGGCGTGGTCATCGGAGGTCAGATCCTCGACTACATTTCCGGAGGCGACTGTCCCTTGGTCGTCGGAATCATTATCCTGTCGGTTCTCTCCTTCATCATTGCGGGCTTTGGATACAGCATGGTCCACTACTACATGCGATACGCATTTATCCCCGGCTTCATTGCCACCATCATCCTGTGCGCCATTGCTTCGAGGAAGTTCGACTCGGGAGCTCCCAATCTGGTTTCCGGGGCGACCTTTTCGGGCAACTTTCTGACCATGTTTACCATCTGCTTCGGATCAGGGTCGGGTTTCCTGCCTATGGCAAGTGATTACTACATCACCTATCCCGCTTCCACTCCTCGATGGAAGACGTTCTCCTTGACCTGGCTCGGAATTGTGGTTCCTGTGGTCTTCTTCCAGTCAGTTGGTCTGGCCATTGGAGGCGCGCTGGGGAGCACACCGGAATGGCTTGACATCTATTACAATCAGGGATACGGCGCTCTCATTGGCACCGCCCTGGAACCAGTTGGTGGATTTGGCACGTTCTTGATGGTGGTTTTCTTCCTCGGTAAGGACGATTTCGATCCTGGTGGAAAGTTCCTTCGCTCATATGATGCAGGTCTTGTTGGAAACAACATCCCCAACACATATTCGGCGGGCTTGTCGATGCAGGTTCTGACTTCCTATTTTGCCGTCATACCACGACTGTTCTGGACTTTAGTAGCAGTCCTGATCTACGCCATCTGCGGAATTGCGGGTCGAAGCCATTTAATGACCATCATCAGCAACTTCTTGAGTGTCATCGGCTATTGGACCATGGCCTTATTCACGATCGTCATGGAGGAAGACTTCATATTCCGCCGCAAGACTGGGTATAATGTTGATGCATACGCAACGCGGAGCAAATTACCCTGGGGCGTGGCAGCAGTGTTCAGCTTCTTGCTGGGCATCGTTGGTGCTGTCCTCGGTATGAATCAGACGTGGTACGTTGGAGTGGTGGCTCGACAGATAGGGGACATGGGGGGCGAACTCGGGCTGATCTTTGCATTCGCCTTTACCGGACTGTCATACCCGCCTCTCCGATGGCTAGAGCGTCGACACGTCGGGAGATAGACGGTGATGTTTTTCCACGGAAGGCATTGACCTCGCTCAGATGCTATTGTCCTGTATTGGTGCATAGAATCAATATTTGGTTGTCACTTTCGAAAAGGCAAAACCTGGTGCTCCTTGGCGCAAGTACAGTCCTTTGGCCCATAAGCCCTCCAATCCCCTGATTGGTGCCTCCTATCAAGTGGATCCGGGCCGGACCATTCTGTGGAGTATTCCGGTTTTCCGTATCAATGCCTCTGGCGAGACACACCAATGAGCTTTGCAGCGATTTTGCTCCTAAACTCTGATCAGGATAAGGCCAGACTCAAAACGTCTAGAGCCGGACAATGTCAGTGGAGTGACAAATTCACCTATTACTTACCCCATACACGCTCTTCGCTCTGCTTCCTACCTTCTCCATAACGGAGTGAATCGATTTTCGTACCAACAATGAAATTTCCTCCGCCGACTGTCTTTTATCTCCCGTTACATATGAAACGTCCACGACGCCCAGTTCCCTGAGATAGCCGTACCTTCGATCAATCCGGGGTTTTCTTTAATATCACCACAAAACCTGATCATCAGACCTTCCGTCAAACAAAACAACACCCGTGCCTCAACACCAGCTCGGCCATCTCACAAGGCCAAGGCTGTGCCAGAGCCTTGTTCTGCCGGGTAATATCTTGAAACCTTGAATCTTTGGCTATAAGAGGGAACGATGTCGCAGCGAACCAACTCTCTCGCCCGCGCAAAGACAGACTGTCACACATGCCGATCCCTGCACCGCCCTTGTGATCGCCAACGCCCCATCTGTTCCACGTGCATTAAATCTGGGGATTCCTGCAAAGGTTTTCAAACGCTTTTAGTCTGGAGAGGCAGCGATTTACCAGCCCGCCGCGGCGTGGATAGTAAGCGAAGACATGGGATTGAGTGCCCTCCGTTACTACCCTCATCCTCTCCTGCAAGGACGAAGACGGCGTCAACGTCGAAATCAAAAACCGACGTCGTCGAGGGAGTTCCAACAACCAAGAAACCACCGGCGAGAGATTTCTCTTTTGTGTCCAGTTGGCCGCCGAAGCCGAGGAAGAAGCACGTTCGGACCGGACGAGGTTTCGACGGCCATGGTAATGTCCATGTCCCTGAGAAGGAGGCTGTGGCCCGAGGCGAATCGAAATCGGGATCGAGGAAGTCTCTCCCGTCATCATCGACGGCGGCGGCAGAAGATGCTGATGACGGTTTGTTTTGCCATTCTCAAGAGCGAGTTCAAGTCTTTTTTAAGGAGCTGGAGCCGCAAGGGCACGACTCCGAGCTCTTACCGAGTGAGATGGGGATGCAAATGGGCTATCACAAGTCTTCAGCAATCCAAGATGCCTTGACGTGGTTTGAGCAAAGAGATATGTTCAGCATGCAAATGCAAAGCCTGAATCGTCCTCGCAATCTTGAGCAGAACGCCGACGACGAACTGGCTCTGTTGCTCTACGATGCCGCTCCACAAAATACTACGACCTCGGGTGGAGAAGTCGGTCAAGCACAGCCCGCCGCGAACGAGAGCCCATGGCATAGCTTCTTTGACAAATCCGATATAATAGGGTTTGGACGACGAAGCACACTCGAGAGAGCTTTTGATCTTGGCCCCCGTCACTTCTCCTCCGTCCCGACTCCGGTTCGTTATTCCTCCACAGAAGACCAGTTCTCGATTCTGTTAGACAGATGTAAGTCGTATTCATGTCCAAATTCCTTACCCAGTTCTAAACGCACGCAGACGACCGAGAATTCTGTACGTATCCGATCACCACCGACGTGGATATCAATCCATTCCGATACCGCAAAGAGACATCTCGAGGCTCAAAGCATTTGCTCCATGCCATCATCGCGCTCGCGTGCCACCATCGAGACGGATATCCCGTCCAGAACAGTCCATCGATCGAGTTCTACCAGCACAAGAACCAGGCGGTGGCATTATACAGGGCGGCGATGGAGAATCCCCAGATCCAGGCTCAAAGCCTGAGTGCGTTGGATACGTTGTTGGCTTTGTGGTGTATCGATGTAAGCCAAAATGCTCAGGAGTCCATCATGTTGCTAACGCTCCAAAAACCCCAGTCTATTGAGTCGGCGTTGAATCCTTGGAGAACTCATTTGTCACATGCGTATGCCCTCCTCGAATTGTCTGGAGGAATTGACGTGTGGTCGTTATCCTTCCGGTCTCAAACACAAGTGACAATGCTTTTGTGGTATGTGCCGGCCTGGTTCACCCAAAGAAACCCAAATTGACCGAGTAATTCTAGGTGGGACGCCGTGGTGGCTCTAGTATCGCGTCGGCCCTGCGTAATGCCATATACATATTTTGAGGCCGTTCTTCAATGGGAGAGTTCACAGTTCTGGACCTTTTTCGAGCTCATCGGTTGTCCGCGAGAACTTCTTGTTCCATTAATGCAATTTGCCCATTTGGCCGGTCAATTTAACCGGTGGTCCCGCGGCATGAACGTCACCAAAGCCGTTATCGCCCAAGTCGAAGGCAACTTGCGCAATTATCAGCCTCCGGGCGAGGATGAAGACGTGGATTCCAGAGACGAAGAGAAAGTCCAAGAAGCACGAGACACGTATCATTGCTGCGAAGCCATACGGCATTCGCTGCTGATTTATGCACTTCGTGTTTTCTCGGATGATGACCGATACATGGACTCGTCGTATATGACCGCAAGGCTGAAATATCTGAGTCGCGTGAGTCTGGACCATGTTTGTTCGATTTCGCCGTCATCAGGCACTCTGAAACAACTTCTCTTCGTGATCTTAGTGGCCGGAGCCGAAACGAATGATGATGACCATAAAGATTTTATCCGCGGATATTGTCGGCGATGGTTTGAGACGTTCGGATATCCCATGTTCACGAGCGTGATTGAGATTCTGGAAGAGGTCTGGACGGGCCGAGATGTCGTGGGTGAGGACATCTGGTGGGGTGATGTGGTTGATTCGCGACATCATGGAGGAATCGACGGTGATCTTGTCTTTTGCTTCGGCTAGGCGGAAACACAGCCTGGGTTGCCGGTGGCTGGGTGCCGTCGGCCTATCCCTCCAGTCACCGGGATTGTTAACGACTGCTTCTCCTCTTCCGTGGCGAAGTCCCGTTGGTCCGATGACCTGCGGCAGAGCACTCATGCTGTCTTCGCTCAGGGCATACCGTGGGTCATGTCCCCGATGTACAGGAGACTGGCAACCAGGCCAAATAGTCATTCATCTGCTGGGGAAATGACTGGTTTCTGAAATGGGAGCTTGTTCAGGGTGATAGAATAAAAGGTTTTCAAGCAGAGGTGGAGAACTCGCCATCCAGCTTTCTTTAATCTGATGCTCCCTACGTTCCATGCCCTCTATGAAAGGGAGGTGGTTTATCAAGAAAGAGTAGCGTTTTCTTTTCCCTTCCAATTCTCCCTTCCCAAGGAAAATAATACCCGCCAGGCAGTTCCAATTCTTTCGTACAGATGTGGTCCTTCGCAAGAAGCAAAAGTGAGATTTGCACAATGCGGATGCAACCCAAGGGACGGGTTTTTCGGTTGGAGAGATTTTGCAACTTTGGATACAACCATTCTCGACAAATCGAGCAATCACAGGACGAAAGCTTCGTCTAAAAAGAGCTTACTCTCCATAAAAGTGGGAGTAATTGAATAATGAAACGCGGCCTCACCGATGCGACATGAAAGTGAAACATATTCTCTCCGTTGAAATCGAGCTTCACGATATGGATCAAGAGAGTAGGGCCTTTGATGAAGATCATATTCCACAATTCCACCACACTCATGCCTTTGACAATTCTGTACCGGCTGCGATTGGATAGACTCGAAGAGATCTCGAGCCAAACATAAGTGATCACAGTATTGTTCGATAGGAAACTCTCTTCACCATGTTTGGCAAGACTCGACAGGCCGAATATTCTGTCCTTCGGGTCTGAGCCGCTTTGGCACTTGAAATTCTCCATCAAACCCGGAACAGAACTTCTCTCGGTCGAAATGTCGGGTCTCCCACTTCACATTCCTTCTCCAGTATTATCAGCTCTCGCCGCATTTCTGCTTTACGGTAAAAGTTGCTTGGCCTGGGCAGCGTATGCTAGGCGACGCTTCCCACATCTGTGTGGCTGCTTTTCTTGCATCGGATCAGAAGCTCCAGTCGAACGTCTTATGTGCATGAGCGGCTTTTTCCAGCCAGCCGGATCCGGAATCCTTCAATATGCATTGCTGCATATCCCAGGTTACAACATTAGCTCCGATCAAGAGTACAAGCTCAGCGGCTAAGGCAAGCTCTTGCATGATCCATAGACGTACCTGGCAGGTGTGATCACGGATTGACCTGATAGTAGTTTTCTTGGAAAGGGGGTACAAAAGTAGCATCAAACAATAAGTCTCGGTCATCTGACAACCCCGTCGCCGTGTCATGATGCCGGCGTTTGAGAGTCAATGTAGATGTCTTCCGTATTGAGAACCCTCCGAATATCATCTCCGGTGAGTACAATATCTTCTGATACCCGTTGTTTGACCGAATCAAGCTAGATAACGACACGCGTCGCCTTGGAATGAACCTTTTTCAGAAAGCCAACTTGATTGGCCCTCTCTGCAACGTTGGATTGATAAGATATATATTGCATCAATCCTCGTTTCTCAAATTCTTGGCTTACAAGTTTGGCTGCGCGAAGAGACACTTGCCGTCGATCAGAATATGATTCCTCGCTTCGGTACTGGCCCCCAAGGATACGAGATAAAACGGTGTAGACGATATTTCAGGACCCCGCCCGCGGTGTATGTTTGATCCTGCATCGAGGGACCGCGTCGGCGGAGAGAGGGAGTCAGTTAAGTAGCCGGACCCGATGTTTGTGAGAGGATCCCGTTGGAAGCGCGTTACCTCAGTTTGGGCTTTGCGCTCTGCGGTAGCTCGTGTTCGTCTCATCGCGGCCAACTTAAGAGAAGACGATTATGTCTGGTCCGACAGGACACAAATTGCGCTGTTTCAGAACGTACACACCTGCTGTTAATTTGGACAGCCGGTAAAAAATGGAATGAATGCACCCTGATAGGGTGTATCGAAGTTGGTGCCTAACGCCCTTGTTCAGAGAGAAAGTGAAATTGAGGCTGGGGGGGCTCAAGGCTGTGCAAGAGAATTGCAACCAGTATTCGGAGGGCATGTTGCAAAAGTGAAAATCAACCACGGCCGATTACGCAGTGGATTTCGGAGGCGCCCCCATTATCTCATTTAGTGTATGAGCAAGATGAAGGACGCTGCTTCGAGCTGGAAATTATGCACTGGTACAGAAGGAAATGTATTCCCAATCACGTGACGGTAAAATGGGTTCATAACCAACAGGGTCTTAATTATCCAACAATGCAGCACTAACGGCAATATCATGCATGACAGCCTGGCCCAGATCAGCAATGGTATCGTTCTTCAACCAGCAATTCCCGCCCGAACTGTCAAACTGGCTCTCGAGATCCCGCCTGAAGGTCATGGCCCGGCACCGCACGTTGACGCCCGATGCATCGGCTTGGACATTCAGTGCCGAACATGCTTCGATGCAGTCGTGGACCGTGTAAGCGACAATGGCCGCCCAGTTGCGAATCACCCCGCCAGAGGCGGCAGGCAGGTCCGCCCAGAAGTCGTGGTTGCAGTAGATCTGGAAGCTCTGCTGCGCATGTGTTGAGTATAGGCTATTGTCGATGGATGGACAGTTCATCTGGAGGCTCGACACCGTTGAAGCGGCCGCCACGGTGTAATTTATTAGGCTGGTTGTGGGAACTGCGGAAGCGGATGTGTGGGTGACGGTGTGGGTTACTGTCGTCGTTGATATTTCTGAGGAACTGGATGGTTCTCATATTAGGATCTCGTCTCGCATCCGTATGATCACATCGGGTCCTCCCAGTTCATACCTTTGATTACTATCGCAATTCGCTAAAGAAGCTCCCAGGCCACCTCCCACAGCGCCACCGACAATGATTGTGGTAAGCAGGATAGTAATGATGACAATCAACAGGCTGAATCCCTTCTTTCGAGGCTCTTGCAGGGGAGAGTTAACGATAGAACTGTATCGCGGTGCATGATCCGGTTGGACGACTTGATGTTTAATCTCTAGTTCGTCGTGGTACGGCGGGCGTGCATTGTAACCCTGGTTTACTTCAAGACCGGGCTGAGAGTGCACGTCACAAGTGTACGCCTCGGGCGCATGGGCACTCATGCTCGTCATGCTGGCCGCGCTCACGGGTGATGAGGAGATTCAGCCCGAAGTGCTGGTATGGACTTGTTATTTTTGTGCTTCATATCACTACGAGGTAAGCTCCTCAATGGCTCCGGGATTGACATCTGGGTGCCAGGAAAGCCACAGTGAAAGAGGAAGATAAAGCAAGTTGCCAACGTGGGATAGCAGCAAGCTTATCAATTTTTAGCCTTGTGCCCTTACCTAGCAAAGCAATAATTAAAAGACCAAGCTGGTGGATTGACACCTCTGCAGCTGCAGCCCCCACGACGGCACGAGCTGTCCGTCCATACACTTACCTAGACCCTTCTCGGTCATCGTCTTAGTTGATTGTAATGAGGTGGCAGGCAACCAAGGACCACTCTCGTGCGCCTCTAGGCGTGATAGAGTGTAGTTGATGTGTACAAGAGCGACTATTTTTTCCGCCATTAGTAAGTTTTAGCGAACACAGCCCATGAACAAGGTTTATATGCACGAAAGGTCAACTTGACGTCCGCGCCCGAAACATTTTCCGCTCCAGAAAGAAGTGTAAGTTGCAGATGGCAGCAATTCCTTTGTGTTGCGCATTTCTGACCCATCGACGCACCGGGGATTTCAGTAACAGGTTGTCGCGACTAGAAGCGAAATGGACTGCTTTGACCAAGGTTTTGGAGACGTAAGCGAGGAAGAAGCACATGAAGAAAGTGGAATTCTCAGTGCTCGGCATTTCTCACTGGCTGAATCGTACGTGCGCATCCTCATGGTGACAAGGCCATCATCGGTTGTCTTGAGCATACCACCCGCCTTATCTGGTGTACATCCATCACAACTGAACTCCATGCAATGCAATCTTTTTGGCACCCCCCCCTCCCCCCTTCCAGGAACTCCTCGCAGTGAAACGAATTCCAAGTTAAAACACCCACCGATAGCTGGCATATCTCCCAGCCGTCTCACTCTTGCGAATAATCTTGACGACATTGCCTCTCTTTAAGCCCAGATATTTCGACACCGGGTCGCTGAATTGAATTCTTGGTAGCTGAGTTTCTTTCAGTCGATATCTGTCAAGTAAGACCTTCTTCTCTTCCGCGCTGAGGAGGACATGCTTTGGGACCAGTTCGTGTCGCGTGATGTTCACCAGAAGATCCTGCTCTTGAAACCATTCTGCTGTGATTCCTCTTTCGGCCAACGGTTCGAATGCACGAAGAGCAGCCGCAGTCACAGGTCCGATGGTGATGAAAATGCCCGTAGTGATTTTGTTCGCGTCGAGGTGCTGGGCAAATGCTCGTAGATGTTTGATACCGATTGTGGTTTCTGGACTGAATTCGACCCAAACAGTTCCGGCGGTTGTTTGTGGGTTGGGGTTGGCCTTGGTGGGTCGAGGGGTGTCGCGTTTGATCATTTCTTCAGTAGGGACCGCTTGGAGCTTCATGAGCCTTCTCCTGTCAATTTATTAGAATGGTGATGGCATGCTGTTTGGTCTTCGTGGCTCACTCAGCCATGCCCGTCTGTGGATCGCCAAATTTGCGCTGAAACTCGTCACGGGAGATAGTGAGTTCGTTGTCTGCAATCGCATAGCCCTGGATGAGATATGTCAGCATTCGGATACAACCACGAGTCTATGCGCATGGACTCAGTCGCATACCCTATCCACGAGCATCTCCAAGACCGTCCTCCACGTCCGCCACAGTCGGGTCACCTCTTTCTCTGCCTCGACCGAGAGCTTGGGCCGATCGTCGAGATCCATGACGGGAGCGCGGAGAAAGAAGAGAGGGAAGAATGTATTGTTCAGAGAACGAACAGTCTTCACCCGAAATCCTCTGAAAATCACAACACGGGGAGTCATGTGATATAGGTGAAATTATGCCAAGATTCTGCCAAGACCAACCTGAATGTGAACGCGCAAGATTTCGCTGAACATGTTAGCCAAATCTTAATTCAAAGTCTCCGCCAACGAGCCTATCTTAAAACTAAGACATAATACATCAAAGGACAAGCCATTCCTGTTTTTCGTCCAGGAAAAAAGCGGGTTCTTGAACATCCTTCCTCCCGCTCTGCTGACACGATTTAATTACTCCACGCGCCTGGAAGAGTAGAGATATTTTTTCTCTGGGGCTTCCGTCTTCGACGATTCCCAGGATCGCATCCGTTTTGTCGAAACCAGGAGATATAGGTCGGAACATGATAACCGCACATTGCGCGGGTGCATGCCATTCTGGATATCCAATCCCATCAGGAAAGAGTTCCAGAGAATAAGAGGTTGACGAGCGGTCGTCTAGCTGGATGGCAAGGGTCTTGTCAGGGGGTGGAATGGCTCTGTCGAATATGATGCCGGAATAATTAACTCTGAGGCCATAGCCGTCGAACTGCGATACTGCGATGTTCAAATCTCTCCAGAAATCACCAGGTCGGCCTTCCATCAAAGTGAGTGGTGCCCAACGGAAACCCTTTCGTCTCAATCGCGAGCTGTGATGGAAGATGATTCCTTTCGACACGCCCCTCATTTGCTTCCAGAATTCTTCCATGCGCTTTTCTGCTGTCTCGTCCTCGTCATTGCCTTCGATGCCTAGAAAGGTCTCGGTGTTCAACCGTAAAAGAGTAGATGCACAGATTGTCTCGTCTTCTTTCCTGCTTGTCGCGCGTTGCCCGAACGCGCGTGATAAGTGAGCGATATCCAAGCAGCGTGCTGCCGGAAGTTTGGATTGGCGATTCCCTCGCTCTCGCAGAACAAATTGCATTACTCCGATATAGCTGAGAGCCGCCTCTTCCATCTGCTCCGGGAACCGAGTATATGTGGCCCAAGATTTCGGCATCTTCTCCCCCTCGCCGTATGATTCGCACGGCACCTTAATGTCGTCCATTAGTTGTGCACCGTTGCTGAACTGGATGTAGAGCTTGTTTCCAAGGACTGATTCTTGGACTGTCCAAAGACGGTGAAGCCAATTAGACACATAGAGCTTAGCCACTTTGTCTGGGATGTTGCTGTGGACAGAAGTTTCCTGCAACCAGGCGTCTAGAACTAATACTGATACCGAGGACCGGTAGATTTTAGCCATCTGAGCGATGGCCATTTTGCGATAGAGCTTGTTTTCTGCGCCAAGTGGTATACAAATTGTATCTATCCAGAACCATCTCGGCTGCGTGCCGGACTGGCCTGGTAGCATATTTACCGCGCTTTGGATGCGGCCCAATTGGCATTCGGGAAGGGAGTTTGCATGGGGATTTCCCAGTCCGTCTGCCCATCTGTGGGATTGGTCTATTAGTTCACTGCTCATGAACACGATGTTAAAAATGCAGAAACGAGTGCATCTTACACATGGGAGATAGCTACATATTTCATCTTTCTGGAGACGGCATCCTGTATCACCAGTTTGAACCTGGTCTCGGATTTCTTTTTTTGCCAGGATATGACAGGAATTCCATGTCGCTCTATGATCGCCACCACTTGCTTGGTGATATTCATCGCTTCCGCAGCATTGATCTCATCACGTCCGTTGCATGTCGAGACATGTCTGGGACGATAAGCAGTTTCGTCAACGGTATTAGCGGCCACACAGTGGGTTTCCGAACAATTTTTGTGCTCGTGTTTCTCGTGTGGGCTTTCGAGCAGCGCAAAATAGTAGTGACCATCCATCCCGAGTTGTGTAAACATTCTTCTCATGTCCAACTGACACCAGCCATTGGCCTCCACCCGATCTTTCACCAGGTCCGTCGTATAATTGATATACTGATCAAAGCGATTCCAATCAGGCTTGTAAATTTTTATTGCCACTTCACTCAGAGTGTAGGCGAGCGCAACAATGGCCGTCAAAGTCTCCCTTGAAACCGGCGATGGAACTCGGGGTCTGTTGTAGCCGAACGACGGCTCGTCGAATGTCGGGCAAGGAATCGCCCCAAACGAGTCGATATGTTTTTTGACCTCATCGAGAATGGACTGTGTATCAGCCCATGCACAGTTGCAGCTGGATGGAGTGTTCCGACCGGCCCACGTACGCTTCCAGGCGGCAACGCTGGCATCGAGATGCTTGGTCGTTAAGTAAGTTTGACCGTCGTCCATTTCCAGAAAATCTGTCTCCTGGATTTCAACTCTCCCTATCCTAAAAACAGTAATCAGTGTGCCAAAGTAGAGCCACGTCTGGAAAAAAGCTTCAGCATCGCTCTTGTTACGACTGCGAAAGCCGTTTTCTACGAGGAGCTCCTCTTTCTTCCATCCTGTTCGGTCTGGGTATGTGTGGAAGGGGCCCCGATCATATGGCTTCTTTCCAGAGTACCGGACTCGAATATGCATTGCCCCGGACGGAATATGGAAGTGGTCCATGGTCTCAGCTGTAGGCTAAGGGGAAAAGAGCAGAGGGATAGAAAGGAAGACTCAATGTGGCCCCAAATTAGAAATTGTGGACTTGAAGTTGCGTTCTTCCGAAATTGGGAGATGCTGGGTCAAGAAAACGGGTTATGCCGCTCAAGATCTGACCAAAACCCTCTGACCGCAAGTGGTCCAACGATGGAGGTTAGGCAGCAAGGCGGCTGATGCAAACCACCATTATATCTTTGGGCGGGTGACAACTCATCTTATCGTCACAGCATAAAATCGAGTGCCCGAGAAGAGATTTCTCCAATAAAATCTCGACACATTCCCCTTCATGCGTGGGCCATCTGGATAATCGATTGGTGGACAAAACCATTGAACTGGGAAGCACGTCACGACCTTTGGCGAAATAGGGGGCAATACGCGGGCAAAGGCTTGAATCAAAGCGTGGCTTAGGGGTAGGAACCACCGGGATTGTATAAAGAGCAGTCTCAGCTCATCTAGTGAGGGAGTTAGATTCCTGGCCGAGGGAAAGATCTCGGTCGATCGTGGCTTGCCATGGACTGTTTAGAAACCTACCACCTCCTCGAGTCGTGGGTTCTAGTAGTGGCGGTCTTGCCGACTAGCGAAAGATCGCCATGGTTGTATCTGAGGTGTAAGTTAGCTTGCAGAGGATCCAATGACTTCCCCAGTTTTGGCGAGCTCGCTTCAAAAGTAGGTATCCCCACCCGGCATAAGAGACGGCCGAACCGCTCTTCTCATGGCGCATGCATATTCAAGATTAGAACGTGGATATATAAAACGAAGCAATTCAGGGCATTAAGATTCATTTCAAGAAGATGTCGCTGTCCTTCTAGTCCTTTCCATGAGCGTAGTCGTAATGTCATCCTGCACCGATAGTGGTCCATTTTTTCAACTTGTTGTCCGTCCCATCCAATCGCGAATAGAGATACGAATGTCAGCATCCACCAGGGCACCTTGAATGTTGATATTGCGATCGGCAACCGAACTTAATTCCTCTTCGATGTCTTTCCCCCGTCGACTTGTGGCTAAGATATGAAGGTCCCGTCGCTTCGAGTCCCGGTCTGAGAATTTGTCCAGTGCATCAAGGATGATGTACTTCTGTCTTAAGAGAGCCATTGCCTCCATGAACAGTGATTTGATGACAGTTTCAGTAGGCTGCCACTATCCATTGGTGCGCTTTTGGTACCAAATTTCGAGATCCTAAAGAACACTGATGTCCTGAAGAGCAAGCTGGAACAGTAATGATCGTGTAGCCGTTCTCAAGAGTTGCTTTTCGACATTATTGAAGTGAAAGTAGGAATAGCTCACCATTATAAGGCGACCATAATTTTTCCAGTTGTTGAAATCTTGGCAGCACAAATCTGGCTTTGCACCCAAGTTGCCTGCGCCAGAAATGAATTTTGCAGTATCCTCTCCACACCGACTCCGGGACTCAAACAAAACTGAACAATCTTTCTCGAGGATCTTCTCTCTTTGAATCACACACACGACCACACCACCTTCACTATCCTCACAGTCCTTCACCTTGGACTGCGACACTCCACTCTCTGTCTTTATCCTCGACACTTCCGGCATATCCCTTCACGGCGATGCGATTCTAGCATGGATTAGATTTAGATACGTTCAATCATCCACATTATTGCTACGTTGACTTGTCGATCCGGTACCTCCCACTTCGGTTTACCATAGCTACAGCCTCTCGTCATGGCCGATGTCGCGACTACTCCTGCCACTGATGGCATTCAGAAGACTCGACCCGAAAAGCCTGATGAAGCAAAATTCAAGGCCGATCTCGCCAAGGCTGAGAAGGATCATGAAGCGGCGCAGGCAAGATTTGTATGTCTCTCCATTATCTAGAAAAGGGCTGCGTGACTGACATTTCACAGAATGCCAGTCGCACCAAGCTGGACAGCGCTCGTCCTGGAAAATCGACTCCGGCCAATGACCGTTTCAAGGAACTGGTGGACGAACAAAAGTCCATCCGCCAAAAGCAACAGGAGCACAAAGCGGCCAAGGCAGGACAGCAAGACAAATATAACCAGAATGATGCCTTGATCAAGAAACTCATTGCCGAACAAAAGGATGGTCGCTCTCGAGCCGGTTTCAAAAATGTTGAAGAGATCGATGTGAAGATCGCCAGTATTCTGAAACAAGTCGACTCAGGCAACATGAAATTGGTCGACGAGAAAAAGGCTTTGGCGGAGGTCTCGTCGTTGCGCAGGCAAAAGAAAAGCTTCACCGGTCTCGACGATTTGCAGAAGAAGATTGATGAGAAAAAGGCTGAGAATGCCGAGCTCAAGAAATCCTTCGACAATCCCGAGACCCGTGCCTTGTCCCAGAAATATGAGGACAACCAGAAGGAGCTCGATGAAATCAAGGCTGCTCGCGAAGACACCAACAAGAACTACGACGCCTTGAAAGCCGAACGTGAGAAGTTGTACCAGGAACAGCAAGCCACCTACGCGGCCATCAAAAGGGTCAAGGATGAATATTACGCCCAAAAGAAGGCGTACAAGGAGTATGAGGACCAGCTGTACCAACAACGACGTGAACGCCAAAAGGCGGAGCGTGAGGCCTACGAGAAGGAGAAACGTCGTCGTATTGCGGAACAAAAACTGGAGGAAGCGAGTGAACCTGCTTTTCTGGATCAAATTCGCACGGCCGAAGGCCTCATCCGCCACTTCGACCCTTCTTACGGCACGGAAGACAGTGAGAAGGGTCCGGGTCAATTCGCTGCCACTGCCCAACGGACCATTGACGAGTCCGGATTCAAGGGGATGAAAGTCATGAAGAAAGCAGATGAGGACTTCTTCGTCGGCGGGGGAGGGAAGAAGAAAGGAAAAGGTAAGAAGGGTGCTGCCGCCCCTGCCGAGTCCGGTAAACTCAACATGAACATTGGTGTCATTGAAGAGTTGGCCAAAGTCGGAGTGGACCCACCAAGTACTCAAGCCGATGTTCCCGGTGTGGTGGAGAAGTTGAAGGCTAAGTTGGAGACCTGGAAAAGGGATCAAGGTAACCAGACTCAAAAGGTAACCCTTTCATCCTGGCAGATCTTTCCCCAAATCTGACTCGCATTCCGGAAACAGAACATTGAAAAAGCAAAGAAAGAGATTGAAAAGCTAGAACACGAAGCCGCCGAGTCCTCCAATGCCTCGCCTCCTCCCAAGGCGGGGCCCAAGGGTGGCCGTTTCGACCGTGCGAAGAAAACCGCATTGAAAGATTCTGGTGTCAACGGCGGTGTTTCTGCGGAAGGTGAAGAAGCGCAAGAGAAAGACGCCGTGGCTGATGCCGCCAAGGAGCTGAAAGAGGCCAAGATCGAGGACAAGGAGAATGAAGAAGTGGCTACACCATAATCACAATGTAGAGCACCAGCCATGCCCCCCCGGATAGCTCGGCCATGACGTTGCGGTCTTGTCATTTTGCATTCTGGGGAGAACAGCACGATTCCTTCTCAGAGGAGTCAACCTGACGGAAAAAGAAAATGGGAGGAAGTGGGAGGGAGCGATGAAAACCCCTGGCCCTCAAAATTGTCCCAAAAAAACTTCGACTGGAAAATTCATGCGAGGATGATCCTCTGGCGTTGTATCTTTGCTCGGGAGGCGACTCACCCTCCGTGCATTGGGCAGAACCGAAAACCACATTCACATAGCACCCTCAGGCAGAAACTGGAAAATTTCAAAAAGGTCCACCGAGACTTCTTTTTTCACTTGTGACCTACATTCTTACTCCTGACGAATTTGATGTTGATATCAGGATATGGAATTATTCTCGGCGTCTTACAAGTTCAACCCGGGAGCCGCTCGACGTCATTGGCTGCAGGACCATCACAGCGACTCCCCCCTCACTTTTCCTGCCCATCCTCATTCTCTACACCTGGGAGGTTTCGAGTCGGACCACTCATCCAATCCATATCCGACTTGTCTGGTGACTGGTAATCCCAAATCTACCATTCGACGAAAAGAAAAGAATAGAGGAACATGACAACAATCTTCCGCCCCGGCGCCTTCGCCTTGATCTCGGGCTCCGCCTCTGGCGTAGGCTTCGCGTTCGCCCAACACTGCCGACGACAAGGCATGCACCTAGCCCTCATCGACAGAAATGGCGCATGTCTCCAACAAGCCTCTTCTGCCCTGCAATCCCTGGCCCCGGACTCCAAGGCTCAAACATACACATATGAAATGGACGTCTCAGATCTTTCCGCCTGGTACCACCTCCGCGACGACGTCGGTTCCAGGTTCTCCACCGGCATCGACTTCCTCCTCCTCAACGCCGGCATGTCGATCCGCACGACTACACCGTGGGAAGACGCCGCGTATTTCCACACGACGCTGGCCACGAACTTTTTGGGCGTCGTCAACGGCCTGACAACGCTACTCCCTCTGGTACGGCAATCCGCGGGCCCTTCGGCCGTCGTGCTCACCGGCAGCAAACAAGGAATTACCAACCCGCCCGGCAACCCGGCGTACAACGCGAGTAAATCCGCGGTCAAAACCGTGGCGGAACAACTAGCGCACGACTTGCGCACGAGTAGTTCGTCGGTGCACGCGCCCCAGGTCTCTGTCCACCTGCTCGTGCCGGGCTGGACGTTCACGGGGCTCAGCGGCAACGTTGGGCCAGTGCCGGATGAGGAGGCGTTGGCGAAGAAACCACGCGGGGCGTGGTTGCCGAGCCAAGTTGCCACGTACGGCGTGCAGAAGATTAATGAGGGGAAATTCTATATTATTTGCCCGGATACGGATGTGGATGAGGCGCTGGATAATGCGAGGATGACGTGGGCGATGGGCGATATTACAGAGGGGAGGAACGCGTTGAGTCGGTGGGATGAGAAGTCCAAGGATGAGGCGGCGGAGTGGATAAAGAAGGACGCGGAAAGGAGGAGGCAGTAGAAATCTAAGAAGTGCCCAAGGGACTCCTCGTAAGCGAGCGGTGGAAAGGGAAAACAGGGTGGGAGGTTGGTAAAAGGAGACAGTCAGAAAAGCCAGTCCATAAGCATTCGAGAGTCATATATGAGAAAGGTTGGATAATAAGTTCCCGACTTGGGGAAGGTAAAAGTCTTTATGCTAGGTATGTCGAAGGTTTAGACGTCCTGTCTCGTCTCTTACACTGGTGTTTTTAGACCACTCCGTCCCACCGCATGTGCCCATGTTCACACCGCAGGATCCGTCTCAGCCTGATATCGGGCGGATCCCAGACGAGATCTCTAAACCCGACACGCTGCCTTGCGGGAATCCTGATGCCCAAATGTCCTGGACAGCCAACCCACTCCTCGTTGCGGACGAGGAGGAGTTCACCTCTGCGTCCTACTTCCAGATTGGGTTCATCTGTTTCTCCCTCCCCGGCATCTTCATCTCCAGTCTTAGACTCCAAGTTTACCGCAGAAGCCGGCGAGAGGCCTATAGCCTTCCTCGCCCGGGAGCTCACGCATTCGAAAAGTGTCTTCGCATCTTCGTCTGTCCCTGCTTGATATATTCCCACGCCCAAAGATGCCAGTTGCAAAGGGTCTCCCATGCCCCATGGCGTGAAGGCGTTGCCGACATTATTCACGGAAAGACAGGTCGACAAGCCGAATTTCTTGATCATATCCAGCACCTGAAGCGTGCCACGGGGCCGGTGGGCAGATTTATCCTCCTCCGACGAACCTATGTGGCTTGGTCGACCCATCATGAATAGATCACTTGTCGGGAGACCGACGAAGTGAACCGGTAGCTCGGAGTCTGTAATCTCTTTGGCCAATCTGGCCATTTCGGCATCACTGCAAAGCGTCAGACGCGTGCAATGGCCCAGGACGATCGTCCGGCCTTTCTTCGTACGCTCGTTCCATCTCAAATCTTTCAGCAAGCGCAGCACATCCCAGACCATAGGTTTTCGAGTTTCGTCCAGACTATAATCGAGATGGAAATCCAGATGGAGATCATTGGCTAACGCTGTCTCAATCGCCCACTCGATGTTGCGCAAACTTGCCTCAGGACTCTTCTCGACGTACGGTGTGGTCCCCAGCACTTCGACGTCGGCGCCGCATGTTTCCAGCGCGTGGGTTAGGATATGTCGATTCCCTTCACCGTGTTCGGTGCTGAAGATCGGGTCCTGGGCAAAGGCGCAGATCTGCAGTTTGAGTTTGGCCTGAAAAAGGTCTTTGAGGGCGAGTGCAGTTGAGAGGCACGAGTTGCCGGTGACGTGGTCGAGTTCGACAAAGGCGCGACATGAGGTTACGCCTTGGGCGACGGACGTGCCGAGTAACTGTGAGCCGCGGAGATAGAGGTCTTCAGGTGTGTAGTGTCGTTTGGCTTGAGAAGTCAAAGATAGAGCTTCGCTAAAGGAGCCGGTTTGTGGGGTCAGGTCTGAGTAGGCGGCATGAATTGGTGGAGAGTCCTCGGATTGAGACTGAGATGGGCGATGTGAGGTGTTGCACGTGAGGAGATACGCCTTATCGAGATGGATGTGTGGGTGGCAAAGGGGCGGGAGAAGGAGTGACGCTGGGTCTGAGGAGGAAGATGAAGATATTGACGGGCGGATAGAAGTAATCGCGTTGGCTGCGAAGTCAACATCCCAACGAGATTTTGGATCTCGGCCTGGAAGGATGACATTCTCGAGCTTCATCGTGCTCAACTGGTCTCGGGAATTCGCCTCCTCCAGGTCTGGATAGTTTTGCTTCCTGTCAAGAGGGGATCCTCCTAAAGGGTCTCAGCGTTTCATGGGTGTCCACTGTATAATTTGCACCCCATAAATTCGGGTTTGTCTAGTATTAATAACCGCGTAGAATTATAGCGATATCTTCGCCGTTTGACAGCTTTCGGGGTCCTCTATTGAGACCCAGGCTCCCGAAAGATCCAAAGACAGAGGGGTACGCTATTTGCCCAGCGCCTATCAGTCGACGGTAGAGGTGGTTGTTGGATGTCGGGGTCATGGGTTAGGTAAGCACCAGCAACGAGACATTTCCGTTTTGAGACAGGGTGAGATATCCCATCCCATCGTCAAACGACAAAAGAACTTTTGATTCCAGGATATCTGAATGAGAATCTGGACGACTATTCCTTCCGGCCCGATCACGTTTCATCCATGCTCCCATCCTACGCCCATTCGCTATGCCATATTGTCCCTTGATATTCCGATTCGACCAACCACGTCGTACCAGGAAACTCCTCATATTTCTCATGGTAAGTCATTTTCGTCGTGATTCTTTGTCCATCCCCATCGTTGTAGTCATGATGCCGGAAACTCAACCCGCGCCATATTTTCGGACCACTTCAGCAACTTGACCAGCAAGCTTCTCCGCCTCGGTTTTGGAATGGGCTTCTGCATAGACTCGGACAGCATCTTCTGTGCCCGAAGCCCGAGCAAAAGCACGTCCTTTGACATACATCTGACAATACTTGTCGATTTCATCCTGGGCGCCTTTTGGAGATTCGAGTTTCCTCTCGGCATCCGTGGCCTTGAAGATGGATCGGTCATGAACTTCCACCTTCACCAGTCGGTTGGGAAGGTCGATATAAGTGTTGCGCCAATTTTCCAGAGTCCAAGATTTGTGAGCCAGGACGACTTCGGCGAACAACATGTCGGAGATGGCATCGCCCACGGCCTGGTTGATCAGGTCAATGCAAGCGCGGAGAGACTCCAGTGCGTGCTTTTGTCCAGGAGATTTGGGTTCTGATTCTCGGATGACTTTGATCGCATGGTCCGAGAAGAGCACGGTACCATGGCCGTTGGCTTCGAAATAGACGCCGATGTCATACCGCGCCGCCGCATGGTGGAGATGCTTCACTCCCGTGGGAGTGATGGTGACGGGAAGTTTCAACACCTTCTCCACGTATTCCGTCGCCGCACCATTGGCGTACGCGGTCTGAACAATGCCAATCTTGAGTTTCTGATCGATCCCCGCAATCCGTGTCATATCAGCAAGGAAGACGGCTCCCAAAGAGGCAATTCGGTCGCCGTCCAGGAGATGGAAATTGTTCTGCTCGTCGGTATAGTAGTAGACCACACGGTCCGCATCGCCATCAAGTGAGCAGCATCGATCACCCGGTTGGGCATTCGAGCTTGGCGGAGCTCGCTGTTTGGTCTTGACATAGTCGGCACCGCACTAACACAATTAGCATCAATGCGAGACGATCTCAGAAAGAAAATAGCTCGCCTCGAAATTGAGAGCCTCGGGTCGGACAATATCGTCATTGACCACCTTGATGTCAATCCCGCCCTCTTTCCCGCTGGGAAGATATTTGATCAATTCCTTCAACTTGGGGCCTCCAACACCATTGGCGCAATCGACAGTCACGGATCCCTGGATCGTCCGTCCGTGCATGATGGTTTTGAAGGCCTTGGCCATCTTTTTATAGTATCCTTGTTCGGTTGGTTCGCCAAATGCATATGGGGAATTCATGGTGTTAATGCAACGCACCACGTAGTGCAGTTGTGGAGTCGTCATGAGACCATAGTCGGTGTACTCGACCTTGACAGCATCCAGAGCAGCCTTGAGAGCCGTCACCAAGTACGGTCCGGAAGCACGAGAATCCCGCGCAAAAACCACCTTGGCTGGCCGCTCATGCAACTGACGGATTTCGTCCACCAGAGTTTCATTGACAAGGTCCCCATATGCCTTTGCGAGCTGATCATTGGGTGTATTGGCCAGCGAAGTGGCAAACCCTTCCCACGATTGCTGGAAACGTTCAGTCACGTGATGTGGTCGACGTGCGCACGATGAAACGCCATACCTCGAGCATGTCACCCTGTATACCGACTTTGTCAGCCCGAATGTCATAATCCTTAGTGCCTATGGTGACATACCATGGGGTCAACCAACTTGACTCCATTGTCTTCCGCCGGGTTGTGGCTCGCCGTAATCATCACGCCGATGGTTGCATTGCGCTTCTTCGACCGCAGAGCAGCAATGAGTCCAACAGTGTAGATGACGTGATCCAATCCAGCGTTCCTGTGGCCATCTCTTTTGTCAGTGCCCAGGTCTTCGCATCGTAGGACGGAGAGGTAGTGGCAGCCTCATGCGGGCTGAAAGGGAGAACGTACGCTCTCATGCGGAACTTGGTAGACAGTCATGTCAGTGAACGGATGACCGGAGAGGTGAAGGAATGATAGACATACTCCTGCCGTGCCATATTCGTATTTTCTTCCTTCGGGAATGGGATACGGCTCGGCACCTCTGGTGATGGCATCTAGCAGATCCTGAGGCAGACGAACCACCGGCTTCGGCTGGTTGAAGACCGAGTCGCGAGGGTTGCTGAAGGACATGATGGCCAGACACAGATCGCACTCACGTCACCACAGGGAGTGGGCGAGTAAGGTGTGATTAAGAGAGACGGACAGTCACGGTGGAGGAGGGCGTTGTTTAAAAGCTAACGGGAGAAGAAGGGGGAGGGAAAGCGGGAGGGATGGGAAGAGAGGGTTGATGAAGGATGTCCTTTTCGATAGAGGTGCAGTTTTCCGTATTGTAAATATGTTACAAGTCGCAGGGCATGCTGCAGGACGACCGGGGTTCATCCACCGCTATGATGGAATAAAAGTTCCCCGCGTACCTGACTAGTGGTACTGTAAGTAACCCAGGGTATGGAGGGGGGGGGCCTTTAGCTGACCTTAAACCCCCACGACGCCCAAGAGCTTCGTTCCAAACAACCCTCCATCACCCCTTCCGTCCACCACGTTGACCGCAAAACTTCCCAAAGTCAAAGGCCCCCCCCCCTCCCTACCCGCCGAGCTTACTGCATCTGCTCTTTAATCCCGCAAAATATCCTGGCTCGCTCCGTTTTTAGACGGCCCGGGGCTGCCCATCGTCGGGTTCTCACCACCAACCATCGCTCGCCAAAGACGCCACTGATTATTTGCTTTTTGGGTTTTTGGTTCGTAACATCTCAAACGACCAGAGGTCATGCTTATCTTAACGCGGAGCGCCGACGTTCAAGCTTTCAGTCGTTGACTGGCCAGGTCTTCTTGCGCATCTTTGATCAAAAAACTGTGTGACCAGTCAGGGTTGGTCATCAAATGATCACGGACCCGGTCGGCGTGACACTCACCTGTACCACCAGACGGTGGGAAACACGGTCCCCAAATGCCACAGACTATGTGCATCAATCATTCCGCCAATCGGGGGAAAGTCAAACAGCTCCAAACTCATGGCCATGATGATCCAGGCGACAATGAGACCGGGCCAAGCGGCCCACGTTTTCTGCAGTTTGCGGTAGCGGGAGATACTGAAACCGCTCCAGAGTAGATTTTGAACAATGCCCACCGCCACATTCGCAGCCATGTTGTAGGTGTAGTCCCAGCTCCATGCCGTCAGATAGATGACGTGGGCGGCGTAGAGAAGAACGCAAAGAATAGTCCATACGCGAAGAATGCTCTGCTTTGTCGGCTCGTTCTTGTCCAGTCGAAAGATGCGAATGGGAGTGTAGTAAAGTCCATAAAGCACACTCGCTCCAGCCGCGAAATAGTCCAGCTTCTCGGTGATGTTAAAGTCTCGAGTGTGGAAAATCATACTAAAGATCCAACTGGCTAGCCCAAAATAGCCAAATGCCAGATAATACGGTCGAAGACTGTACCGAACTGGGAGGGACTCTCGAATTCTCATCATGCCCTCCCGATGAGCCATGAAATTCATCAATGAGAACAATACCGAGAAGGGTTCCTGGATGCCCAGGAAACGATGAAATGGCCATTTTCCGTGAAACTGCACCACGGGTTCTATCATGGGCGGATCTCGCGCTTTGCGCCTGTCCGTAATGACATGCTGACAGGTGTAGTCGCACTCGGATGGACAGGTCCAAAGTAATAATCGAAGATGCGGCGCTGAGAGGAATCAACTCGAGAAATGTGGAAGGATCGGTATCAGAAACACCTACGTAAAGTCCCCCGACCCGTGTCGCAATTTTCTTCAATGCAGACCCTCACACAAGTGCGAAATTCTGGAAGACGGTCCCCCAGTGAAGCCCACGAAATGTGGGCGAGAGATAGCAAAATGAAAATTAAAACAGTGCTCCGGACTGCGCGATGCAGAAGGCTCATGGTGATCATATCAGGACGAAGGGAATGTTACTGCAAAATAATGAATGATATTTGAGTGCCGTAAAGGGGGCGGTGCTCCGCCGTACAGACCAGTGCACGTGACTCAGGTTGGTCTCCCAGAAGAAAATTCGACCGAAAGTTCAAATACGTGTCGAACCAAAACTACTCACATCGAGAACGACACGTCCAACAACGTTCCCAGCCATTATCAATTCGCAATATTTGTCAACCTCTTCGAGCGTGCCGCGGGTCAAAATGGGCTGTTCATATGTGGTGAGCCTTGTAATTCAGCTTGCGGCAAGGACGGGACTTTCGCTGACATGTACTATACCTCTGACCGTGAAGTCGAGCGCCTCCTCGACATCCTTGAGTCTTCCCACCAGGCTCCCGATAATACGGATCTGCTGCATGACCATTGTCATCGGCTGGGCTCCGGCAATGGCCGTCGTATCGTCAGGCAGTCCCACTACCACTAGAGTTCCACCTGGACGCAAAAGAGAGGGTGCAAGCTCATAGGCCTGGTGTGGCCTTAAAGTCGATGAACATCTTCCGCACCTAGTTTCTTACGCAGGTCTCGTTTCTCATTGCTGGTGTCGATTGCGATCATACGCATCCCCTGACATCTGTCAGCTTTCTGTGGCCATTGTGCTTGAACCGCCAAAAGAAGTATGCTACCATCGCCCGAGCATGCTGCACGGCGAATGTCCCAGTCCTCCCCCGGCTCTTGGAAGATCGATCCATTGGTCGGGACGAACATCACTCCGCCTACATCCCGTGTCAGAGGTAACTCCGGCGCACATAATTAGCCCGGCTTCTTCGTCAGGAAGCTTTATGGCATAGTTTCCATCAGCGATAGCATACTGCTGGAAACTGCCGGCAGTAATGGACTCCAGAGTTCTTTTGGTTGACACAATGGAGCTCATTTACACCATCAGTGCAGAATTCACACTTTCCACAGATACTCTAAGACCCATTTGATACCTACTCGGTCACCAATCTTCCATTTGTCTTTCATGTCACTTTCTCCGGCGACCGCGACACCAGCTCCTTCGTGTCCCGCAATCCCCTTCATGTTCGACGCCATTTTAATCCCGAAGACGGCCCATTCATCACGAATCAAGGCATGATCGGAAGCGCACAGACCGGTCCTTTCTATATTTCAGCACAAAGATGGCACAGGGCTGTGGTTCAAAGTATGTTCTGACTACGTCATCTTCACTAAAAATTTCGCTGGGCTGTGGCATTTCTACCTCAAGCTGCTTGATCGAGGCTCCAGCATTTGGGCCTTCGTCAACACGAACTACGCCCAGGTTGTATTGGTGGATCTGGAGGGCTCCCACGTGGTTTTGATGGTTACTGTGAAGGTAAGAAAGCGGATTTTTCACGGGATCTGTGATACTGAATGTTGTCTGCCAGGCAAGATGGAAGACAACCTCGACGTGGCCTCGTCCCAAAGATGGTGAAGCAGGATGACTTCCTTTTGTGCTAGTCATTTTTCTGGGCTTTGTCGTCATAGATGGAGGGAATCGAATACCACGACTTGCCCAACAAGGACATTGAATAGTCGGCTCTAGCATCGTACCATGCTTCTGGACAGACTGCGATGTTGCATGGACCTATAATCGTCGCGCCGCTGTACGTTGTCTGCGGGCGCTCACCTATTCTGCCCCCGCACTGAAAGCACTTCAAACTTCTCTATTCGACCCTGAGCGGTTTCAGGTGTCGGCGTCTTACCCCCAATTTGGCCAATCAAACTCCTCAAAACCTTTGCCTGGAGAGGTTTAGCACTTTTTCTATATTGGACAATTGGTTGAATCGGGAACTCCCAAGCGTCTCAGGTTCAGCCTTACCTCCTAGAACTGACAAAAGGCAGATGTCGCCGAATTTTCTTTTTCCCCAACCAGCTTTCTCCTCATCTATATGTCCACCGATCAAATACTGTACAGCTATCGGAACCCCCGATTCGCAACATGAGTGATCAACAAGAAACGGCGCCGACAAGGAAATTGACTAATTGCTTACAGATGCGGCCTCAGTCTATTGCGTGATAGAGCCAGCTCCTCGCTACTTACATTGGCATATAGTGATTCATTGAACTCGGGTCAATGAGCAGCAGCCAGCCCATCTCCCTGAGAGGAAATCAGGGCGTCGAACTCTGACGTTGCTCGAGCTGTTTCCTCCAAGGGAAATGCCCACAGGCAGGTTTGCGAACTCATCAAGGGTAGTGAATGTTGCGAAGATAATACACCGGATCAGTCAATGCATAATGTTGACCATTTAAGCCTTCGACATGCTGCTTTTCGAAAGGGGCCGACCAAGTTATTTATTCAATGCATGCCTACAAAGAGACATACGTCGGCGGTTGAAATTTCTTGGGACTATCCACTTTGGCGAACACACGGCATCCTTCATGTGCTCGTCTTCTGGGGATTGGTAGACAGATTCCTCATCTACGCAAGGTCCCCTTCCCAAAAGGGGCTAGACCAGACCCGAGTTGTGAGCCCGTCCCCTACATCACGGCCGTTGATCCTCACCAATCCGACCTTTTTCTGCATCGACCTGAGAGGTTTTGAGCGCCGTTCCCAAATGCGAGAACGGACTGCAACCCATGATGTTAGCAAATTGGTGATCCCTTGCGGACCTGTCACGTGACACTCTAGGACTAGCCGACTGGAGCGCTCGTTGACTACTTCTTCCACTCCTACTACCGCACACCACCCTCAGAAGAACAAGATACAGATAGACCACAGCAACGGCTATTTCAGTCAACTTTCCCCTGTCCCAGATACGACAAACAGGAACCAGGAAACTCTCACGCGACAGAAAAGGACAAGGAAACTAACCAACAGAAATCAATTATTGTTCGCAAATCAAAACCTAGAGGCTCTCCAACAAGCACCTTGAGACAGATCGTGAGCCATGCTCGAAGATTCCAAAGCAATCAAAACAACGCCAACAACAAACATCGGCCTGGCGAGGTGCACTCTACGTGAGAACCCTAGTCGGCTGGGGTCCTGAAGCTTCCAATGTCCCGACTCTCAAGAAGGCCGATCTCTAAGCAGGCTGCTCCTCCCACCCACGACAGACACCGAAGCTCACTCGGAGCACGAGTCAAGGGCATGCTCGCTCAACCCACGGGATGACTGCGTGTAGATCCACTCGATTCAATGCCCGTCGGGCACAGCAGAGATGTGATGAACATGGTTGATTATTGTGAGTCCGCTCTTCATATGACCTCGATATCCCCCGGTCATTACTGACCATATTCAGACGTCAAGGTGTTTTCAATAATGAAACTCGGCAATTTCGACCCTATTAATACCTATTGCGAACTCTGCTGGCCAGCCGCAATGCAAGATCACATGCTCTTTTATGCCACTCTAGCCCTTAGCCGAGCAGCCTGGTGCGTAGTTCATATGCACATTCCTGCAGAAGAGAGGCGGCGCTCTTTCGAGACTTCGACAAAGAATCTCATCCGACGTTGGCGAGCCGGACAACAATGTGATTCTTACTATGGACAGTATGCTCAACGTGCCTTACATAACAAACGATTATGCGGCATTTGACATCCATTGCGATGTCTTCAGGAGGGTCGCCAGGGCATTCGTCGTGGTAGAATCGAGGGAAGAGATGATACGAGTAGCAACCTATCGACCTGGGAACGGGGAAGGCCTTGATGCGTGTCGAAAAGGGACAGACACGTTACGTGAGTCACTCTTGTCGAGGCCTTTCTTCCAAACAATTCAACATGGTCAGTTCCCCGTTCTGCCCAATCAGCAACTCTGGGCCTTTTCCCTAGGGATCAATGAGCTAGTCCAGGCAGGCACCATCCGTAGAGACATCATGAACATAGTTATCCACACGGAGCGTGCGTTGCTCAACAAGCCAGAGGCTGTTGCACTTACGACTACCCACCTCGTTCCTCAACTGGTCTTTCCCCGGATGTCTGAACAATTGTCCGACTTTGAATCTCAACTTTGCTACACTCTCCTTGCACTATGTGGCTATGTGGATCGTAACAGCAGTCATGCACGATCAGACCCGGCAATATCATTTCCGAGCGGAACTCACAGTGATCCTATGTTTAGCCAGCAACACGCTCCAGAGAATCTCAATGATAAGATACCGGTTGACAAGATAGCACAAGCATTTATCAACAAGAAACTGTCTGACTCACAGTCTGTCGACAGACCGGCAACGCTTGAACGCAGCTGTTTGACCTGGTGTTCACTCATGTTGAGGACGATACTGCTTACCGACGCACACTCAATCGTCACCCCATGGGCGGACTATAGAAACGAATACTAAAATCAGACACAAATCCATCATCTTAAAGGGCGCGGGCATATCATCGTCTTCGCTCTTGAGCGACACCTGCAATCGAAAAATACATCTGATCAACGACATGACTCGACTCATCACCACATCCACCATCCATCCTCCTACACTCTCATTGATCCACTCGGCGTCCCCCGGCATCCTGGCCCCTCTGTTTTCTCCTCAACCAAATATTTCGGCCATTACGAGTCCCGACTACGATCTTCTCTATACTCAGTTCCCCTCCGCCCCTCAAATCACCTCTCAATGGCGACACCCGACAGCGTGAGTGGGAAGCCAGCGGCCTGTTGCAAACAACAAGAAGAACAGGGGTGGGCGGGAGCTCATTGGAAAATGAGCACGTGGTTGAGTTCGACATGATTGAATACCTGGTCTTGAGGGACGCGAGAGAGAGTTTGCCATTGTGAAGCGAAAGTCTTTTGGATGTATGGTACGCTTTATTGATCTAACGACATTTCGACTAGTCGATACACTTGTGTACAGTGTTCTATAGCCGTGCAACGTCTTCAGACGGAGGCCTAGTATTCATCATCTAAAATTACAGATTGTGTTTGCTTTTGGTTATTTTTGGGCTGCGGAGATGTGAGTGGGCGCGAGGGCTTGCAGGAGAATCTTGTGTGCCAAGAAAGTTAAGCTTCAATTCACAGGTTGTACCGCTCACCACAGGTGCCGTCCGGTCGGAGCTTTTTCCATTTCTCCGCAGTGCGTATTAACTAGATTACATATTTTAAGCAGCAAAATCCCTCCAAATTTATTGCAGGGGCTGTAGCTCAGGGGTAGAGCGCCTGCTTTGCATTTAAAAATGCGTATGCATGAGGTCATGGGTTCGAGACCCATCAGCTCCATTCACATGATCTGATACGATCATGTTTTTCTTTTCCTCGGGGAGAAATTTTTTTTGTAAATTTTATCAGAAATGCTCTCTTTGTGGCGAGTTTTCCCGCCAGGCCGGGAGATTTGGAAGTCTTAGCATCTTTATTATCACGTGCCTGCGCATCGGAGAATCGCGCGGCCAGCGGGAGATCGAAATCTATTGACAATTTTGGGTGGCCTTGGAATTTTCCTTGGCCAGGGATAATCATTCTTGAACGAATTCTATCGGCGCCTCACCACATCCTTCATTCGGCCAGAAATCATGAACGGCACCAAACCAGGCCCATCCGTGGCCGTTTTGGCTGCCATGTCCACGGAGGAGAGGATGGCGGGCATGGAACATTCCGAAGTCCGCTATTTCACGAGGTTTGCGCTACGAGACAACATTGAACATATTTGCTGAAGTTGATAGCTACGACCATCACGGCATTCATGAGGAAATGCTGGTAAGGACACTGCGATTGGTCGAATGTGACGCTGACACAGAACCCAGAAAGACGAGGTTCGCACCCGATCCTATCGCGACGCCATCTACCAGAACCAACACCTCTTCAAAGACAAAGTTGTTCTCGATGTTGGATGTGGGACAGGCATTCTGAGCATGTATGGGACCTGCTTCGGCGATTCTCAAGACGATGGTTGATACTGACTTGGACAGGTTTGCGGCACGGGCTGGGGCTAGACATGTGATTGGAGTCGACATGTCCAGTATCATCAATAAAGCCAAATTGATCGTGGAGGCCAATGGATTGTCCAACAAGATCACACTTTTGCAAGGCAAGATGGAAGAGGTGGAGCTGCCGGAACAACATCTCTCGGGAGGAAAGGTCGACATCATCATATCTGAATGGATGGGTTACTTTCTTCTCTACGAAAGTATGCTTGATACAGTCCTCTGCGCGCGAGACAAGTATTTGAAAGAGGGAGGCAAAATCTTCCCGGACAAAGCCACCATCTATATGGCAGCCATTGAGGATGGAGAGTACAAAGACGACAAGATTGGATGTAAGTACAACGGAGGGCTGTCGCGGAGCACAGACTGATCGTTCCAAGTCTGGGATAACGTTTACGGCTTTGACTTCACTCCGATGAAGGAAAGTGCCCTGAGCGAACCTTTAGTCGATACGGTCGAGCTCAAGGCTCTGGTCACCGACCCATGTCCCGTGTTCACCATTGATATCAATACCGTCACCGCACCTCAGTTGGCATTTTCGGAGCCATTCCAACTTCGATGTCAAAGAAACGACTTCATTCACGCCCTCATCGCATGGTTCGATATTGACTTCACCGCATGCCATAAACCGATCCGATTTTCAACGGGTCCTCACACAAAGTATACCCATTGGAAGCAGACTGTCTTCTACCTCCGAGAAGTTCTTACCGTGGAGGAAGGTGAAGTGGTGCAAGGCTATCTCTCCAACAAACCCAACAGCAAGAACCGCCGAGACTTGGATATCAAGATCGACTATGAACTCGACACGTCAGACCCGTCCCGTTTCGCTGCGGGATCATGCGAATACAGAATGTAAGCTGGTTCCCTATTCGAGCGAGGAGCATTTGACTCATCATCATTCTTAGGTGCTGATCAAGGATGACGTTCTTGACATTTGTCCATTCTTCGCATGTTGCTCGGCGTGAGGGTTCCTGTTTTTTATTCTGCATAGCACCAGGCTGGGTCCTTATGGCATACATTTCAGACATCTTTTGCTGCATGTCGCATGAATGAGAGCGACCAAAGCTTTCAGGGCGAGGGAGACCTCCTGCCATGATAAATGACCGGAAATGATTTCCGGGACGATTTCAAGCGCCTCGTTACTGCTTCAGATACCCCACGAGTTGACGCTGATTTTGATAATGGACTCATAATGGACATATCAACGACGCTCGCCAACTCCTAAATTAAAAAGTTGGCCCAAAGACGGCCGGCTTCGAGAATTGTTGATTACTAGTACCATCCTACTAATGCCCTCGAGCCATGACTATACTCCATGGCCGTGGACCTCGGCATCCAGCTCCCCGCACCCTTTCACTGATGCTGACCCCAGCTGCAATTCCGTCTCCATACATTTATTTGACCTCTCGACCATCGTTCGTAGTCTTTGCAATTTCTCCATTCAAAACAAAGAAATTCGGCAAAATGTCTGGTCCAGGTGTTGGCTACGAATATCCCCGAACAGATGTCTCCTGGTTAAAGCGAGACGTACTCTTGTTCGCAGTGAGCATTGGTTGCACTGTGGATGAATTGCACTTCATCTATGTAAGTGTCAAGCGTTATATCTCTCCAAACGAGATCTGACCGACCATATTCAGGAACTGCACCCCAATTTCGCCGTCTTTCCCACCTATTCAATTATCCTTCGTTAGTCCAGCCTGGTGCTCAACTTCTTTCGAACCAAACTGACTCTCGATAGCCTTCAAGAAGACCTCGCAAGAGGTGATCGACTTCTACGCCGCCCAGGCAAGCAACCCTATTCCCGGTGTTCCCAAGCTTGACTCTAGGAGAGTGGTCGACGGTCAACGCCTGATCCAATTCCTCAAACCTCTCCCTCCGACATCGGAGGGCAGAAAATTTGAGCTGCGATCCAAGGTTCTCGGTGTGTATGACAAAGGCAAGCCAGGCACAGTCGTCGAGACTGAGCAGACCATTGTGGACAAAGAGACTGGTGAAGTTTACACACGGGCTGTCGGGAGTGGGTTTTTCGTCGGCCAGGGAGGATGGGGTGGACCCAAGGGGCCGGCGACCGTCAACTACCCGCCACCGAAAGGCAGAGAGAAGAGCCCAGATGCGGTGAGCGAAACACAATTAACTGCCGAGACTGCGCATCTGTACCGGTATGCAGCTCTGATACCACTCAATGACAAGTGGCTGACATTGACCGACTACAGACTTAATGGTGACTATAACCCTCTCCACGCAACACCCGAACCAGGTCAGAAGATGGGCTTTGGCGGCACCATCATGCACGGCTTGTTCAGTTGGAACACCGCGGCACATGCGTTGTTGAAAGAGCTGGGCGGAAGCAATCCGGCCAACATGAAGGAGTTCCAAGCCCGATTTGCAGCACCGGTCAAGCCGGGTGATAAACTTACCACCGAGATTTGGAGGACGGGCGAGTATAAGGAAGGATGGGAAGAAGTCCGATTCGTGACGAAAGTGAATGGAAAGACTGTTTTAAGCAATGGGCGAGCATTGATGAAGTGCGTTGGGAGGAGCAAGCTTTGAAGCCCTTTGATGGGACTGATGTGAATAAAATCATTCTGAATTCTTGCATAGGACCTTGCCCTGGTTGACTTTGGTAAGAAGCTGAACCCCCATAACTAGGCATCTTTGTCGGGCCAAGCTCGTGTGGATTTCTGCCAAGAACTCTGGATTATGCTAGACTACATTCATCTGCAGCCGCTTTTGGCGGCGTTCTTCCCCGATGCCGAACCAACTACTTGTTCCAAACGCCCACCTCTTGACATTCCTGGACTCCTTGACCCAACGATACCCTCGCCCATACCGGCTTCAATAATGGCGCCTGTCGTACATATATGGAGGATTCTTCCCGATCCTCCTCACACTGCCATGGAGAACGGGGGACTCCTTCGACCTCCATCTCTTTCTACGCCTTCGGCTGGCTCTCCTCAAGCTTGCGTCGAAAATCGGTCAGTGCGAGCCCATCATTGTTCCTTTCTATGAGATGCTTCGACTTCGACGAATGCCACGCTCTATCATTTCATCCTACCATCTTTATGCAGGTAACTGCCTCGCATCACTTATTGGTACTGCGAGAAGGCGAGGTTGAGAGTTGTTAGGCTTTTTGTGGAAACGGCCAGCAGTCAACATTCCCCTGAACGCCATCGAGAATCGAAGCCAAACTTGGCTCCCTCGATCTTCCTCTTTCTGGGGTTTCCATGATGCCGCTTTGTGCTCACGCTGGTCATGTTAGTACACCCTCCTACCTCCTCCAGCACGGCTTATTCGTCGTAAACCCCAAAGTCAGTGTTACGGGAGAGAGGTCACAGCCAGCAGGTGATCCAGTGTTCTCTATGACAGACACCCAGAGCTTGGCATGTGGCAGGTGATCATGGACTCAAAGAGCGAGACCATCGGACATATAGGGCGGTGGAAAGTTCGGGCGCTGCCCCATTCGCTTGGCGGTCACTCACCAGCCGGAAATTTTCCTCTGGATGCCCCCCCAAAGGCACCACGTATCATGGCGTCCAAGTTCGTGGTTAATGCAGCCTTTAAGGCTCGTCTTCTCCTTCGGTCACCTCGACAGCGCGATATTTTACCACGGACCACCCTCAAACCCGAATACCCTACGTTGCAGACTCTCAGCTCCAGATCATACTCAGACTCGACCTCTACCCCCTCTCCAAAACCTACTGGATCTCCTGAGGGTTCTCAATCTTCTGGGTCTGAGCATAAGCGGAAGAATTGGTTCTCCCCTGCTGCTTGGGACAATGTCTGGAGCAAAGTCTGGACAGGCGTTTTGGCTGGCGGCTTGGCCACCGTTGATCTTGTATGTGAAGGCTCCTTTTCATGTGTTAAGATATACTGATTACATGAAGAATCTCACCACATATGCCACCCGGCCAATCTGGGGAGATTGGTACCAGGAATTTCGGAGACGTGCGCACAAATCTAGACGCGAATCTGCAATCTACGATCAGCTCAAAAAGGGACCGATATTTAAGGAGGCGATTGAATACACTATCCCACGCGGGGTCCTTGTGGAGAGAATAAGACATGTCATCACACCAAAGGAAAGAAGTCGTCTTTACCCTCTAATTGTCGGAGAGCACGAAACCGGAAAGACAAGCTTGATCAAGCTCGCCGTGAATGGCATGGACGAGCCTAAGGGTGTCGTATATGTCAATATCCCGATTCGATGCGGCTTAGAAGCCGATGTTACTAGGGAGATGCAAAAGTCTTTGGGGTGGGACCTAGATGAGTTGATTGATCCCAGCGAACGTAACTACTGCGGTTCCTTCAATAAGTATGGCTTGAGGCTAATTGATTCGCAGCGGTATCTTTGGAAGAAGTTTTGCACGTTTTTTCCCGTCTCGCTATCAAGTACAAGAAGGAGTATGGGAAAGTACCGCGAACCGACTCGCCAAAAAGCTACCGGAGCTTCTTGACCTATTTCAGGACTATGCGAAGGATGCTGCCGATAAAGGAACAGCTGTCGTTGTGTTTGTGTCAAGTGAAGGCCAGGCACCGCGTCGCATGGCGGGTAAGTTAATCATGTTGAATTCTACAGCCTTTTTTAATTTTCATATGCTAATCAAGTGTTACAGGGAGAAGTTCATGGTCGAGAAGAGGGAATATCATCGAAATTGGTGATGTGAGCAAAGAGGAAGCTCTACAGTACCTCAAACTCCGGAACATCGATGGGGAGCTGGCAGCGCAAATTTATCACCTCGCTGGCGGCCGCATGATTCACCTCAAGTTTATCGTAGATACCCTGGAGGAGAATGGCGCATTTGAGGGTACGTGTACAGCATGCAGAGTACAGGGTTAATTTCTCACTGCCTTTTAGCTGCGTGCCAGATGATGCTTAACGACGCCAAAAGACAACTCCTGTCCGCCGAAGTTTATCCTGCATGTCGTTATCACAAAGAGGGAGCGATGATTATACGCGAGCTTTTAAAGAAGGGATCCATCTCGTGGGACGCCTTCCATGGTCTAGTAGGCATCGACACCGGGAATAAGTTGTTGGAAGCAAACATATTCGCATTCCACTTGAATTCTCAAGAGATCACCTTTCAGTCGACGGCGATGAAACGGTTTTGCGAGGAAATTCGGTTCTCTGGCAAGGAAATGAATAAGTCAGACGTCGTCAGAAGGGACAAGATGCAGACACGGGACATGGAACTTTTATATCAGTCTTGGTCACAGCGTCACAAATCAATCCAAAATGACTTTGGGCCTTCGTACACTAAACCTCTCCATAGATGGTTTTTGAGAAAAGGGAGCGGAGCGGAGCAGGAACGAATAGCCACTGGAGTTACTGGCGTGATTGCCCACGCGTGTCAGAGATCAGGCGCCAACATTTACCAGGATACGATACAGGGAAATGAACAGCAGCTTGCGCATGGTAGAGGAATCAAGTAGTAGAGTCACGAGGGATCCTGATTTGGCCCTGGTCTCAAAAGGCTGTTGTTAAACTGTGAGACAATATGTGGCAACACTTTCAGCGTGGCAATGAGTATTCAGCCAGACAAGGATTCCGTCTGTGAGCTGAGTACGGACACGCCGAAGAATGGCAATAGTCTTTCTCTATATGAACGTGTGAAGCAGGACCTCAATTTGATAGAAAACCGAGCACTCCTTCAACTCAAGTTGTACAAGCAGTTTGACAGCTGTCCCAGCTTCCAAAAGCCGCAGGGTCTTTTTTCAGGGTCGAAATCACTGACATCTCTTTATTGGTCCCCCTGCAATTTTGTTAAATGCTTTTCAGCAGCTAGTAATTCCGGAATGTTCGAACCCGCTAGATATGATCCAATGTCTTGCGTGTCTGAGATCAGAGACAGAATCTCGTGAAGCCCTTCGCGATCACCAGTGTGTGATTGTACCATTTTCGTCGAACAATCAGTGGCAGTACATTGATTGTCGTTGAATGCTCTGATTTCTATCTAATTAAAGTCCTGCCTCGCATGTTTAAATAGAGAAAGATAGATGCCACCCTTTGGCGTCTCCGTGTCCAGCTCTTAAATGAGATCCTTGTATAGCTGAGCATTTCAGGTGAAAGTGTTGCCACCTACTCTTCGACACCCTCTCCAGATGGGCCATGGATTGGATCCGATGGCGGTGGCATATCATGGGATCCGATCCAAAGACCATCTCGATATCGACTTCTACCGAGTAGGGTGGCCCCCCTCTCCCCCGAGCTACATGGTCCTCAGATTGGATCCGATGAAATACCACGGCCACCAGATCCGATCCATGGATCATCTCGATATCGAGGCTCGTCCGTTAACGCTCCATACCAGCCATCTCGAATGTGATCAGTAGTGTCACGAACCGGGTTCTGACAAATATATAAGCTAAGAGGTCCAAGTTTCTGTCATGAAATAACAGGATTCCTAGTCTTTTGGGGCGATCCCCAAGGGGCTGTGGACCTCTTCCTGACAAGTAGGGCTTGTCTGGGTGGTCCACAGACTGGATCCGATGCGTGGACCATCTCAATATCGAGGATATCGACTTCTATCGAGTAGGGTCCCCCAGCGGCCCCGGGGCCAATGTGGTCCACGGACTGGATCCGATGGCGGTGTCATTCATGAGGGTGCCCCTGTGGTTGTAGCGGCGGGAAGGGAATGTATGAACTAAAACTATCTGCTGGGAGTGGCCGTTTTTATATATGTTCTGTAAACGAATGCAGTTTAGCGTATGTAAGAACCCTTGGCAGAAATCCACACACATAATCACGTGACAGTGCCAAGCCCATTTGTCACGTGATTAGTCGAAATCCCACGTTGAACGGATGGCAAAAAGTTGAGATTGAGAGGAATGAGCCTCTGAGTAAGTAGTCAATGCAATGGCTCCCTTTTTATTTTTATTTTTTATTTTTTTTCAGTAAAGGGACATGTTGTCATCATGAATAGTTCGATCCAATCATCCATGATGACGAAGACGATGAACCACGATATGTGAAGAGTGTCTGGTCACACAAGTCCTATCCTTCCCTTTAGGTATCCATTCCACAGACGTGGGAAGTCCCAATTTCAACCACTTTTTCACAAGGAGAACATGGTGACAACGACCCCGTTTATTTAGAATGAGGGAACGGTATAGAAAGGTTCTGCATCGGCCTCCAAGAATCATGTCGAGAGCCTGCAGACCCGCCTCACATTTAACCTCCAGCTTGTCACCATCGATGGAAACGTTATCAACACCCTTCTGCCAAGAAAGACGGTTTATGTGCACCATAAAACAAGTTGATGCCATGACACCGGCAGGATCGTCCCCACAAAGCCATTACAGGGGTGGAGTGTCCGCATAATAAAACCCTGTATCGGTCGTCCTCTTACCATTTGCACCACCCATGGCGACAATAGTGTCCCTGATGTACTTGTTGTCTTCAGGGGATATCTTAACGTCGACAGCACCCAAGTTCTGTTCCAGATATTTGATCGTCTTTGTACCCGGAATGGGAAAGAAGTCTGATCCTTGGGCCATGATCCAGGCAAGGACAACTTGGGCCGGCGTACAACCTTTCTGGGTGGCCAGTTGTTCGAAGATCTTCACCAGATCCAGATTCTTGGAGAAGTTTTCGGGGCTAAATCGTGGGAGGTGTCGACGGCCATCCTGCTCTTCCAAGTCATCCAGAGACTTGTACTTGCCGGTTAAAAATCCTCTACCCAGAGGTGAATACGTCACAACGGCGACTCCAAGCTCTCGGCATGTGCGCAAGAGATTGGTACCAGTCTCGTTCTCAATATCTAACGTCCAGGGGTTATATTCGATCTGAACAGCCGAGATGGGATGCACAGCATAACCGCGTCGGAGGGTGTCTGAGGAGCACTCCGAGAATCCGATGTACTTAATCTTACCCTCCCTACATATACGATTCAATACCGACTTCTTATGGCATTTCAACAAAGAAGAAGGGGAGAAAAGGGAAAAAAGAAAAATCACTCACTTTTTCAATTCCACCAGAGTTTCCATTATCTTCTCAACAGGTGTCACGCGGTCGAAGCGGTGGACATAGAAGAGATCAATGCAATCGATTCCCAACTTTTGCAGACTTTGTTCGCAGGCCGCTCTGCAGTTCTCAGGCGAACTATCCACAAAGAGATTGACCTTACCGCCATCATCAATCTTCCAGCCCAGGCCGAACTTGGTGGCAAGGAAGATCTCCTGGCGGCGCTCCGGGTGCAACTTGAACCATTTGCCGAGGAACACTTCGTTGTCGCCGTACCCTGCGGCGGTATCCCAGAAAGTTGCGCCCAGCTCCCAGGCTCGGTCCAGGATCTTGTAGCGTTCCTCATCGGGTCTCCCTCCGTGTCAGCAATCACGGGTTTACTTGTCACATCGAGGCCCACTTACGGAGCTTTGCCGTAGGAAACACTGAGCTCCATCAACCCGAATCCCAGGCCAGGAACTTGCGGGCCATCTTGGTGGTGAGAAAGCCGGAAGGATGTACCGACTTTGGAATCTGATGAAAGTTTTGAATCAAGATAGCGTGGCTCTGGCAGGCAGGAGGCTCATTTATAGCCGGATAATGAGCGCGGTGCTCTATATGTGGAAAAACCCCATGGCAATTGCCACGAGCACAACCGAGCACAACCGAGCACAATTGATGTCGAGATAGGCTAACTCCGAAGAGGGACACACATGTTGAATTTCTCGCAGGCAACAAGGCTGGCTGGTGCGTTGGTCCCAGTGACTGGGGAGACAAGAACCTGTAACTGCAAGATGCATCTCTGCTTACACAACGGGACTTAAGCGAACCAGCGGTATTAAGTCCGATATTGCGCATATATCGACGCGCGTAGCTACTTCGCTTAATCCTCCGATTGACAGCATTCCAGAGAGGCTGTACTTCTAGGCATGGTCGCGCGATCTTGGCGCTCCGCCCCTTTCGACGTCGCTACACGGGCGTACAGACTTGTTCGTAGCTTTCTCGTTACCTCGTGATCAATTAATACCAGACAATAAGTAAGGAGTAAAGACCACCGGTTTACGCGTACTCAGGAGACTAGCCTCTTCATGGAGAGCGCGCGATCCTTGGCCTTCTTGGATGTCAGCCCTCGCAACACCCAGTCGCTCAACCCAAGTTCCTATCCTTAATCCCAAAACAACACCACAGCGGGGAATATTTTCGACAAAGCAAGAGCCTGTTGGTATGCTTGGCTGTTTGCAGTGTCCGCTCTGGCCATTCCCACCCGGAACGAGGGGATCTTGTGGCTTAGAAGTCGCAACAACCATCGGAGGGATTTTCCTCCCACTGATGCTGTGCTGGGACTGCTATAAATATTGGTAGGTCCTCCGGCGGCAGCACAATGATATGCTCTGCTGGCCACATATCCGAGAATCGCAATGTCCAACCCTACGATACCCCGCGGTTACCATGATGAGCCCAAGCGCGGTCACTCGAGAGTACCCATAGAGCTAGACAAACCCAAAGACGACCTCATCACATACAGAGAATTGAGCAAGTGCGATGGTATAACACCATCACGCAGATTGCACCCGATCCATCGATATGAGGGAGTAACTGATCTAGTTCATATTGTAGGCACGGATTTGTCCAGACCTGTCCTAGTCGCGATCAAAGGGACAGTCTTCGATGTCACTCGAAACGCCGCCTATGGATCCGGAGGACCATATCATGGTATGTAAAGCCCTCCTCTGGAAGAACGCTGCGCAAGCCCAGGAAGGTCCAATGTCTGTCAATTCGGGATTTCACCGCACCATATTGCTAATAGGTATCTCGTTCTTCAGTCTTCGCCGGCAAAGATCCCTCCCGTGCCCTTGCGATCTCTAGCCTGAAACCCGAGGATTGCGTCCCAGAATGGCATGACCTTGAAGACAAACACAAGACAATCTTGGATGAATGGTATACCTACTTTAGCCAGTGCTATAACATCATGGGAAAGGTACGTCCAGAAATTCTCAGAGGCGTCCATGAGGTTTGAGGTATGGTGCTCCAGTGTTCTGTATACAAAACACCACCATCTCCAGCTGAAATGTCAGCTTGTGGGGCTTAGGAAACTACTCAAACTTTTTCTGTGAGCTCCAGCGCGATGCGATCTAGACACTGATGCTGACTCCCTCCTTGCCTTATAGGTAGCCGGTGCAAAGAACTTGGATCCGTGATTCTTCTGTGCAGAAACAGGAACGTGTTCAAATAGTGAAAATTGCGACAACGGTCGTCTCTTCGTAGCACCTTCGTCGGCTGGGGAGCTGAATCAACCACCCCCGATGGTCCTCGGTCTTTGTCTGGGAGGCAGCTGTTCAGACGTGGAAGGGTATCACCCTACTGTCTACCCTCATAAGGAGAACTTTGACCATTGACCGCAAGGAGAATACCCCATAGATGCAGCCTTACTCCGCAAAGGGTCCTATGTATGCGCCTCCTGCATTGTCATCTGGTCGCCAAAAAATGCCTAGTACAGCCACCATCGCAGCCGTCATAGAATAGACGAATTCAGTCACCCTAATTAAGTTACCACATACATCCTTCTTCCATGCTGCACTGAACCTTTCCTGATTTCGTTATGTCTGCGTTGTCGGCACATTTGGGTCCGCACGAAACACGAGCTCAACGGGAGCTTCAAATCTTTGGAGGGGAAAAAAGGGGGGTTGTTGACCCGTTTGCCTCTGTTGGCTCCTGAAGCGGCAAATAAGGGCATATCGAAGGTCACCGTCCAGAACTCACCCTTTGGTTCGTAGTAGATGGAGCATTTTCGATTGAGGCAGTGCTCAGAGAAAGCGAGAAGAGCTCTCCGCCAGGGAAACTCTCCTTCCCCCCAAATCCCCATCTTTCAAAGAGATCTTCTCGGGACAGAGCAACTACGCCTTCTCCAACCCTCTCTGGCTCTGCAACTTCTAGTCGTTACATCAAAGCTGACCGTGGCCTTCCTTCGGAATCGCCTTGATCCCCTTGCCAGCGCTTGGTCATTCCCAGGCAAAGACAACTCCGTCATGGTGGCACTTTACCCCTCCGCATTTGCATATCTCGATATCTTGTCCTGCACGACGAGAATTCAAGCCACTTGGCATTCCCACAATTTCTTCAATGGATTGGCTATCCAGGACTCTAGGTAGGTTTGCTATGGACCTCAACCATGGTTGAAGCCCGTCCAAGCTTTAGGAGACAATCAGAAGTCGTTACTTGTTCCGTCACGCTGAGAAAAAAAAAATTTCCTGGTGGACTGGCGAGAAGGTTTGGGATACTTAAAAGTCTTTGTCCTTACCCTCCGTCTCGGGATGGCTTCATCGTGAACCATCATAAGATTCATCTCAATCAGTGTTTTGTACCACTATCATCACCTTGACTCCTTTCGAAGCAGTCTGCTTCTGAACATCTTCAAGCTTCATCTGTCGGATGAACCGAAAGAGGTTCTCAACTGGAGGTTATGGTTTGCCTTTTTTTTTCCTTTGGCATTATGGGCGCGGCCCGTGGTATTGATGAGGTTTTGATCTCTGGTAAGGCACCTGCGTCCATTTGTTCGATCAATTCGACTTACCATGATAGGTACCTTCAATACCGACCACTTCCAACACCTTCTAGGCTTCGACAAGCTTGACGATGTAGATATGCGGACGTCAAGAGTAATGTCTCGGCCATGGTCCAAATTGGTAGCGTTGGTGGTGCTCTCCTGTATGTTTGATATATCGGCCTTTTACTTCCTGCGATTAACTGGGACAGTGCTTTCATCTTGGCCGATCGCATTGGACGTCTTTGCGCCACCCGATAGCTGTGTCTCCTTTGGATCTTGGGCATCGTCATTTTCTTGACCAACAGTGGTCGTTTGGGTCAAGTATACGCGGGAAGATTCATTGCCGGTTTAGGAATTGGCCAGACCACAGTGATTGCGCCCGTGTACATTTCTGAAATCGCACCCAAAGCTATTCGAGGACTCTGCACCTGTGTCTTGCCGGATCCGTGTATATTGGCATCATGGTAAACCCCCCTCCCCTTGTGTCCTCCATTGTTCCCCGGGTCATATGCTAATGCCTCATAGCTAGCATACTTCGCAAGTTGGGGAAGCGGTCTTCATATCGACAAGAACAGCTATAACTCATGGGTGATGCCAACATCCCTTCACCTCATCTTTGCCGGTCTCATCCTCATTCTCTCCTTCCTCAATTATGAATCTCCCCGCTTTCTTGTCAAAAAAGGGAACCGAGAGCACGCAATTGCTAACCTCTCTCGAGTCCGAAGGTTGCCTGCCGACGACGAACTCGTGGTGTTCGAGATTAATGATATCGAGCGTCAGCCTGCTGAGGAACAGGAAGCCACTAGGGGCCAAGGATTCTATGGTTATTGGCGGGAGATGTTTTGCATGCCGAACAATTTCCATCGCATCTACCTCGGTCTTCGAACGCAACTTCTCGGTCAGTGGTCGGGGGCTCAGAGTATCACAATTTACGCTCCGGACATGTTTGCCTTGCTGGGAACCACGGGAGAAAAGTGAGTTTTCACATTTATTTCTGTCGTTGTCAGCATCACTCCTTCCTCCCTGCATCGTTTACCATCTCTTTAGCCTCTCCCCGGCTCCTAAACTCATTAAATCTGCTCCTAGCTGTCTAGTAAAGTGAGAAGCTGCTCACCACCGCAATATTCGACGTCGTCAAATTCTGTTCATCCATCATCTGCGCCTTTTTCTTGGTGGACGTTATCGGACGGAAGCGATCACTGTCAATCGGAATCGCATTGTAAGCGATCTCAATGTGCTATATTGCGATCTTTCGACTCTAGATTGCGAGTTTGCTCTACTGACAAGAACTGTCAATATGGTAACTCGTGGGCCGTACCCAGCATGCTTCTTCCAACCTCCGACGGCGGCATGTCGCCCATGGGAACGTTCTGGTTCTTCACAGCCATCACCATTATCGGGGGATTGTGGGCGTGATTCTTCATTCCGGAAATGAGCGGCCGAAGCCTGGAAGGCATGGATGCACTGTTCAGGCTGCCATGGTACAAGATCGGCAGATACGGTCAGAAGGACGCCGAAACCAGCGATCGATTTGCACGAGAACGAGCGTTGGAAGAAAAGGCCGTGGCTGGGGGACAGGTGAAAAATCGACCGTTGTACGTACGTAACGTATATCGGATATCGATAGTGGGTGGGAATGGCCATGCGAGCAAAGTCACTTTTACTATACTAAATTGAAAACTATTTTTCTTACTTCTACTTTTGACCTCCCCCGGTTGGTTCTTCCTCATTCTCTATAACACGACGCAGGACAGACAGGCAAGAAGGCAGCCGATCAGATGCAACTTTCCCCTTACTGATCGTGACTTCTCTGGCATGTCACAGCTTCCAGGGAAAACATCTTTCACAATTCAAAATCAGCAGACGAGCCTGTCAGTTGCCACCCGAATGGATAGCGCTTCCTGTTCTCAACAGGCGTGAGACCATCCAGATGTACGCGACATATACCTGTTTGGTTGGGGCTGGAAGCTTGATATCTAATATTTATGGGGATGACAGATGCGAAGGCAACACGGAATACGGCCAGTCCAGTCACAGAAACAATGTGCACGTCCAAGATCCATGGAGGTCCCGCTATGTAAATAGCTCTTTGGAATTGCCAGCTGAATTTGGAAAAGAAGGCAGTAAAGTGGCAACTTACAAACTTCGAACAGCCCTGTCAGTGGACGCCACTGTCGAGGCTGGAAGGACCTTTGGCTGTGGCTACTAGGATGGATTCGTTGCGAGCCTACAGTCTCATTCGCAAGAAATTCATGTCGATTTGGGAACGAAGACGGTCTTTGGGATCCGCCGTGGCGTTCGGGGTCCGCTTGGGGCACGGGAGGCGTCCAAGTCACACAAGCCTCTCTCTAATAGCCAAACTCTCAACCACCCGAAAGAGTCTAAATAATGTCGGTAGAGGGTCAATCTTCCCTTCTCCCTGGCTTCTGGGGGGTTTCCCCTTTGCATTGTGTGGTCTCGCTAATATGCCAGTTCAGAATTTTTTTGGGTACGATCACGACCACCACCAGGACGATGAGCAGTCAAAGATCCAACTCTGAAAAAGAGTATCCTAACGGGATCAAAGCTGTACTTGTAAGACAAGACTCGGATCCAAATCCAGCCTCGCCGGCATGATCGTGATTCATTGATCAATGATCATCGACTCCTAACCACCAACCCCTGCCCAGTGCCTATGCTTAGCCCACCAGGGTCTGGCTTTTTTGTTTTTTCTTATCTGACTTTCGCAGCCGGTTGGAGAAAAAAAAAAAAAAAAAAAGTGGAATCTTGGCAGACACCAGCTAACCCGAGCGTCATGCACAAGTCGGTAGAACTCCCGTATACAGAGACTTCGAATTCAAGCTGCCGAATGCTTTGTCAATCTGTCTCTTGGGGCTTTGTCACTACTGTGCTCATCTCCAGTGGATGGATACACAGAGTGAGGAAAAAAAGACAGCCACCCAAGCAAGAAACACCCTTTCCGTTTTAGGGGCTGTTGATCTTGTACCAGCAATGGAAATGATGAACTGCAAACATCGAACTGACTACGGTGCGTGCAGCGAGGAAATGAACTGTCCGTATCGAATTTGATGATGTATCCCTTTGGCCAACATCTCGCTCGACCCATGTCGCGGAGGTTTCGGGTTGTTTCAGGGAGCTACAACGGGTAAAGATTTGGTCCAAGCCCGCCGGTGAGACGATAACGCATTGATATCTCCTGCTTTAGCTTCCTTACTGGGTATTGGGTAGGGGTCCACTTGCCTGGAACACATCCCACCGTTAGTCCCCACGCGCCTCGTTTGGTGAACACACCACGCAAGTCTGCAGAAACGCAATCTCCGCAACAGGACGGGGGGGGTTCATTCTGACCGAGCTTAATCTCATGTGTCTGTATGATGATGGATCCTGCCTATTGCCCTCACCTGACTCTTGGCAGACCAATCGATACCTCCCCGAAAAACGCCCTGCCTTGGTCCCGCCCCAGCTGTTCGGAATGTTTGTTCCCTCACCGGCGAGGCTGGGATCTTGGTTGGAATTGCCGCGTAAATAGTAGACGCCTCCGGATTAGAATAGTGCTGGAGGAGTCTCCGTCATCGCCGACCGTGGGCTTGGTTTCTGGTAATGCCGATATCGATATAACACTTTCTTACCCCGTGGCGCGGTCGTTTTCTCGCTCCTGCGAGCAAAACCCGTCAATCCTGTCACGACTTCTTCTTTTTGTGACGAAGGACGACGACAACAAACATGCCTCTTCCGGTCCTTGACAGGTTTTCTGCTCCAGCGAGGATTCAACGATTGAGCATCCTTGCCCTCACGACCATCCTCCTTATAGTTTTCTTCGAGAGTTCTTTCTTCCCCAAGGTCACGGTACCGAACCTCCACAAGGATGTATGTCCTCTGGTTAATATCCCACAGGAACAACTCATTGACACAATCTAGTACGATCGATCCCGGCCAGAATACTACCTCCGATGGGGACCTTTCGAACCAATGCAAATCCCGGGATTCGTCAATACGGGCCTGCCGGGGAAAAGATCGTGTAACACCTTGAAGTACAACTCGACCGTCGGGGTGCAAAAGAGTCTCTACCTCAACGATGACATCAGACAGATTGCCACAGCCCTCGATTCGCACCCCGTTGTCGACTACCCGGACGATATGATGGATGATCCGAATGTGAGAGTGACCGATATTGTCGAGAGCACCTGGGCTCGACTCTCCGGGTCCAGCGTGTGGTTGCCCGAGCAGGGGGTTTACCTGTCCGTGACTCAAGTCATCTTCTGCCCCACTCGAATTCGATCGATTCCGAAGATGAGCTTTCTCCGGGGCCAACTGTTCAATGCGGATTGGGAACATCTGGATAACTACAACCTGACATGGGGGGGTCAAGAACTCAATTTCCCATTGGTCTTCGACATCCCCGCCCAGTGGGAACAAGATGGAAGCCTGTATGGACCTGAAAATCCCCGAATTATCTTGGAGGACGGTGTCAAAGGCGCTGAACCGGTCGTCATCTTCGACATGATTGCCAAGCGGTCTGACTGGAAGCGAGCAATGTATATCTTCCGACCATTTAGCAACTATTCGACCATTCTGACCATTCGAGATGTTGAACGACAATACACCGAGAAGAACTGGGCGCCCTTCTTTGTCCCCCAGGAGGAAGAGGTGGCACCGTCGGTCGTCCGCAGGCCCAACGAGTACATCCATTTCGTGTACAGCTTCAAACCTCTGCAGATCTTGAAATGTCATCTACGCTGTGGAGACTGCGAATTTGCCTACGAGCAGAGTGTGCCCGAGGACTTCATGGACCAACATCACGAGGACGGTGGCAGTTTGCAGGGTGGGACCAACTTCGTTCCAGTTCCCCTTCCTTCCAGCATGAACGTTGACTCCAAAGTACGGGTGTATGCGGCTTTTCCCCGAACGAATATTGAACAGCATTGCGACGGCAGCTTTGATCGACCGGAGTTTGCGGTCATGATCAACATTGAAAAACAATTCCACCTGGCCTTCGCCAGTGAGTCGCTGGATTTTGGTAATGCCATCCCTGAGCGGAGAGCGGAAGACGATCGTTGTGACCAAGGCCGAATTCTCATTCTCAACAGTGTCGCTCACTGGAATACCAGCAATGGCCAGGATGTCATGAGTGTCACATTCAGTGTCAACGACGAAACGGTCCAGGTTGCTCGCGTGCAGGGCCTGCTCAGCCTTATCCGTAATCTACCTCAATTCGCGGACTTTTTGAAGAAAGACGGTCTTCGTAAGGGTGATGATTCAGATCCGATGAATTTGTTGTCGTCATGGGTTGGCGATGATGTCCATGGGTGCCTGGTCGAGGCCGTATTGAATGACACTGTCGCTGCACAAGAGATTACGCGTCCGAAAGAAGACAAGGATGAGGAGCTCGACACGTCTAACGAACTGATGTACGAGATCCACCAAGAGGAAGAAGAAGAAGAAGCAGCCAACCCTAAAGAAGAGGAGAGCAAGGATGTTCTTGGACCGCTTCACCAAGCGGAAACCGAAGGTATTCCTGATTTGGAGCAAGGGCCCGAGGAAGACTTCGAGGGAGCTGCCGGTGACGAGCAAGATTTCGAGGATGAGGATGAATTCGAGGACGATCCGAAGGGAAAGGACGAAGACCAAACTTTTGAGAAGGATGAAGAGAGGAGAGATGACAGCCACGCTAAACGACATTTACGTCGACATCAGCGTCAACATCGTAGAATGAGGCCTTGAAGAAACCCACCACCGGCATCAGCAACCTCCTGAGATTCACTAGCATGCAATCCAGACGACATGGGGATCGGACTCCTTCCAGAAGACCTCGAACAGTCTTCCGGAGATGAGTGGCCCGAACGCTAAGTTTGGAGCATGCCCTTTTATCCGCGACGTCGGTTCATGCATGGAGAACACCAACGCAGGCCTACGGACTGGATCGCCACGGTTCTCCTCCCACTCGACCTCGCTCTTATGGGCTTTTCTGCTATGTTCTTTTCACGATTTTGGCGCCCACTATTGAGCGTTCTCGTTATTTCCAACTTTTAACGACCTCACCCATGGCTCACGATAATAGAAAGGAGGAAATGAACACTTTGATATTTCAGATATGGAAGACCAGGAACCGGATCAAATGAACCGGACCCACGAAACGGGAATGACACCAATATATTTCGGCTGGCGCTTTTGGGTTTGTTGGTGAATCTGATATTCAAGATTGGAGATCGAAGGGAGGAATAGAAGAGGAAGGCGTGGATATGATGGGAGGGCTCTGGGGATTTTGTCGTGAAGAGAAAAAGGAAGTGAAATGGATGGCGAACAAAGATCGATCGGACGAAGCGTGACCTGGGATTCATCATCTATTCATCAGCACAATGCAATGCTATGATGTGATGTTTATGCATCGAGGAGAAGCGGCCTGTCCATCGCATCTGTCTTTATATTTCCCTTGGCAGCTCCTTTCTTCTTGCAGACGAAGCTAAGGTCATTCCAGAGTCCAGCCTCACGTTCGCGGATTTCGGATAGAGCACCTCGAGTTGGGCCCCGTCCATCTGACGTTTAGGTCTTGTGTACCGAATGAGCGAGCTGCCCCCAACTGTGATTCGTCCATCGTGGAGGGTGTGTATGTGCCTTTTCTCGATATATCCAACACCACGACTTCTTGGCTTTCTGCGATCGCAGGACCGAGATATTTTCTTTCCAAGTCGTTGGAGCCGAGCAATCTGATCCCCGCAGATGCGTCAAAGAAGCACTTCCCGACATTGATTCCCGGTATCGTGGTGGCGTCACGCTGGACCCTAGGTAAGCGTTAGGGATTGCTGGGCACGCTAGAGAGGACGTAATATAAGCCAGGTATTGGATGAGAAGAATGCAAAATGACCGACATCCTAGTGATCTCGACACACCTTGCTTGTTGTCCTCCAATTTGTGGAGAGGTGGGTTAGGTGAGAATGGAGATTCAATTCGAGGGAAGGATTTTTGTTTTTCCTGGTTGACGACCCAAAAGTCCCAAGATTGGAAGACTTCGTGGCACGGAACACGATGTAAGTGACAGGTTGGTAAGACCCCGATGGACTCGCCCGATCTGGGGGAGAGGGTGAGCTCGTCTGGATGGAGATATTGTAGTGGTGTCAGCCACAGCGATAGGTCAATTGGTAGAACTGGCTGCTAACGTTTTGATCCGTTCCCAGCAGAGAGAGTGTAGGGTGAGGCAAACGGCGCTGCTTGCTGTGCGTAATGTCTTGCGCCCACCTACAGTTTAGACCTTGACTTCTCTATGGATCTCGTCCAATGGAACCCGCGAAAAAGATAAGAAAAGGGAAGATCCTCCAGGCACTAGGCCGTAGCTGGTGCTTCCTCCTCTTCTTCCAGCCCCGGTCTCCAGTCCCCCAGTCCCCGCGTTCCACCTGGACTCTTCCTATCGTTTCATCCGTACGTCTTCTATCTTTGATCGACCAGGTGCTTTATCCGGGTCAAACTCCCGATCATTCGCTTGTCCTTTGGAGTTACCTGGCCAATGCCCAACTGATGGCCCTGTTTCTAGAAGCCAGACCGAGGCCTCGTGAGCCATACATGCACAACGTCTTCGGTCTACATAAACCCGGCTCTGCTCCCTCTCTCCATCACTCATCCGATCGACCGTCCGCTCTCTACCTCTGATTCAACCTTCCTTCATCCCCTTCATGCCCAAGTCCGAATTGATAAACACCATGGCGTCTAAAGATCGGAACGTTGAGGAGCGTCAGGTTGACTCTGGTGTCCGACAGTCTCTTCACGACTCGATTGACGAAAAGGCCAATGCCATGCATACTGAAACCTTTCATGAAGCTGCTGAGCGAGGTCATACTGCCACCGACAAGTCAGTCCGTCCGCTCTCAAGAGTCGTTTAATACTCACACCCTCACACTTCACTCCAGGTACGGTCATTCCCTCGTCGCCTTCGACCCCAAGGCCGAATCCAGACTGCGCTGGAAGATCGACCTGTATGTTATCCCGACCGTCTCTCTTCTTTACCTGTTTTGTTTCATTGATCGAGCAAATATCGGTGAGTCATGGGTAACCTGTCCAAATTCTTCCGGCTGTGTGACAACTAACGACTGAATCCAGGAAATGCCAAACTCGCCGGTTTCGAGAAAGACCTCAATTTGACCGGTTACGACTACAATACCGTTCTGACCTTCTTTTACATCAGCTACATTATCTTCGAACTGCCTTCCAATATGGCGTGCAAATATTTTGGGCCTGGCTGGTTTATCCCGGCCATCTCTTTGGGTTTTGGGATTTGCTCGATCTGCACCGCTTTTGTCCACGATTTTTCGGCGGCCGCGGGTGTGCGTTTCCTTCTCGGTATGTTTGAGGCTGGCATGCTTCCTGGCATCGCCTACTACATGTCCAGATGGTATAGACGAAGCGAACTGGCATTTCGACTCTCGCTCTACATCGTCATGGCCCCCCTCGCGGGCGCCTTTGGAGGTCTGCTCGCGTCTGCAATTCTCTCTCTTGACCATTTCGGAGGTCTTCATGACTGGCGTATGATCTTCGCCATCGAAGGCATCATCACCTGTGGTCTCTCTCTCATTTCCTTCGTCACGTTGACCGACCGACCCGTCACGGCGAGATGGCTGAGCCAGGAGGAAAAGGACCTCGCCATCGCTCGTGTGAAGTCCGAGCGTGTTGGAACCACCGAAGTGCTCGATAAACTGGACACCCCCAAGATCCTCCGCGGGGTCTTCAGCCCCGTCACCCTCGCGACATCCTTCATCTTCCTCCTCAACAACATCACCGTCCAGGGTCTTGCATTCTTCCTCCCCACCATCGTCAAGACCATCTACCCGGAAAACTCCGTCGTCTCACAACAACTACACACCGTGCCGCCCTACGTCGTCGGCGCTTTCTTCGTCATCCTCTTCCCCTGGCTCTCCTGGCGTTACGATCGACGCAACATCTTCTTCATCCTCTCCGCCCCGCTCTTGATGTGCGGCTACATCATGTTCCTCGCCAGCACGGACTCGCACGTCCGCTACGGCGCGACCTTCCTCATCGCCGCCGGGGCCTTTCCCTACGGCTCTCTCTGCAACGCCCAAGTATCCGCCAACGTGGTCTCCGATACCGCTCGCTCCGCCGCCATCGGCACAGACGTCATGTTCGGCAATGTCGGCGGCTTGGTCTCGACTTGGTCGTTCCTCCCCTTCGACGGGCCCAACTATCATATCGGCAACGGACTGAATCTAGCCACCTCGTCGACGATTTTGATCTGTTCGATCTTGCTGCTCTTCTGGATGATTGCCGACAACAAGAGGCGTGACAAGAAGGATGTCGATGCCGAGTTGGATGGCCTTTCGACGAAGCAGGTCCAGGATCTCGATTGGCGCCATCCTGCGTTCAGATGGAGGCCATGAAGTAAGGAAAATTGTTGCAATAGGTGAAGGTCAGGCAGTCTCTGCGTGATTGTTGTCCCGTACGGTGTTGATGACATGGATATGCAAAAAGTGTGTCTCTAATAACCAGTGTATGAATTCACCGAGTCTCTTATCCCAAATTGCATGCAATCCATCTTGTACATTTACCTCCTTTCAACCTTTCCACTTCCAAGCTCCATCTTTTCTCACCTCAACCCCCTAATGATTGACTAACTAGGAAAATGTTCTTGGGCATACTAGGAATGGGAGCATCAGTCCTAAGCCGTTCCCTTTGTCATTCATGTCATTCCGAGTACGACCCGTGGCATGTGGTTCAGATCAGTCTGGCTACGTCCATTTCGGGCTGATTCGACGTCTTCTGTCATAAAAGTCTGACCATTGATGTTACAAGTAGAGGCTCATGGGATGCAGTGACGAATCGTGTCAATCGACATTACAAAATCAAGGAGATGCAATGCAGATTGACGTATCAAATCGAAAGAAGTGCAATAACGAATTGTCAAACTTCTGAGATTGAAAGAGTGCTCTAATGAGTGCAGGATAGAGCCTATCTATATCTCTATCTCACGACCGTACATCATAATTGTTCCTGTTGATGGTGATACTGCCCAATGAGCGAGTGTTGCAAAGTATCCCGGTCTGTCGTGAATGATAGGTCACCATTTCTTCAATACTATCATCCACTGGTTCAACACGAATCCAGTCAAACGATGTTACATTATGGATGAAGTGCCATGCCAATCGACACTCTGGCCAATGAAATGCAATGCCGGATTCGTCACAGCGGGACCGAGTCAAAGAGACGCAACAGCGAATTGAACCATTTGACGTTATAGAGCGAATCACATGTACTGCCGAATCAAGATCAGTCGACGTGACGGATTTGGTCTCTCTCATGACAGAATCAAGTTGATGATCATTGTAGAGTCCACTACTTATTATCATGATCATGAGACTAATCCACGGTACGAATCCCTTAGATTGTCACCTTTATGGACCAGGCCAGGCTGGGGGCAACCAACCCTACGAGATATATACACATCAGTCATGGACACTCTAGAATCGTGCGCAAAGACATTCCCCGAAGCCGATCAGCCAAGTGAACCGTTACTCGACACCGGGGTATAGTTACATACAGGCCTAGCCCCTTCACCGGCAAGAGCGTTGACGAAACCCAGCTCGTCTATCCAATCGATCCACGGTTGACGGAGACAATCCCAAATAAACCCGCCAATCCTCCCTGCGACATCATCGACCGCGATAACTCTCCAATATAGAAGCAACCTAACCACCACCACAAGAAGTAAGATGCTACCTCCTTTTAGCATGGTGGTAGAGTAGGATGCAACACAGGATGGAAACTCTTCCATCCAAAATTCCCACCACGTCCTCAGCGACCAAGTCAACAAGTTCGTCACATGGTACAGCACTCTATGCGTCAGACAATTTTCCAAGTGCTGTTTTTCTTTTTCTCTCTGCTTTATCCTTGAACAAGCGCCCACTTTGGTAACCAAACAGATCGTTTGGCCTATTTCTTTGCCGTAAATCTTGACCATGCGGTCTCTGGCAGTGGTGCACTCGACGCATTCGAGGTGGTGTCTCCTGCGGCGCAAGATTTTCTTGACTTCGGCATTGGCCACGAAACCCGCGTCGGATATCAGGGATAGTTTGGTGCTTTTGGGATAAGGGAGGCCTTCGGCAGAACGGCTCAGGACCCAGTTTACACGGTCGTAGATTGTGGGATGGCGGCCAAGAAGGGTTGCGAAGAAAGGGTGCGTGAGTTTGAGAGAGAGCATGTCCGGGTATGTGAGATGGCGGACGATGAGGTGGTGAAGTTCGGTCGGGAGAGAGACGAATGTTGATTTTGCGGTTGATATTGGTTTTGGTTTTGGTTTGGGGGGTCCAAGTCCTCTTCGATCATGGCCATGATGAATTGTTTTGGTGGACGAGAACTCTTGGTGAGCGGATTTGCATGGATTCATTGTGCAAATATAACGCCAAGAAACGGCCTCTAGGTGCGGAACCAGACATGAACAAATCATTCAAGTCGGGGAGAAGAGTGACGTTATATGGTGGGCAGCTGGGACAATATGTAGTCATGAAAGCGCCATGACTAGGTTGATCCAGGAATTATGTTGCCTGAGAGAGGCTGAATTGTGGTAATATTCTGCCTACCTCTTACGGACATGTTGGCCTCATGGATTCCATGTCGGGAGACACAATACAAGTTCGAGTTGGACCGCTCCAGGAGGATAGGCAGAACGTATAATGTTATATGGATTTTGGCATTCCAACTGAAGGATCATGAGGAAAATGGAAATGGAAGAAGGGGGGAATGAGAGAATGAGAAGGCGGAGAGTTGATTAGGGAGGCAGGCCGCGTCGGAAAAACGTTATTCCGGGAGAGCCTTTTTCTCTGCTGAGAGATCTTGAAGAGGAATGGCCCCCCATGATTAATTCTATTGACCCCTTCGTGTATCCTAACGTTTGAATCAATCCAGGTACCATTTCCCTATCAGGTTATGACTGATATCTGCATAGGAATCTCCAGAACACGACCGAGATGAGTGGCTCAAATCCCACCGGCCGCCGTGACACACTTTCGACCTATCTCTCGATTTTCTTTTTCTTTTCTCATCCATCACGCATGCCGAATCCTCTTCGACTTGAACGAGTCTTCAGTAAATCTCAAGGAAAAAAAAATTGGCCGGCTGCATGCACCATCACCCTGCTCTGTTCTCCACCCAATATATAGCCTGAATTCACCCTCTAAGGAGCTTTAGCCGCCATTTCAAGTCTGCTTCCACTGGCACAATGCCTGAATCTCGCCGTCGGTTGTCATGTACCGAACATCACATCACTTCCCTTTCCGTACCTATTCGCAGCCGATCACCTCTAATAGCCAACCAGATGGCAAACAGCTGATTGTGGGGGAACATCCAATGCGGATTAGCCTCGGGTACTGTGCCTGGGGTGCTGGGGTAGAGGTCAGGATTCTACCTCAAGCTGGTAAATGCTTGTTCGAAACCGGGCTGAAGACTGAGGCATGTTGGAGCGAGTACAAATGGACAAGATGAGCTCAGCTCCTATGGCCAACAGGTTCCTCGTCGGGTATGTCCACCATGATGCTCACCATCTTGTTACTGGCCGCGGCTGGTCTCTCTGTTGCAGAGGATGGTTTGGACGGCTGGTTGCGACATGCACCACTGCCTTCCACCCTTTCTGATCATTCTCCTCCTGCTAATATCATCGCTCTCAACACGACAGCGAATGGTCCAGTTTCGACTGCCGGAAGAGAACTCCAGAGGGGGATAAACAGCATTTTCGGCCAGAAGGTTACCCTCGCTTACAACAATGGAAATACGTCGTTGTCAGTTATTGTTGGTACATTCGACGAATTCGCTAATGTCTACCGCGATGCGGGAGAAGTCCCCCAACTCGAGGATGACGGATTCTGGCTCAACACAACTGGCTCTACAGTCCAGATCTTAGGTCAAAATGAGCGTGGTACTCTCTATGGCGCATTCGAATACCTCTCCATGCTCGCCCAAGGAAACTTCTCCAAGATCGCCTATGCCGATTCCCCAAAGGCCCCGATCCGCTGGGTCAATCAGTGGGACAATCTAGACGGTTCTATCGAACGCGGTTACGGCGGACCATCCATCTTCTTCAAGAACGGGACGGTGGTGAATGATCTGGATCGAGTATCAGAGTATGCACGTCTTCTAGCCTCGATACGCATCAACGGCATTATCGTCAACAACGTCAACGCCAATGCCTCACTCTTGAGCCCTGTCAATGTCGACGGCCTAGGAAGAATAGCGGACACATTCCGCCCATACGGCGTTCAAGTGGGCATCGCCCTCAACTTTGCTTCCCCAACAGCTTCGCTCGTCTACGGTAACCTCAGCACCTTCGACCCTCTCGATCAAGGCGTAATCACGTGGTGGACCAATGTCACAGATACTCTCTATCGTCGCGTTCCTGATATGGCAGGATACCTTGTTAAAGCGAACTCGGAAGGCCAACCGGGTCCTTTAACCTACAACCGTACACTTGCTCAAGGAGCGAACCTGTTTGCCCGTGCCCTTCAACCGCATGGTGGGATCCTGATGTTCCGAGCCTTCGTCTATGACAATCACATCCACGAGACGGACTGGAAAGCAGACAGGGCGAATGCTGCCGTTGACTTCTTCCGCGGTCTCGATGGCAAGTTTGACGACAATGTCGTTATCCAGATCAAATACGGCCCTATTGACTTCCAAGTTCGCGAGCCTGCTTCGCCTTTGTTGGCGTATTTGCAAAATACGAGCACGGCGATTGAGTTAGAAGTCACACAAGAATACCTGGGTCAGCAATGCCATCTAGTTTACTTGCCCCCCTTGTGGAAGACAGTTCTGGACTTTGACATGCGAGCGCACCACGCTCCGTCTCGGGTCCGCGACATCATCTCCGGAAAGCGTTTCAATCGACCTTTGGGCGGCTCTGCCGCTGTCGTCAACGTTGGAACCAACACGACCTGGCTGGGCAGCCACCTTGCCATGTCAAATCTATACGCCTACGGTCGTCTTGCCTGGAACGCGGCCGAGGATCCGCAAAGCATGTTGCAAGACTGGATCCGGTTGACTTTTGGTTTGGATCCAACCGTCATGAAAACAATCACCGACATGTCCATGGCCTCGTGGCCGGCGTACGAGAACTACAGCGGCAACCTCGGTATCCAGACCCTGACCGACATTCTATATACGCATTTCGGTCCGAACCCGGCTTCCCAGGACAACAACGGCTGGGGCCAATGGACCAGGGCCGACCGGGATACCATCGGGATGGATCGAACCGTGTCCAACGGAACGGGCTTCTCAGGTCAATATCCCGCCGAAGTAGCAGAAATATACGAGAGCATCTCGACCACGCCCGACAATTTACTCCTGTGGTTTCATCACGTCAACTACACTCACCGCCTCCACTCGGGCAAGACAGTAATTCAACATTTCTACGATGCACACTACGCTGGTGCGGAGACGGCCCAAACATTTGTCTCACAATGGGAAACACTGAGAGGGAAAATCGACCAGCAAAGGTACGACGAAATCCATTTCCGCCTGGTATTCCAAGCGGCCCACTCCATCGTCTGGCGCGACGCCGTCAACGGCTTCTACTATAACTTGTCCGGGATTCCAGACTCAGCAGGCCGCGTGGGCCATCATCCCTGGCGCATCGAGGCCGAAAGCATGGCGCTCGACGGCTACGAGACATACACCGTGAGTCCGTTCGAAACGGCCTCGAAGACGACCGCGATTGTGACTTCTGCCAACTCCACGACTGGCACTGCAATGACGACGCTCGCATTCCCCAACGGTACTTACGATCTCGCTGTCAACTACTACGACCTGATCGGCGGCATATCCCGGTGGGAAGTGTCTCTCAACGACCGCGCGGTGGGTAGCTGGGTTGGAAACAATGAAGATACACTGGGCCATGCACCGTCGACATATCTGGATGGCCATTCGGCTACGAGAATCACATTTCGCAACGTCACCGTTCACAAGGGCGATGTGTTGAAGATCGTAGGTACACCAGATGGCATTGAGCCGGCGCCACTGGACTATGTGTCCATCTTGCCGATAGGTGTGGTTGACTAGATTTGAGAAATAGTGTGGAAGGCTTGAAAATAAAAGCCGGAGAGAGATGAGTTCTCATGGCAAGTCCATCTAACCAGTTTGTTCGAATGATGATCGAAGGAGTGCTCCCTGACTTCTCGTATCATCATACTATTTGAAGAGAGCTGAAATGCCAAACAAAACACAACAAGCCGGCTCTCCGTGACGAGGACATAAAATCACCAAAGAATGACAAAGATCCCATGGAGAAAAACCGACTCACCCTGTTCAGCAATCAGAAACGGAGTGGGAAGCCGAAGTCATTCCAACGCTGGGCGTGAATTTCATTCCAGTCCTCACGCTCGGTCAGAGCGATGCAAAGAGTCACGTTCATTGCGCAGTTGAAAGACGGCGTCGTGAGATTCCAATTCGGTGGCGATATCCAGCGTCTCGCCTTCGATGATGGGCACGGTTTCGCGGAGATGATGACGGTTCAAGTTTGATCAGTCCTGATAAGCACTGCTATCATCTTGCACTATTGGAATATATCCCAATACCTTGATATCCATACCGCGCTCGTATTCGAGTTGAAAATAAGAACGACGTCCAGAGCCAAAGGACTTGGCTCTGAGGATACCGCCTCTCTTGAGACCCTTCAACCCATGCCTATCGTGAGTGGCTTCCACTATGTTGTACGTGACGCGATGAAGCGTTTCTTCGCCAGGATATAAGGGTCCCCTCTCGGTAAAGAGAAATGGTCGATTTCAAACAAAAATGGGACACGAGACCAGTTGCGTTGTGGACGTCTCTGGAGCGTATCCTGATCCCGACGAATGCTGTCACCCGTTTCTTCCAGGTCGGCATTGGCGGCTACTCGATAAAGGGGTGGTGGAATCCCGAATATCATATCTTCTGGATGGAAGAAGTAATCGACGGCAAGATATTCCCACAAGCCAAGTTGATTGACATATGATGAAGCACTTTGGGATGAAGTCCCTCATTGCATTATGTCGTCAAATGGGGCAAAGTCCTGCCTGAAATCTCGAGTAAAGGAACTCCATTTCAACAGGTCGTAGACAACCTCGCGGAGGCCGTTTTCTGTGGATAGGAACCACACAGCATGAGTAGGTATATCAGCAAGACGCTGCTGCAGAATCTCCCTTGGAGCTGCCAAAGCCTTGCTCGTTGACCGTTTTCATGTTCATCACTGTACCGAAAAACCCAGTCTAAGGAGATGGTTTCTGTTCGCCAGGCTCTCAATTGGTGGCCGCAGAAGGCAATGGAAAATGCCACGTGATAGATTTTCTGAGTTCCGGAGAGCCTTACCGCGATGCCTGGGGCTGCAAATGGGAGGTCGGTATTGCAGCTCTCGAGGACCATTTGCTGAGGCACCTCGGTCGGTCGCGATTCGAGCTTTGACAGCTTGCCGAGAGGACGAGTTCCGTTTTCTAGTTGTCGTTGATTCAATGATAGTGGAGATGGAAATGGAGACGGTGGTCGGCCGCCATTTTGATCTGGAGGCCGTCGAAGTCGCCTTCCATGCGCAAAAGGCCAGACTTGATGGTAGGAGGAGGGAAGTCGTCAAACAGGTGACGAAAAATGAGGGAAGGGATGGGAAGCGCCACACTTCTGCCCATCGTATTTGACGCCGTCTTGGTGACCTGTTACGTATTGGCTCGTCGAACTGAGAACGGTGTCATTTCTCGTAGCTTTGTTTCACACATATGGAAAGATTAGCATTGTCGTTGCAAGCACGCCGGGGGAGAATGGAAGCTGAACCAAAATTGCTGCGGCTTCGATTCTGAATGGGAGGAAAGAAGTTGAAAGAACGCTATGGAGGTAGCGAAATACATTCTCCCGTCATATCTCCGGATCCAAGATCTCGGGAAGTCCTGAGTCCGATTCATGGATCAAGAGGGTCGACCGCCTGCGGAACTAATTCGACAATATATCCGTCCTATTACAATGTCAGGTATTCAGATACAGGGCAATCGAAGTAGATGAAAGCGATTCTTCCTTGGAATATTTCGAGCATTTCAAAACGCTTACCGGATCTCTCACAAAAGCAATCTGGTCAAATGCTTTGCGATACTCATGATGAATTTCGCTCTCCGTACCCTTCACTTCCACACCGACACCGCGCTCATTCTCCCACTCACTGATAGGAATTGAATCTCGCGTCGATACGCCCTGAGGCTTAATGACCTCGACTTTGTTGTCCTCTAACCGTTTCAAAGCTTCTGGGACGCTGGGTACGGTGAACCCCAAATGGCCAAAGCCCAAGTTCGGCGGAGAGTTGCCAGTCTGGTAATAACCCTCTCCCTGTTTCTCGGAGCCGTGGACGTGGTATAGTTCCAAAAGACCGAGAGTATGTTGTAAATTGATAGACGTGTCGAGACCGAATGACTTTAAATCTGCGCGATGTTCCGGCGTGTGAGGGTAGCCTAGGTAGTAGATGGTGAAAGGACCGACATTCATGGTGAAAACGGTCCGCATTCCCATGAGATTGATGTAGAAATGGAGCGATTTCTCGGGATCTCGGATCCGTAGCATGAAATGGTTGAGTTTGTAGCCGATGGTCGGGTCATTAGCTGGGAGGGGAGGATCGGTATTGAGGCCATTAGGTAGGAAAACGCCATGAGGGAATGGAGAAGGAGAGCTCGTCGAGATCTGTGAAGCCATGGAGAGTGAGATTTCGTCACGACGTTCTCACCCTCCATGGCTGGCGACTTCGGGTCTCGTATATGTACTTCGAAAAAGAATGGAAATGCTAGTGCAAATATCACTTGATGCAAGTGCCGAAGCCTCCAAGGAGCCCACTAATCCCCCAAGGTCGTTATACTGAGTCAAAGAACTAGGGAAATACCCATTATCAATGAAGTCGTTCAGAGGTGGAAGTGGACGGGGTGAGACCTCGGAAGGCCGGAACCGCCCCGGCGCAGGCAGCCGAAGCACATATGACGTTTCGCCCAGGCGGACAGCGGTAGACGCCCGGTGGATGAAGAAGTCCTTACGATCGTATCCCGTCTTCATTGTAGAGAGTGGCACCCTCGGTTCATATCTAAGGTCATTACTATATAGGTGCCCCCCTTTCTTGAATGGCACGGGACATTATCTTAGCAAAACGATCCGCCCTATTTATATCTATCTCCGCCGTCCTGATGGCTTGCTGAACGTGCTTGATACCAACGCCGACCGTTTCGCTGCTCGTAGCGTCCTTAATTTCTGCGACCGCCATGGAAATGTCTCCCTGGTCAAACACGTTTGACTCTCTCATCACATGTTCGAGTTCCTGATAGGTTCGCAGGTTGGGAATAGGAATATCGGCACTGAAGTAGCCCCAGAAGTCCAATTCTTGTAGAACCGTTCGCGAAGCCGCCGTTACGAGGATCAACAAACTATGCCCAACGGGCGGCGGGGTGCTGATCAATGCCACGAACGTCTTCAGGATGGGGTTGCTGAACCGTGGACCGATGGGGGTCCATTCGAACAATTGCAGAAGATCATCGATAATGACAGCACTCAGCCTGCTTTTGTAGGCGTCCGTAAAGACTTCGTGCAAATGAGCAATTTTCTGTGCCTCACCCATGCCCAAGAAATCTTGCTTGCCGATCAATTTGACGAAGGGGTAACCTGAATCCAGGGCAATTTTCGCGGCCAATGCAGTTTTTCCCGATCCCAGTGGTCCGTGTAAACAGACGGAAAACAGGCGCGTCGATCGTTGTACCTGTTCCACAAATGCTTCGCCCTCTCGCAAGACGTCCTTGATGTGTTGCGAATAATGAATGATGCCCCCTTCCAAACACAAGGCCAGATCCTCTTCGGAAACACCAAAAGCAGGTTTGATTTCCTCGAGAGCATTTTCGAAATCAGCTCGGGTGACTTTCATGTCGGCAACATCTTCACTGATTCCGGCCATGGTGCCGACTTTGATATGTCGATTGAAGGCAAAAGAGGCGGCAGCCTTCACGAGGCCATTCAGTTCGGCACCGGAAAAGTTTTTGGTCTTTTGGGCCAGATCAAGGATGTCGACCGTCGGATCCAAGACGTTGTTTTTCTGCATTTTGGCGGTGTGAATCTTGAGAATTTGAACTCGTCCCTGTTCGTCGGGGAGTGAAATCTGCAGATGAACCTCCAGACGGCCCGGGCGGAGCAGAGCGTCATCAATCATGTCTTTTCGGTTGGTCATACCGATCAGCAGGATGTTGTTGAGCTGGTCGACGCCATCGAGTTTCGATAGAAGCTGGTTGACGACACTGTCTCCGACACCGGTACCCCCGCCGGCACCACTGCCTCTCTTTTTGCATACCGCGTCGAGTTCATCGAAGATGATAATGTGCAGTCCCGATTCCTCGCCTTTCTCTTTATACTCCTTTTCGGCGTCGGCGAACAACTTTCGAATGTTCTCTTCTGATTGACCGACAAACTTGTTGAGAACTTCCGGTCCGTTGATGACTTTGGGTTCTCGGGCATTAAGCATTTTGCCAATCTGTCGCGCAATCAAAGTCTTTCCGGTCCCGGGGGGTCCGTAAAGCAAGATGCCCTTGACATGAGGAATGCCCAATTTCTCCACCAGCCCCGGCGGGAAGACACGTGAGGCGAAAGCTCGGCGAAAGATGGTAGCAAACTCTTTATCCAGTCCGCCGATGCCCATGTCTTCATATTTGAAATCGGGAGATATGATCGAGTTGGCCGCGGGTCGTCGTAACGACGCCTTGAGGTTGATGGGCGTCTTGCCATCCTTGAAGAAGTTGATTTGGGTTTGTGGAGTCAATATTCCTCTGGCCTGAGGATCGGATGTGGTGGGAGCAGCCTTTTCACTGAAATCTGCGAGTTGAACCGTCTTGACGACGAGACTCAGAGGAATACTTTTCAGGTCCATCAAGAATCTTTGGCTCGGCGCAAAGATTTGGCTGTTAAATAACTAGGGCTTCGTCAGTATGGACCGATCCCGCAGCATGGTCCTGCTTACCTTGACGATTTCTTTGGCCAGGTCATCTTGGTCGTAAGGTGTATCAACGACTTTTCTCGTGCTCGCAAAGCCGATTTCAATGTCCATAGCGTGAATGTATGCTTGCCCGCCTTGACCGAAAGCATCATAAACTTCCACTTGAAGTTGATCCGTCAGAGCAATACCCATCCAGGACCTCTGGGGCTCGGAAAGCCCAATGCAGCTTCGTGGAAATGCATCCAGTGGCCGCGCCGACACGACATACATGCCATTGATCATGAGAAGTATGTCTGTCCCGTCTCGCGAGGGTGGTATATCTTGGCTCGATACGGCCACCAGGTTACGGAACGTGTACGTGTTGTCTGGGCTTTTGGCAGGCTGCATGGTCATAAGATGACCTCCTCCTCGTCCTCCTCCTCTACTGGGGTTGTTCTGATGACCCATGGGTCGTGGTGGCATATTCCTCGCAGGTAGACCCGGACCCCCATAACCTCCTTGCTGCTGTCTGGGGGGATCGTAGCCATTCATAGGGGTATCATATGGATTGCTGCCGTAATTCGGACGTCGATTGGGAGAAGCGCCATAAGGATCTCGCGGCGGTTGGGGTGGCGGTTGGCCTGAGCCGAAGAGGTTATTTCTGTTAAGAAAGGACATGACTGAGCTAGGGTATTATACGTCGATGGTGAGAAAGTAAACACGACTGTTATACAAAATGAAAGGAAAATGATGGTGATCATATTAAAGTACCGACGTAACTGTTCGAGGCCAGGCGGGCAACGGTGGCCGTTCCAAACATCATGGGGTACAGGCACCAATCAATGGCTGAGGCTTGCCAACCCCCATTCGACAACCTGTGGCGGTCATACGTTTCAAGCCGTGTCAGATACCCACTAGGCCCCAGCCTTGGGCTAATTCCTGGTATGAACTGCGATTCTTCCCCGCAGCCTTGTCTCCTCTTACACATTCAACTTCGTCCAAGATGGACGAAAGGGTTTGTTCTTAACCCAAAGATATGCCGCTCCACCTCCTTGGCAAGAAATCATGGAACGTATACAACCCGGCCAATATCGAGCGCGTGCGGCGCGACCAAGCCGAGGCCAGACGCCGCGAAGAGGAAAACGAGAGAAGAGAGCTGAAAGATGCGGCGGATGCACGACTACAGCTCCTGAAGCATGAGCCTAAAGAGACGAGCAGGATCTCATCCGAGCAAGATGGGACTCTGGACAGCGCAGTTTCTGGGCGCGGGTCATACAATGTCCGCATGCAGAAGCGCAAATTGCCCGGTGAAGACGATACAGATCGAGATATCAGGATCGCTCGCGAGACCACCTCAACGTCCTATCTCGACGCATCTACATCCACCTACAAACGACGACGATCAGACAAAGAAGACTCTCTCGTCGATGCCAACGGGAATATCTCTCTGATACCGGTGCCCAATCAATCCGAGGCATCGAATATATCCCACAAATCTCGGCTCGAAGAGGATCCATACACCGTATACCTCTCCCACGCTACCGGGAAGGGAAAGGACTCGGGCGACACACCGTGGTACAGCGCTGTTCCAGTTGCCCGGCCCGGTGGTGGTATATCATCCCGAGCTACGGAGCCATGGGGCGACGACTCGCCACAGCGGCGTGCGCGTGAAGCAGCACGTGTCTCGGCCATCGATCCTCTTGCGGTGATGAAGAAGGGTGTAAAGCAGCTACGAGAGGCCGAGAAACATAGAAAGGAATGGATGACCCAGCGAGAACGAGATCTGAAAGAAGTCGAGGATCTTGCGAGAGAAGAGAAGGAGGAAGAGGAGAGGGAAAGGGAGAGGGCGGATAGAGATGTCGATGAACATAGACAGCGAAGGAAAGAGAGAAAACGTAATGGTGAGAAGGGAGACGATGATTTGGAAAGCTTCCAGGAATTCAACTTGGATGAAGGGTATTCCAATGGGACTCGAGAACATGATCACTCTCATCGCCACCGCCGTCACCGGCACCATCATCGGCATGGGCGGCGACACCGTCATCATAATCGTGATGGTGATCCAGACGCTGACAGACAAGACAGAAAATGTGGCCATAACCATGACCATGACCATGATCACAGAGACAGAAGACCGACCAGCAGGGAGGACCAGTCCAACCACCGCAGCCATAAGCATGTCCATCACCATCATCAGCGTCAGCGTCAGCGTTCCCATCGACGACGGCGCTCACGTTCCCGATCAAAGTCACATTCAACCTCCCCATTGCGCTGAGCACTTCGCGGTCGAATCTGGGTCTCTCGGTACGAATCAAATCAATTCGGTCACCGATCACTCTATATTATTCTAAACAATCCGAGTTAATTCCCACACCCGTATCCCCACTTCTGAAGGTCACCGTGATATCAACATCAACATCAATGGATTCTGACAAAGCATCCAACCTAGGATATCTAGTAAGCCTTATCCCCCCCCTCATGACGAAATGAAACGATCCAATGCCAATTCCCAATCCCATTTCACTCTGCTCTCATATCATGTCACGGTCAGCCTCGAGCCACCAGCCATGCCATTCCATACCAAAGCCAGCGCGTTATCGTTGTCCCCATCCCACAATGGCGGCTCATCCTATCTTGATCTCATACACCCCATCGGGTCCCCATCTCCCTGAACCCCTGTAGCCACGACCTCTTCGACCTGTCTTTCATCACGGCTTCTTTCTTTCTTTTTGAGAATGTAGATCTTTCACCATCTTTATTGAAAAATTGTTCATATTCAAGTCGATTGTCGTCTTCGTCTTCATCTTCATTGATGGCTGCGCCGGCATCGGTATCGGTGACAACGGTACTCTCATTCTCCGCGTCAAGGTCAGATCCGGGGACGCATGAGTCGTCTGTGGCTGCGACTCTGGACCCATCATCATGGTCGCTCTCCATCACCATGGCCTTGTCTTCCTGCACTTTGGATTTGGGCTGGGACCGTGCGGGGAACTTTTGATTCCAGCTGGGGTCGGGAGTGTCAACTGCACCGTCGAGATAGATCGGCCTGTCAGGAGCGTCATCATGGATTGTCTTGAAGGGATCTTTGTATCTGACATTGTTGCTGTCGTCCTTCGACATGATATAACTCACTCTCGTGCACCTGCCTCGTGGCTGGGGCGTTGGATCGACGTTACTTTGTGGGGCCGGACGTTTCTGTCCACGACTCGATACCATTCTTGGTAATTCGTTTCTCACCGTACTCCGGCGACACCGACGTTCATGGTCTTGATCCCAATGTTCCTGATTCGTGTCTGCAGCTCCAGCTCTGACCATCCGCAAGTACATGTCCGAGAGCTCCGTGTAAGCTTGAGAAGCCTTGGACAATTCATTGGTGTGCACTGCATCGATGGCGTCAAAGAACTGTTGCATATGCGCTTGATATCGAGAGTTCAGAGACATCCACGCTCCCGTCTTGTTTAGCTGCGGCTCTTCAATTCGAGCTACGGCTGAAGCCGGGTATCGGGGAAAGGTGGCACCCCTGGTGGACCTTGTACTCGGTCCACTGCCGCTTGGAGGATCGTAGGTGCCATCTCCACCAAAGGTAATATTGTGACTTGCGTTGGGGCTTCTTCGAGGATTCTGGCCATCTTCGTCTCTGCCATAGTCGCATAGAGAATTGTGGGTGGACGGCGGGGAGAATTTGTTCTGGTTGCCGTTCGCGACGGCAGCATCCGGGGTGATTTCCGCTGGCGACTCTATGATTTCTGTGTCCTCGTAATCCTTCCCTTGCCCATCCCAGGAAGCCTTCGCCGCGCCAGCTTCGTCATCGAGCTCATCCGCTTGAGGGTCACCAGGTCCTTGCTCGTGTCCCTGGTCAGTTCCCTCGCCGGTCAGGTCACTTTCCGGTTCCTGCTGGTCTCCCTGGACCCCATCGCCAGTGGTATTCTGAGTGGCATCCTCTCCACCCTGGTCGCTGTTCCGCTTCTGCTTTGGACTGCTACCAGGTCCTGCGTCGTCCTCGTCATCACTATCGGGAGTCCACTTACGTTTGCCACAGGCATCTGTTCCAGACTCTTTTGTCTTCTTCCCGATAGTCACCGTGGCACTCCCCTTGACTTGAGCAGTGCGATTTCCGTGGTCCTCCACATCAAGCACAATACATGCATAAGGCTCGCTCTTTTGATGCAAGGTGAAGTTGTCTAGACCGTATTTCGGGAACTTGATCTCGTAGGCGTCAATCTTGGCGACCACCTCGATGAACAACTCCTTGTGCTGAGGCATGTCTGTGGTTGCCAGTTGGAGTTCTGTCTCTTGCCCATGTAACCGACAAGTAGGAAGGACGGTCAACGAAGGGGGAAGTGGACGACGCTGACACTTGCATCCACAGCTTTGGCAGACGACCTTGTCGTCGTTGTCATTGTTGTTCTTCACATCCTCGTCCTCCTTGTCTTTGCTGAACTCGTTTTCGTTGTCGACGATCTTTTCGTACATGAGAAGATACGGCGTCCAATCATCTTGCTGCTTGAGTATGTCTTCGAAATCTTCCTCTTCAACCCTGTCATCGTCGACTTCGTACCATGTCCGAGTTTTATCGTAAAATAGGTTTGCAATGTAATGTCCGGAATCGGGATCACCATGGTGGCTCACAATACTCACGAGCTGATACTGAGTGGACTGACGCCCTGGTATGCGCTTCTCAAGCAAAAACTCCAAGTCGAGAGTCTCGGGGATGTTGACTTTGATGTCCAGCTTGCTGCTCCCATGCGCATCTGCGACCCAGTTAAGTGATAAGAACAGGACTTCTGGCAGTCTGCACCATCTCCTCCACAAGTCCGTGCTGAGGTTGGATTTTTCTTCATCGAGCTGGTTCTCAAGCTCTCTGGCTTTCTCCTCGTCTTCCATCAGTCGCGTTTGCTGAACCTGCTCATCCTTGTTCTTTTTCCATTCAAGGCTGCACTTGTCGCAATGCCAGCCTTGCAGTTCGCCCTTTGAATCCATGAGAAGACACTCTTCCAATGTCACCACCTTGGCCTGATCGTTCTCGAAGGCTTTAGCTCTCCCCGCGTTTGCCAGTGGAATTGGGTAAATCGTCAAGTAATCAAGATCTTCCATTCTGATTTTGACATTCCGCGCAGATCGGCATCTAAAGCAACGGCGGCGCTTTGTTTGAGATATCAAAATCATCTCATGAATGCTGGTTTCCTGCAGACTTGCGACTCCCTCCAGTCGAGGGTCACGTGGGCTGTATTGAAGATGTCAGCTCAAAACCTCTTGTAGCCCCCGCAACATTGTACATACTGCATTTCTTGCGCGTCCTTCAAGAAACTCTGTACCTGGTCGATGCTCAAATTGATGAGCCGGTCCAAGAATTCCGGGGCATCTTGTTGTATTTTGAAATCCCAAGGTTCATATCCGGAGCTGACAAAAAGAGGCTCGTCGACAAGATACTGCCAGAATATCCGCATGTACTCCTCCAGGAGACTGCGGTCGCGCTTGGTGGAATAAATTTTGTAGACTTCATAGAGTTCACACCACACATCTGTATACGGGATAGCGACAGATGCGGGCTCTGGGCCATCTTCGGAATGAGCGCGACTGCGGCGGGTATTGACCATCAGGCCAGCAGCCTCGATATTTGGTATATGCCGGTGCTGAATCCAAGACATAAGTCTGTTGCTGTGGAATAACATGAGAAGCACCGCATTGCGATAACATGAGACAAATTTGTGCCTTTTACCCTTGACCACTGCTATATTCTTAAATCCTTGAGGACGAATCGACCTACACTCTTTTCTAGCGGCGTCAATCGCTTCTTTGGGCACGCCTCCTGGATGGTTGAACTCGGGTCCCTCCGATTCTGTGGGACTCGGTGGTCTCCCATCTGTTTGCGGTCTGGCGGGAGGAGTTGCAGGTGACGACGGCGCCTGTTGAATGTGGCTGAGACGGGAGGCGCCCTGCTGTCTCGGACCTCGCCATGTGTTCTTCTGTTGCGATCCTTTCGAGTGAGATCTGGTTCGGCTGGATATGTTGGGCCGGCCACTGTTCCAGCCAGGCTCTGGTTCCCTCGACTGTGCTCTTGTTCTTACCATGATGGATCAGCCATGTTAGTAATGTGAATTCAAATGTGCACTAATTGTCTGAAATGGGAAAGATATGAAAAGACAAGTATACGGAATGTTGGTGAACGAGGAAGACATGTTGTGACAAAGCTTCCGAGCGAACATAATGGAAAGTCATTTGAATGAATCGGGAGCACGTTTGCGGCCACGATCGAGCAGGTGGTGGCAATATGCACAAAAGAAAGAGATGGGTATTGAGGACCATGGCCGGGAACGGACGTCTTGCAGGCACAATGGGAGTAACTGATGCTGAGGATGACTTGGACCCGCCAATGGACAAACTGACCATTGAGTGACGAGAAGCCAAAGAGGTCCAGCAGACAGATCCGGGGTTCTCAAAGGAAAAAGGGTGTGAGAGACGGATATCAGCCCCGAGGTCAGGGGGAGCCGCATATCGATCACGTGACTTCGCCGTTCCTGCGGCAAACCAAACAGTCTGTGACATGGCGTCCTGGAATTATTATATCGTGGTATTCATATCGATCCATTCCATCGCTAAAGAATGAGCAAAGGAAAAAGATAGATCATCTCCCTTCGAAGTCGGTCTCATAACTGGTGTCTGGTCATGATCACGATGAGACTTCGGATTTCGGATTCGTGCCATTACCAAAAAACCGTCTCCAATCCTCCGAGTTTCGGTGATTCGCAGGTGCTTTCAGAACAGGGGGTTCAGGAACTTCGACAGTGGTAGGTGCTGCCGCCGCCGCCGCCGCTCCGGCAGGCTTCTCTGCTAAAGCGACCCTCTCAGCCGATGCGGTGCTTGGTACCTTCACCATATTCCCTGTCCCGCCTGCCTGTCGTCGCCTTGTTCGGAGGAAGAGGAGGACAGCTGCGACTAATGCACAGACGCCGATGATGACGCCGACAGCAATGCCAGCCTTTGCACCACCGCTCAAGCCACTCGAAGAGGGTGTTGATGATATGGCGGTCTCCGTCGGTGCAGACCCAGTTGACGAGGAGACTGCAGCCGCTCCAGTCAGGACGGTCGTCCGTGCAGAGTCAGTCTGGCTCTGTGTCGGTGTCGGTGTCGGCGTCCCGGCATCACTGTTCGAAGTGGGCTTTCGGGAAGTGGGAGCAGGAGTTGTAACAGTCATGGCATATATTGAGGCGGGGCCGGTGGTGCAGGCCATGGTGAAGCTTCCCCCGGTGGTACTATCTGTGCCATTGTAGGAATCGTAAAGCATCATATAACAATACACAGGGAATTGCGGAATGTCCATCCCGGCTTGGATGGGTGCAATGGCGTAAGTGCCATCTGGCTGGACTAATGTCTCCCATCAGTTTCTGGTTCGTCTCTTTCTGCCTGCGTTCATTCTTACGGAAGTTCATCGTAGCCATCGCCCATTCGTTCGATTCTTCATTGATCCCACACAGTAGGGTGAGGTTGGCATTCTTCCATACTGTGTCATATGTAACCTGCACTGTATCGATATTATTTATGGTCGCCAGCCCGGTCGGGTAAAGAAATGTTGCATGAGGTCCATCTGTGGGGGCTTCAGTGGTGCTCGAGGAGGTAGATGAGGTTGTCTCTTCTGTAGTCGCGATAGAGGGCGGTACAGTAGTCTCCATTACCGAACTGAAGGTCCGATGAGGACGAAAATCGGCGGCCTGCCTCGCATGACGAACCAAATCACCAGCGAACATCAAGAGAGATGGCGACTAGATTACCACAGTATAGGGCCTGTCGCAGGTTCAATGGTCGAAACAGACAACGAACATGGCCGTCAACGAATGCTAGTCAAAAGGCCCCCGGAAGATGGGATCGTCGCATATCGTTCTCAGGCAGGTCTCGAGTCGTGAGACAGAATAGATGCCGTCTGCGTCTCATTAGGAGCAGGGAGGTCCTTGATCAGGGGAAGGAAAGACATGGCCCTTCTCCAGCCTCTCAGGTGTGAGTGTGTCCAGCCGATTGTGTCAATGGATGGAGATTTGACCAAACTAGTAGTTAGGGTTCGAGACAATAGGTTGATGGCGTTGAATTTGGCGAGATTGAGGCGTACATGAGAAGTGGATCATTGCAGGGTCAATTTCTATGTCCATCTACCCACATCCCATTCTGCGCACGGACGCTCGCGTCGTGTCTCATCCCAGATCCGACCGACGGGCTACCAGAATTGATCTCTATCTTCCTCTTCACCTCTTCCCTTGAGGCCTGCCTCATCGTTGTTTTTTTTTTCTTCTTTGGACGATGGAAGGACGTTGAGAAATTGGCTTATTGGACGCTGGGGTTGGACTTGCATTGAGGTTTGCCGTGGCCGTCATTGTGGCTTGCGGAGGCGTTCTTTGCTACATAAGTTCAGGAGTCGGGATTGAAGACTCTGCTTCGACTCCGGAAGCTTGGAATAACGCGATCATGTTGCCACATCTTCCCACGGTGCTTACCGTCGTACGCTTTTTCTGTCAACGTCCGAATTGCATTTCCCATAGTTCCCATGATGTATGCTCCCATATCAAAACGCCTCGCTGGGACTTTGGTCAGAATCCTCCATACATTGCGACAATGTCATTTTATTTTCAAAATCCGCTGCCTCGCCAACCTTGTCCTGTCGTGCCCATAGTTCCAATGCTCCCTTCCCGTCGGAGTCCTTCCCCATCGAGATTCAGCTTACCCAATACCTCTGTTGGTACGGTGGGTATATATTTCCTCGCTCGTTCTCTGTTCACTCCGCCGATTCCAGCCCCATAGGTGATCAGCATGTCTGTTGAGGTGGGAAGCGAGAATGGAAGCATCAGAGTCTGGTCCAAGTTCAATGCATTTCGATTCAAGGGCGGATCCGTGTCTTGCTCAATTGGGGTTGATATTGTTGGCCCAGAAGTCCCTTGAGGCGTCGAGGGACCCTCGTCTGCTGGTGCCGGCGTCCCATTCTGTCTGGCTGGTGTGGACATTCCCGATTCGAGAGCATCCGCAACCGGTGTCAAGGGTCTTTTGATCAATGATTGCTCGCCATTCTGCAATTGCACCAGAAACTTCACATGAGCCTTCGGGAGGCTCTTTTCGCCGACTTCTGCTCGGTAGTTCTTGACCGCATGGATCAACTGCGTGGGGGTGAGACGTTGCAATTGAACCAGGGTGCCAGTCAGAGATTCATGGTCTTCTCCGAGAGAACTGAAACACTGCAGCCACTGAAGCAGCTGAATGATCGGGGCCAGATGTCGTCTGGCAGCATCGACCGTGTTCTCCCCCGTCGATACCGTCGAGCCGTTTTCATAATGCTCTGGCTGTCGGTTATTGGTTCGCGCCCAGTCTTCAATGGCCGACACATTCATGCGAATTTGCATCGCCTTCGTTCTCGAGAGGTATTTTCTCGTGGTCATAACACGGTTGAACAGTTCGGCTCCAATCCAATACAACAGCTGAGCTAAAATTTGTGCGGTAATAACAGAGTGAACGTCATAGAGATCCAGCACAAACAAGGTCGACGAAAGGAGAGAGGTGATGTTTCGCGGAGACGTCTGAGCCCGCCGTTTGGGTGACGGTGGCCGAAACCGCTTCTCTGGTGGCTCATCTTTCGTTTTCGGTTTGGACTTGAAAACTTTCCATTCTCCTTGAAATGCAATGTCGTTCAGCCCGGGGATGGTTTCATGATCCAACATTGCCACGTCCAAGACCTTGTTCATTCTTCTTTCAGCATCCCGAATGATGAGAATAAATATCTCGTTGATGAGCTCGGCGAGTTCTAGCTGGTATTTGGAAGTCGCTTGGACGAGACCAGCATCTTTTTTGAGATAATGCAGGAGGAGAGTGGCATTGGAGATCCAGAAAGCTAGCATGGTCATGTCCCACTGATAGCGCTCAATAACGTCATTAATGAGGTCCATTGCTCTCGTCAATACATCGTCCAAAAGAGACGCCGTCATGTGATAGTGGGCATAGCGGGCCATGAGGAAGACGAGATTTGCCGGCACGGGCTTTTGAGACGGGGAGCGTTGTGGGGTCATATTGGTGATGATAAGTTCAAAGATTGCCTCGAGTTTGTCCGTCTGAAAGACAAACATCTGGTCGCCGACACAACGATCCCAAATGAACTCTTCCTCGTCGTTTTCGAAATCCGTCGGCGACTAAGAATGTCAATTCGAAGACGCGCCACATGGATGAAGGGAACCCACCTCGAGCTGCTCATCAAATCCCAAGGTTGACAGATCCACCTCCAAATTTGTGGCGCTCTCTTGCATAAGCATTCGCCTCTTCATTTCGTTCTCAGCCATTTCTTCTTCAAAGCGATCTTGAGAAAAGCCGGAGTTGTAGAAGTCATCTCCCAGGCCCGACATGCCAAAGTGATAGCCATTCTCCTGGAGATAGTGGGAGAAGTCGGATCCGGGTTGCACGAAATCCAGTGCCGTTCCTCCTGAAGATGACCTGATGTCCGGATTGGCTCCGTGGTCGAGAAGAAGTTTGGCAATCTGTTTGTGACGATTCGTCATGGCCCACATCAAGGCGCTCCATTGATTACGGTCCTGCTTGTCCACCACAGCCCCCGCATCCAAGAGAGCTGCGACAACTTCATGATGGCCCTACACATGTTAGTGAAACAGAGTACCGAAGGTCCTGAGTGCAGACCTACAAAACAGCTCGCGTATATCAAAGGAACAGTGCCCTCCTCGTCCGGCTGGTTGACGTCCACAAACTCCTTGGCCGTGCCCCCCACCAATTTCTGTATTCGGGCAACATCTCCATTGCTGGCGGCCATGTTAAGGCTTTTCTGTAGTATTTCTTTCTTCTGGCTAGCAGAGAGGGTGTCATCTGTGGCAATGGCATCCTCGTCTTGTCCTGGGCTTCCATCCTCCCTGTGATGAGCCTGGGCGGCCACCATTTCCATCAATCGTGAATCGCTGTCTTGGATCCTGGCGAAGGTCTCGTCGTCGTCGTACGTCGGTGTGTCCAAGTGAAGGTCGAAAGCCAGCGGTCGTGCCGGAGTCGGCGCCGTGATATACTGAGATGAACCTACAGTGATCAATTCATATAAGCATTTGCTCGACGATGCACGAGACCAATTCAGCTGGAGTGATTGCTTGCCTTGCCACCCATCGTACATTTCTGTTTCCTCGCCATAGCTCGGGAAGGCTCGACGGTCATCCAGGGAGGTTGGAAGGTCATCTGGGAGTTTGCGGGGCGTTTGTGGCGAAGGGGAGAGGGAATCCGTCGGTGAAGTAGGATCCATGTTTGGTGGCTATCCGGGGAATTGTATTTAGGGTCGTCTCATATCGAAGGATCATTGGAAACGAATGAACCGTGGCATCCTGTTCGACAAGCTTTCCTAGGCCGTTGCCATTCCGATGGTCTTTGAGATTGGCTGTGGGCCACTGCAGCCTGTCAAAAGGTTGCTAGAGTTTATGTTTGGGAATTGCACCTGAAGCGTGACGGCTTCGCATCGCTCCGACCGTCGTTCGACTGAGGGAGCTGAGTCATAACTTATGTAATTGATATCCGCCTCGGCACCGTCTTCGGTTGAAGATACATCATAAATTAAATGTAATATATTGATATCACAGAGTCCAGGACTATGCTTTTATGATACCAAGTCAATGCCAGGTCTCTCCCCCATTAACCATAATTTCACCCGTGTGTGTGCCTCAACATCCGTCTCCAAGGTGAGGGCCGTGCAACACCGACAAATAACGCCATCGCTTAATCGCTCAGAAACCGCCATGCTGCAAGAAAACTAATCCGTGCGATTCGGTACAGCAAACAGGGGCTCACCCTTCCATTTATAAGATGCCACCTCCGCGCATTTATCCAAAATGCTTATCCATTAATTTTCCAATGCCCTGCTGGCGCTGCGTATCCGATCATCACCAAGAGCCGCCAGCCACAGACACCGCTCGATTACTCCTGGAATGGCCTCGAAATTATATCTTGAGCTCGCATCAATCAGTCTCAAGAGGCCCTTCACGATTATAGCGGCGGTCCGATAGCGCTCGAAGTTGACCAAAGGCTCGGCTCCCTGCCCAGTTGGGATATATGGCGGCTTCTGGGCATTATAAGTCAAATCATGAACATACAGACCTGGGACAAAGGATTAGCGAGAGGACTTCCATCCACAATTTTATGGAGACCCACCTATGAACGGAATACAGCCATCGCTGAGGTCGGCTGACTCCATTTCCAGACGAAGATCATGAAAATTGCGAATCGGTTGCACAAGAGCGTCCATGTGCTTGAGTAAGGATTTGTCAGGAGCTGAAACGATGCTCCAGGTCTTTGACAGCCGTGTACAGTCCGTCGAAGTGAGAGCTATCGTGAGCTGTAGCATTGTCGCATAATTATGCAGCCGTCGTGCATGGGCTGCGACATGGATGTACTTGGTGATAACTCGGGCTCGCTCTTGGATATCCTGGGTCAAAACGATTTCCGACAACGCCCATTTCACCACAAGGTTGAAGCGGGTAATGACCAAATCGATCCCCCTGATGCTTCCATTGGTCAAACAATCTACCCAATCCAGAACTTCGGCAGATTTGTTGTCCCACCGCATCTCCACCAAGTCCGACCACTCGACTTCGCAGAGGGCTGACTTTTCCACGAGTGTCATTTGCTGCGCAAGAACTTGGGAATCGCACGCGAGAACAAAAGGGATGTGTGCCGGACCAGCCGGCAGCCGTCCCAGAGGCTGAGAGGATGAAGACTCTTGGAATTGTGCAGGCTGGCGCGAATCGGGACGTGGTCGCACCTTTGCGTAATTGTCGCCATTTGTCTGGGGGACTGGATCGGAGACTCGTTGGGGTGGAGACGCTTCAGGGATGTTCAAGTTCACCACCGAGGCATATGTCAAAGGGTGCGCCGGTATCTCAAGCCCAGAGATAGCGGTTCCGGGTGCTGCGAGCATGGGCGAAATAGACCGGCCAGCAACTCCTGAGTAGTTGATAATGTCGACGGAAATTTCCGAGGACAAATCCGACAGATTCTCATCCTCATCTAGAAGAAAAGACCGAGTGCTGTCATTGGCGGTTGACGGTCGAGGAGGACTGTTTCGATTTTTGTTTCCGCTCGGAGGAGGTCCTTTAGGGAGGTGAAACAGCTGAGGAGGATCTTGCGGAAGATAACCAGGCGCAACCGCCGGAGCTTCTGGAGTTCTATTGACCGGCGGCGGAGGTCCCGCCGCGCTTTCATGAGCCGTCTCACGTTTCAACAATGGTAAGGAGCCTTCAGAATCCTCCGAATCTGCGATCGACTCGGTCGGAAGGCCATAGATCGAAGACCTCCGTGCGGGCGAGGGCTCTGCGTCCACATTCTTGGCTTGTTCGGAAGCAATTCCGTCATCAGACATTTCAGAGCCGACTTCATTGACTGTTTCACGAACCCCGTTGTCAATAGGGCGCGTGGCCGGACCGGCAAGGCTCGCAGGCTGGACTGGTTCTTTCAGTTCTCGCGCGGAGCCGGAACTGAGGTCGGGCAGTGATCGACGCTTTCCTGTGGTATCCAGTGGATGCTGATCCATCGGTGGTGACTTCTTCTCATACCGCCCTTCAAGCTTCATCAGTGTCGCCTCTAATCCACCATCCTCGTCGTCAGGAATGGCGGAAAAGCCAGCGACGGCCGCTTCAAAGGAAGGCCGAAGATGTTGCGAAGAATGAGTGTTGATCATCGACACGGGCTTGTTGGGCGGCGGCACATCGGGCGACGCACTACGGTTAGCAGTCTCTGTTTTCATGATAAACAGAGATTCGTGCGGTGAATCTGATCCTGCGCTGACTGTGTCGATGGATACGCGGTGAATGGCGTGATCCAGATCCTGAACATTCTCAACCCGACGTAAATTCCCCCCCGGCCTTCTTCGCAGAGTGTGAGCTGGCAGCTTGGTATCTGAATTAGGACGTGATGCTTTATCTTCCTCCTGTGCGCCGACGGGACCTGTGAGTGGCGAGGGCTCCTCGGCTGGGGCAGCGTTACCGACGGGCTGAGGAACATCGAGTGACTTGTTGTCATCCTGAACGGTTCGAGAACTTGTCGTTGTGGGTGACTGAGGCCTGTCAGTGGCGCTTCTTGTCGCCGTCTGATCCTCGGGTTGTCGTTCAGACTGGGTGGGGCCGTCTGCCACGTGCTCTGAGCTGTCATTACTGCCTGGCGCCGACGGCACACCCAGCTCGTTTCCGAGGACATTCGAGCTTCTCTGGGTCCGAACCGCATCGATACTTCCATTACGGTCAGCGGGTGCAGTGCTGTGTCCGTTGGGAACAGTAAGAAGTGGTCCCAATCCAGCTTGTTGACCACTGACGCCATTTTCCGGCGCCGGCAGCGCTCCGGACATCGAGGGAAGATCAAGGCCGGTATCATCCACAATCAAAATGGAGCCACTTTGAGCCGTTGTGTCGCTGACAAGTCGCGGCGTTTTCATTTCTCCTTCAGCGCCCGTTGCTGGTTGCAAAGGCGGATGGGTCGCAAAGAACGCGCCATAAGTGATCCGGTGTTTTGTCGGGAATTTTGTTTCGTAGTTTTGACATACCGCCGCGCATAGCAAATCAATGCGTATTTCACCCTTTCGGGTCATGGCTGGTCCAGCCTTCGGTCGAAGCTCATCGTGTGACTTGGAGATGTTGAGGGGCAGTTGGGACTTTTGGCCTCGGATGGGCACATCTTGGGCCGATTGTGAAACACTCAGAAGTGTCATGTCGACTTGTCCATGCTTATTCCCCAAGACTTTGCGCAATGAGCCAAAAATGTTCCTCCCAACCGGTTGGGTTGAGTGTGTACCGTGCTCCCTCCTCGATCCCCCTCGCATCACCCCTGTCTCATTTCTATCCCATGATGGGGTCGAGTTGGGGTCTGATGACATAATTTGCACGAAGGGGGCACTCGGGCTGTACAAAAGACCTCGAATGATATTTCCGTCTTCTGCAACAACGGAAGGAGATTCGGCATCAGTCTTGCGGGGTGTGGGCTCTCGGTTCGAATCGATCGAGCCGGCGCCTTTCCTATGACCTAAAGGTTTGGGTGCCAATGTGGGCTGGGTCACCACATGAAGGTTTGCAGGAGCGTTCTTCCGCCTTGATTGGACGGAGACGGGATGTGGACCCTTTGAATAAACATCAGTGTCAGCAGTGGGCAGGAGAAGAACCTTGGGAGGAAAGCAGGAATTAGCTTGAACGCTGCCATCACTGAGAAGCGAATCGGCGGCTTTATCAGAAGCGGCAGATTGCGGATGATTGTTGACGCCTGGATCTGCTTCAAACCAGCTATGTGATGTTCCGCGCAGGACCTCCGTCTGTGGTGTTTCAGGTCGTGCTTGAACGTGGCGAGCGTCCACTGGCGGTTTGGGTGTTCGTTCGGAATCAACAACCCCTCCGGGCTTGATATCTTCTTCTTGATCGCCGTCCAATTCGAAATCGTCGGGGTCCCAGCAGAGAGAACAGCGTCCATTCCAGCAACGTTTCAGATCCTTTAAGAGTTTGAGATCACTAAATCCATTATCTGGACTGGCTTTGACGTCGGCGTATAGTTTGTTGATTTCGGCGCAGAAACGCACCCGGAGACGTCGATCGACGAAGAAGTCGTCCATGAAGTAGTTGAGAATCCAATGCCGGAGAGCGGCGAAAGCGCGAACCCGAATGATCCTCCCATCTTCTTCCAATCGACCGATAGCCCACCTCAGCCTGGCAAGGAGCAAATCCAAGACGCTATACGCGGACATATACAATCGAAAAGTGAGAAAGAAATCAGACACCAGTTCATAATCCATAAATGAGTCGGACGAAATCTGCGCAATGATCCGGGCCGGAGTGGCTGCCGTAATCTCTCGGACATTTTGGCAGTAACGAACAATCGAAGGGTCGTCATACATCGCCGTCAGCTCGTCAAACACCTCCGGCTGGACCGGGTTGGTCATAGTGGACGCTGTAGTCGAGGTGGACTTGGACGCGGTGATGACACGTGTTTTGACATCCGGACGGTCACCTGCTTGAGCCATCGGGGCTGCTTCAAGTTTTTCAGACGCCTTGACGCTGGATGCGGGAGGGGCCGCCCCAAAATACTGATCGGCTTGCATTGTTGCTGGGGCGGGAGTCACATCGGACGGAGTGACCGAGCCGTGAGTATAGGAAGAGTTGCGCAGCATAGGGGTCCCTTGCGAGCTAAAACGAAAGGTGCCAATGCGATAATGCGGAATCGGGACTTCTAAAGTCGGCAACAACGGCGTAGGACGCTCGGGGGGGGACTCCCATGTGGTTGGGGGTCTCGCCGTGTCAGGCCGATTGATCACGATTTTCAGAGTTCTCGATTTGGAAGCAGTTAACGACTGTCGATGCTCCTCCAGGGTCGAGAAAGACTGCGACCGTCCATGGTTGGGAACTGCCACTCTCCTATTCGAGGCTCTGATAAATCGTTTGGTGGAAGTCGAGCCCGCGTGAGAAGATATAGAAGGATTCGACGAGGCTTTGACGTGGGCGGGCACCACAGGATCTCCATTCCCCAGCAAAGCGGGTGCAGTAATAGGTGTATTCAAGGGAGCCGGAGAGAGCATACCAGGGGGGTGTGAATGGGGAGATTGATGAGCAGACGGTCTGGCAGAATATCAGCACAGCTGTGTCAACATGTTATTCCGGCGGAAACGGATGCCTACGTCAAATACAAGACCCCTCCAGTTCCAACATTACCCACCGTGAAATTTCGGCCTTCCCTCGTGTCTGGAACTGTCTCTAGCGGCTGTGCTTTCTTGGAAGACTTTGCGGAACGCTGCCTCAACACTTCGGTGCTATTTTTGGCACGGCGGAGAGAATTCGACCTTTTCTTTCCCGACGTGCTGGGAGCAGAATTATTCCTAATATGTCTGCGAGACATGTCGGTTTCGGGGGTCTTCGTGGCCTTGCGCGGACTGGAGCCATTTTGTGAGGTCGCGGGTATCGTGGTGCCACGTGTGGTGCCTGTAATGTGACTGGCAAGCGCAGGATCGAGGGAAATCAAGGAAACACGACTGCTGAGAGTCGATTCCGAGACCATCGCGCCCGTAAATTCAAGGCGTGGGTTGGCTTCGAGTGTCTGCAAACATGGTCATGCACAGGATGGCAGGAGGAAGGGGGCCGTCGCAGAGAATGAATTCATGGCATTCATGGCATCAATGTCGAAGGCAAGGCGGCTGTGTGACCGTGTCAACTGAATCGACCTAGATCCACTCGAAGAGAATCGAACGTGGAGAGAATTTGGCAGTGGGAATTTTTTTTTTTTTTTTTTGGGTGACGCGACAAGCGCCCTCTTTTTTGTTTGTGTTTTCCTCCCCGAAGCCAAAGCCACCTCCGACACCAATTGGTCACAAGGGTCCCGAAGTTGGCAGGTATATCGGTGGTCGCTGCAGATGAATGAGAGACGGTTTCTAGCAGAAGAAGGAATCGGAACACTGATTCGGAATGGTAGACGCAGAGTAAAAGATGGCGGTGATAGGAGTGGGAGTACGACGCAGTGGAGGGAAGAGCAGGGCGCGGGAAAAGCAGTCATAGAAGTTGGCCGATGGTTGGTGGCTGGTTGGCAAGAACATTGAGCAATGAACCAACGAACGGACCTGGTTACTTCGGTTCGATATCTGACTGGACCAGAGCTGAGTGACAGTTGGGCGTCAGATGTGGGCTAACGGCTGTGATGGCAGGAAAATCAAATGGAAACGCACCAGTCATCGCGATCTGGGGACCTCTAGAACTTAGGAATTGAGCGGTTCTTCCAGGACACGGTTGCAAGGCTCATGTGCAGGTACCTAACGCGGCTTAGGCCTGCTTCCGCGCGAGAAAAGGTTATCCAGGCCTTGTTGTTGATAGGTGCGGATGTCGTACTGGGATCCCCTCAGCCGGGACCGCCAACGAGGACCACTTTGTCCCCCGAATTGCCTTTTTGTTCAGGACTAACGGCTCAGCTTTACCGAGTATCAGAAGAAATTGCCAGGGCCCGAGGGGATATGATGACCTTTCGACAGCTTTGGCTTTTTTTTATTTCAAGGTTTCAAGGGCTGATCCCGTCCTTATTTCAACAATTGTCAGCCCATTCCAAATTCGACTCAATACCTGTCACAAATTATTTGTCTCTCCACCCCCAGGACCGGAGTACGGAGGACTGCCTGTACCATCAGCTGAGAACCAGGACCCCCGAGCACCGATCATGCGCTAATTGGCGATGAGATTCTGTCCTCTTTGCAGCCCGTCCCTCTTGGATTATCCTTCTTGCTCCACCAATAACATTTGCCAACGCTTTGTCCAGAATTTCTTTCCCTAGTCGACAAGAAGGGTCATCACAGCCTCGAACACCTCGGATCATCCTCCCAGACGCTCGATCGTCTTCCCTCCATCACTTTTCACTATCACCTGCCACCCAAAACCCTGAGTCTGTTCACATTTAAATCGTCCATCCCCACGCTGGTGGCACTCTTCCACCCCTCCATCGGACTTGTCGGGCCTCGAAGGATTCCGTCGGCTCGTCTTCGAGTTCGGTCAAGTTCATCCGCCGTTGTTCTACAAGGGAACTTCCATTTCGACCGACTCAGGACCAGTTGGGAAGTAAAATCACACCATGAGTTTTAGTTGACGTTCGCGAATTCGCTTGGATTTCTGTCGTTGACATCAAAGCGGACATTGCACTATCGTGCACGGATCTCCGAGCCGGAAACTTGAACGTCTCCATCTACGGATTTCAACTCTCAGCTGGGCCACAGTGAATCCCCTATCAATAGCTGACCTGAGCATCTCGGAAAAGCAATCGGAATCTATGGAGTGTGTATGGATGGCAAATAACTTCGATACATTCTGATACTGGGACCTCCCCGAGATGCATGACGTCACCCCAGTCTGCATATACCAGTCCATGTCACAGCCTCGTAAGCTAAACATCACTTTTTCATGCTGTAAATCCCCAGGTAATTGCCCTCAGTGTCTTCGAAGTGCTGCATCAGAGCCATCGAGCCTTCAGGCAGAATGTCGCTCATTTTCTTACCACCTGCGGCGACAATTTTCTAATGAAGGAGTTTGGTTAGCTGGGAAAATTGCGAGGCAAAGGAATGAGCGTTCAACAACCGCTCATGCGTTGCTGAAAGGAGATCAACAAATCACTCACCTCTTCCCATGGATTTATATCCTCAACATAGAGATACAGGACCACTCCACCTTTGCCATGGGTGCTTGCCCATTCGTCCGCTGAGACCTTGGTAATTCCGCCGTTCGGACTGGGCTGGCCAGGCACTTCGAACAAGGCGATCTCGTTTGGATCAAGGGTGCGACCATCCTGGGATGCAGACCTGTTGAAGCGCCAATTGAAGACGGTACTGTAAAAGGCTTGGGCTGAAGGGCGAGAGATGATGTTAGTGAGGTTCGTTGCGTGTCCGCAGGGGCATGGAGGAGAGGCAATGCAAGGGGACAGAAGAAGGTCAGGGAGGGGGGTTCGCTAGGATCAAGGGTAGCCTTTGGACGAACCTCGGGGGACATCGGTAGCGAGAACATTGATCCAGCATGGTGTGCCGTCCGCAGGAGGAGTCCACGTCTGTGCCATATTGACGTGGTCTATGTGTGGTATAGATCCTAGGTGGGTTATGGGATATCGAGGGATAAGAGATGTTGTGGAGGTCAATCAATCCAGATGAAAGAACGCTGAAAGAAACACGGCATTGGGCGAGAAATGGGGTTGAATATATACTTGCTTGAAACACTGAGCTACATACTGACGTGGGCATGGTCTCCATCTTTCGTGTGGAATACGAAAACTAAGTGACTTTTTTCGTTTCACTGTTCAGTCTTGATTGGCCCAATCCCTGTTGCTGCCTGGCGCCACACGAGGGTAGCCAATCAACGAACACCGAACGGCACGACGCGAACATCAAATTCTCGTGATAAGCAGAACGCGAAGGCGCGTTGGACTTTCAATGAGAGCAAAAGATGACGTGGAATGCGCAAAGTGGATCGAGAGCTCTTGACCGGGCGGGGAGAACCTCCTGGTTTTCTCGAGCCAATGGCTCCTTGGAAAAGATGACTCTTCAACCCGTGGGCCCAGCATTGGTTGAAACGAAGCCTGCGCTTTGTTCTAGCCATGAGGAGATGCTCGCAATCGAGGAAGATCGGCAGATATCTTGGAGACAAGAGAAGCAAAAGCGATTGCCAGTTGAACGGATCGGCCGTGGACCAGCTGGTTTGGAAGAGCTCGGCTCAGGCCGGAGAAGGTCAAATCGCATCGAGAGGGAATCGGTGGCTTCGTGTACATCGAACAAGGTGTTGTCACGGCGAAGTTGTACTCTCACCGAAATCCACAATATCCGAAAGCCAGCCTTCTGGGCGTCAGCTTGCAAATCTTATCCTTAGTCGGCAAAAAGTGAGTGGTGAGCAAGCAGCTGAAGAATCGGGTCTCAACAGTTCGAACAACGCACAATCCTTAAGGAAGGATGCCTACGTATTGGTGAATGCTGACCTGAAGGGCAGTTGACGAGACAAGGCTATAAAGTTCAGGGGTGCCGTAAGCCATCGAATGACTTCTACCCGATGGTAACGAGGGGCAAACAAATTGCTGCAAGCCCGGATCAAAACTTCAGAGACCATCTCGAGGCTGAGTTCGGCATTCGGCTTGAATATGCGATCAACATGGGCTCGAATCCAGCGCCAAGCGGCTCTGGCAATTTTTTAATCCCTCAGAGTAGAAATTTTCCAAGACAATCAATGCTCGAGGCCCACGTACCGCGGCTGAGCAGTGCTTAACCGTGCGAGCAGTATGGTAGCATAGTGCTGTACCTTCACTAGGGATAAAAGCGGTATCTTGAGACGAATTGTCTCTTATCAGTTGTTAGTTCGATTGGTCTCGTGCATTGCTGAAAGGTTAAGAGATTTTACAAAGATTTGGGCCCGGGCCTTTAATAACCGAACCGTCTATTCCTCTTCCATATTAGCGTCGGTTTTTATTTCCGTCGGAGCTTCAAATTTTTATTTTTTGCATCGGACGATGAATCTCTGGTATTAACACCAGCCTCGCTTTCTTAAGCAACCGGACCGGGATCAACGTATCAGATGAATCAAGCTAGTAAAGAAATTGGTGTCTACTCTGCTTATGGCATTTTTGTTGTATTCTGTCCAAGTGCAGCCTGGTGCAACCCTGTGCCACACTCCTGCAACATCAACTCCACCTTGCAACGAAGCAGACCATGGATAATGAACCCGTTCACATATTCCTCGGTGAGGATTACGGTAAGCGGGCCTTCGAAGTCTAGCGATTGGTCCCAGTCCTACTGATCCCTCGTTCAACTCGGCGTTGACTCTTACCCAATGCCGTCATTGCCACTCGACGCAAAATGTTCCACGCACGTACCCCTGTGGAGGCTATCTACTGGTAGCTCAGGTGAGGTAGCCTTGCAGAATCTCAATGCCCTTGATTTGTCCCATGGCTTCTGCGCGCTTTACCGTCCGCAAAATTTTTGGGCTATTGACCTCATACAACCCTCCACTCGCCTCGTCTCACTGATTACTGCGGCGATTTCTATTCGTTCTTTGCCGTACCAACACATCGCATATGGCCGGCTTCCCTCGCCAGGTGCCGCTCATCTCTCTACTTTAATAATAATGCATCCCCACGGTCGTCCGCCCGTCTTCGGGCACATCACATACGTCTAGGTTCAGAAGTCATACACGCAGATTGCCGACGCAACTCTCACCTCGTCCCCGGGAATGGAAAAGGATATTGAGGCCAGGGGTGAGAGCCCCAGTACTCAATCCGACCGGGCACAAGGAAAAATCGAGTTCCCTCGAGCGCCTACTGCTTTCGGCCGCTTCGTTGACAGCTTCAAACGAAATCCAAACGCCCGGGTGACAACACAAGCCGTCGACGCAGATGGCAAGCCTCTCGCCGATCAACCTCCCGCCGAGCCGGCTTTGGCGATGAAGTTGAAAGAGCGACATCTTCAAATGATCGCGATTGGAGGTTCTATTGGTTCGTCTAGGTTAAGCATCTCCGGCCCGGTCAGTGTTAACATTTCACAGGAACTGGACTATTTGTCGGCTCTGGTTCAGCTCTGGCCAATGGAGGCCCAGCATCGTTAATCATCGCATATGGCCTCATTGGAATTATGTTGTATTGCACCGTACATGCTCTAGGCGAGTTGGCAGTCGCTTTCCCAGTGGCTGGCGCCTTTTCCGTCTATGCCAGCCGATTTTTGGACTCCGCATGGGGATTTGCCATGGGCTGGAAGTGAGTTTGCGCGCACGTGCAATCGAACAGTCGAATTAACGGAATTTTTTAGCTACGCTCTTCAGTGGCTAGTGACGCTTCCTCTCGAAATCGTCGCGGCGTCTCTCACGCTCGAATTCTGGTCTGGGAGTCGAGACGTCAACAGTGCTGCCTGGGTCACCATCTTCCTTTTCGTCATCATCCTGATCAACTTCTTCGGCGTCCGAGGTTACGGTGAAGCTGAGTTTATATTCTCCATCATCAAAGTTTTGGCTGTCATTGGCTTCATTATTCTTGGTATCATTATTGACACGGGTGGTGTGCCTGGAGATGATCGAGGTTACATTGGAACACACTACTGGTACGACCCAGGGGCGTTTGTAGGTCTCCCCATGTTCTCAAGATATTCGACATCAGCTCATCAAATCTAGAACCACGGATTCAAAGGGTTATGCTCCGTCTTTGTCACAGCAGCCTTCTCTTTCTCTGGGACTGAATTGGTGGGTCTGGCGGCCGCGGAAACCGAAAACCCCCGAATGGCATTGCCCACCGCTGTGAAGCAGGTCTTCTGGCGAATTACTCTGGTAAAACTTCCATTTCGCCCCTGACCATGTCTATCTACTAACTAAAATTAGTTCTACATGGTTTCGCTCACCATTGTTGGAGTCCTTGTCCCATACAACGACCCAGATCTTCTCAATGGCAGCAGCTCATCCGACGCCAATGCTTCACCCTTCGTCATCGCCGTTCGCAATGCCGGTATCAGTGCTGTTCCTTCCATTATGAATGTTGTCATTCTCATTGCCGTTCTGTCGGTGGGAAATTCTTCGATCTATGGCTCTAGCCGCACACTTGCCGCTCTCGCGGACTTGGGTCAGGCTCCCAAGATCCTAGGCTACATCGACCGCTCCGGACGACCCTTGGTCGCTATTGTGGTCTCTTCGACCGTCGGATTCCTCTGCTACATCGTCGCCGCGGGACCGGATACGACGACCGAAGCATTCAACTGGATGATCGCCATCAGCGGTCTTGCTTCGATTTTTACTTGGTAAGTATTGAAACCACATCCTTGATAACCCCTGCTGACCGACTGTCTAGGGGCTCTATCTGCTTATGCCACATCCGTTTCCGCAAGGCCTGGCACCTTGCTGGCAATACGCTGGACGATTTGGCCTTCAAATCACAAGCCACAATCTACGGTTCTTGGCTCGGTTTAATCATGAACATTCTGATTCTCGTCGCTCAATTCTGGACGGGCTTTGCTCCCGTTGGATATGCCGAAATGACGGCCTCCGAGCTGGTCAAGGGCTTCTTTGAGGTTTATCTCGCAGCCCCCATTGTCATTGTCATGTATGTCGGGTACAAACTGGTGAAGAAGACGAAGATTAGGAGGGCGAGGGAGATTGATATCACTAGCGGAAGGAGGGAGCATAATCTCAGGGAGATTCTGGAGGAAGAGCGCAGAATCCAAGCCACATGGCCATGGTGGAAGAAGGTTTGGAAGACCGTGTGCTAAGAAATTCTAATTGGCATTGATGACTGAAAGTCGTTGAGGGATGCTGGGGTGGTTGTAATCAATGGGATAAGAATCATGGCCCTTCGGCACATGTCTCGAGAATCGCTGTTGTTAATAAGAACCATATGACAAGGTCGTTCCGACGTTTGTGATGAGTCTGGGCAATTCTGAGTCAACCCGGCATTCCCGGTTTTGATATGCCGCCATCCGGACGGGAGGACCAGGGGCGGGAATTGTTCAGTCTAACAAGCAAGCACCCGGCTCAGGAAACAGCAGTAGTATCTGCTTGGGGGAGTGAACGCCAGACACATCCATATTATTTCACTCGCAACCTCACACAAGAATCCCCCAAAATGTCACGCCTGCTTGGTTGTCTTCGTGCCAATGCCATTTCCACTGCTGATGCCTTCCTCGCTACTGATATCTCGGCCAGCAGCATCGTGGCCTTCCAAGACACCTCCACCGAGTGCCTTCTCCTCATTGACGGTCGGTTTGCCGTAATGCTGGTCGTACTCAAATTGACCGTCGTGGAAGAAGGCGTAAGGGAGCTCGCCGTGAACCTCGCCGTCACCGATCAGCAGTTGGTCCTCGTTGTACCTGAGTGGAATTCTCAGGACATATTTGATGAAGAGACATATGGCACTGGTCCAGAAGATATTCCAACCAATAACAAAGAGGAATCCGACAATCTGTACCCAAACTTGTCTTCCATTCCCATCGATGGCTCCACCACTTGGAGCAAGAGCAAATGCGGCTGTACCTTCGCTGGTGGCAAACAGGCCGGTCAAGAATCCTCCGACGACACCGCCAACCAAGTGGGTGTGGAAATCCCCGACAACATCGTCGGAAAACTCAAGGAACCATTTTTGTTTGCCCAAGACGTTCATGGAAATCCAAGGGATGGAACCAGAGCATGCCCCGATGATAATGGCACCCCAACCCGCCACAAATCCGGCCGCCGGAGTGATGGCAACCAGACCCGTGATGATACCTTGAATGGCACCAATTACGGCAGGTTTCTTGAAGAATACTAGGTCCAGAACGGTCCAGGTCAACATACTCATCGCCGTACAAATGTTAGTATTGAGCACGGCGGCACCCGCATCCGGCGAGGCGGTATACGGATCACCACCGTTGAAGCCGTTCCAGCCCAGCCAGAGAAGTCCAACACCCACGAGCGAAAGAAGGACGTTGTTGGGATGAAATTCCGCGCGATCGCGAGGGTGTCGTGGTCCCACCCAGTAAGCCATGACAAAACCGGCCGTTCCGGATGAGACATGGATGACGTATCCTCCGGAGTAATCCAAGACGCCGAGATCATACAGAAATCCCCCGCCCCAAATGCTGAAAGCGCCCACGGTATAGCTGAGTGTCACCCACAGAGGTACAAAGGCCATCCACGCTAGAAAATTCATTCTCGCAAGCCCTGCACCGGCGATAAGGACGACTGTGATTGCGGCGAAAACGAATTGAAAGTACACCATTGTACTCATGGGGTAGGCGGCGGTCAGCCCGGCTTCAGGTAGGTTGGCCTGGATCAACTCATAATTCATCGCGACAGCGGGACCGGGCACTCCGACAAACGGTAACATTTGTTTGCCGAAAGCAGCTTTGTAAGCCCACACCACCCAGCATATGAGCACGGCGGCAAAAGCATAGAGAACCATAAAGGCGGAATTGATAGCCCATTTCTTCTTGACCAAGCCAGCATACATGGCCATAAGTCCTGGAACAGATTGCAACCCGACAAGGGTAGCTGCGGTCAACTGCCAGGCATTGTCGCCGTTGTTGAGCCAGTCCGGCGCAACCAAGGTATCCGGGTCCCAGTTCGGCATCTTGCCAGTTATTAGAGAGGGTTATCGAGGGGAGGTGGTCGGATGACAGAAAGATTCCCAAATTCACAGATCCTCACTTCTACTCCTCGAAATGCGTGGTCTGGAAGAGGAAGGGCGCAACAGAACACGTCAAGTAGCTGGGAGAGAGCCGAGCTTATTAAAAAGGCAGACTACACACACGACAAAAAGAAAAACGACAGAGCTCCCCAAGCTCCCAGAGGACCCTTACCTCTCATCCCTACCGGCACCCACATGGACAAGGATCCACGCGATATCAGTTCTTCAAAGAGAGCGAATGATTTGCCAAACGATGTCACCTGGCAGTTTGACGTTTGAGAGCTCACCCTGCACAGCAATTTTTCCCCGCGCTAGCAGCCCGATCCAGGTACAAACGTGGTAACGGCATTCGTCTTGTCACTCCCATGGTAGGGCAAAGTCCTTTGCTTGCTTATCATGGAAGGATATTGTAATACGCGATTAGGTTTGCACGGCAATTCCCCAACGGAGGAGTATCAGGTAAAGGAACAGGGTCTGGAGATACCAAGACTGGGGTAATGGAGCCAATGGCGGGGAAGAAGCTTATCAGCGCTTAGCGTGGCCAACAGCACTACTAAATGCTGTTAAACTTCGCTAAGCCTCTTGAGACGCCCGACTAGCGCGGCAAGGAGCGGTGCTTGGCATGCCGTCTCTTAGATTCCTACCTCTCAAGAGCCTCGGGCTTATCTCTGAGATCGAGTCTTCCACGTGCAACACAGCAAGGGAGAAGGGAGAACAAGACCATCGGGATTATTGAAAGATGGCAAATCGATAAACAAGGTGGTCTGATGCCATAATGTTTCTGTGTTTCCGCACGGCCCTCCCGGCAAGCAGCCACCAGTCACGTCCCAGCAGCCCACGACGAATTGAATATCCCTGTAAGACTTTCCGCGGCGTTCGCCTTATCGTCGCCATCTCGAGAACAAGACAAATACCATGGCGTGTTCCGTGGGTTCTGATCAAGTGATGAGAGGGCTGACCAGCTGCAAATTGTTGAGCAACCCTCCCAGCGGACTTCCTCCTGGCCTTTTTTGCTCCTTTGCATTTTCAGGGCTGGATATCCCTCGTGGATGGAGCACAGACTCGAGCAAGAACGATGCTCTCAAAAATGAGCCATACACCGACCATACTTACCACAGAATTAGATCCTTCACTCCTCCCTATCTGGTGCATATCCGAGAGAACAGAGATGCTGTTTTATCCACACACCCCCGAGGCTTTCAAATCGTGTCATCCGTGGGTCACGCTATAGGAGTGCTGCGGAAGCAAGAGTCGCCTGCTTTGAGCGAGCATTCTCATGCATAGAACGGAATAGCCATGGTAAGGCCCATCGAGACCTGTTTCTGTGGAAGTGGCAACTGTTCGGAGGTCTTGGTTTCGAAGAATAGGGATCTGGTGGGAAACTCTCAGCTCTCAGCAAGATAGTACCGCCCTCCATTAAGACCACAGTCACGAAACTTTGAGGGGAACCTGCTTCAGCCAACACTACATCAACTTGAACGCCGACCATTCTTCTGATCCCCTGATGGGGTCTCTGACTCGCAGAAGATTTACTACTGGAACAAGGGGATGAAAATATGAGCCTAGATCCTTGTGAGACTTTAGTGATGGCTGTTCAGCAGGCAGTTGATGGATCAATCTGATATCCATAATGATCCTGCAAACAGCACCCACCTCCACAGGGCAGACTAAGAGGTTGGAAGACGATGGGGATAGGGGGATTACAACTTCAGCCTCACAGGTGAGTCCATCGCAACTGCTGAATCTAATCGAAGGCTCCTATAGTGTATCATCCCTCGTCACTTCAAAATTGGCCAAATCGACCTGCGCACAATAACCGACCAGGCTGTGCTGCCAGCAACAACATCGTCGCCTTCACGTTCTGTATACCACACATCTCTAAGCACAACACCGACCCACGCACAATTCAACTGGTCTCACGTTGATATTGGTAATACCCATTCCCTTTCTCTTTCTTTTTTCCTCTACTTGTCTTCTCTACCTCCTCCACCAACTTGACTCGCCAGTTTTCCCACATTTTGCACAGCCCACTTTCCGCCCATGTATAGCGCTTGAAGAGGTCCGATCCCATTATTACTGCTCCCACAGCCATGACACCGGCCGCAGCGCCCACACACGCTCTTGCCTCGTCCATACTTGTCATTGTTGCCGCATACATTGCAGCCTTTGCCGTTGCCTCCTGTCATTGTCAGCTCGTTGCCATCTGTCGGTATTCCGTTTCCGATCGGATCGCTGCAGGCTCGCCGGGAGCGGGTTTTGGGTTTGCTCGTGGGGCTGGAGCCCATTCTGAATGGTGTCGAATGTTTGTGGTCAGGCCGCGGCACACGGGTTTTCGGTTCCTTTGAGGAGTGTTCTCAAATCTGTTCGCAAACTTGGGATTGACGCTGTCACCGGTGCAAAAGATTGGGATCGAGGGCGTGTTATGTTTGATTGAAGCACACTCACCTGAAACACGCCTGGAAGCACTATTGCGTCAGCGGAGTGTCAGCCAAATGGGGGCGAAAAGGACGCCATGCTCGATGTAGCCTTACCTGGCATTTTCTATTTTGGGAGTCAAGCAAGGATTAAAGGTGGTTGCAAGTTCCTGGCTAGGACGGGGCCGATAGCGTCCAAGACATTTTGCTCAGACCCGTGAAAGTTTGGAAGTTGGCCCACCATATCCAGCTCTAGGCCAGCTTTCCTCATGGCTTAGATATGGATATGGAACTGGCGATTATCACAATACAGGGTAGAAGGTCAGTTTTGAGCGATGATATCGAATGAGGCTGCAAATGTCCGTTAGGTGAATATATGTTCCCCTCCCATTTTGAGGGCCATGATTTCAATGAAAGCCAAGAAAGATATTTCTAAACCACACGCAATGCTATGCTTCTCTGCATCATCCCATAGCCTTCTTATCCGTATCACTGTTAGTCACTCCTCAGTGCGAAACCGTGTACCTGATCCTGATAGATCTTGACCTCGGTGGGCACGCCGGGTTTCTCCAGGCCTTCTCTGATCTGCTCCATGGATTTTAAGTCTGGAAGACTATCCTTTTCGCCGACGGCGGCGCTGGTAGGTTTCGTCACCGGGTTGAGGTCGCTTGCAATAGACAATAGCAATGGATGACACGCATACGCGGCATCGATGCTGCCAATCTCGCCTCCCTTGCGCCCATGGCCCTGCAGGATGGCATAGTGGCCGCCCGAGCAGAAACCGAGTGCACCGATTTGTCGGTACCAGGGATCTTGCGCACCGTGTTGATAAAGCCACTGGTGATGGGTTCTGATACGGCTTCACGGTGCTTGATCGGCCCAGAGGGCCCGCATCAAGCATGAAGTCAACTGGGTCTTTCGCTTTGTCAAGCATGCCTTCCTCTTCGTTGACTTTCAAAGGAGGCTCGATGCTCTGCGGGAAGTCGATCGGTAAGGAGTCTCCCCCATGTATGTCAGGGATGGAGCAGTAAAACTCAGCTTTAGCGTAATCATTCGCCAACAGAGGGACATTCTTGAACTTGCCGCCGACAATATCGACAAGAAAGACCACTGATTTCGACTTGGATTTGTCGTTTGATTGCACAATGTACGTTGGCAGCCCGCCGATTGCGTCCTCGCGGCCTGTGGGCGTGGCGTTGCGCACGGCGCCTAGGGGGGGTATGTACTCATTCCGATTTGTGTTGGCATATTGTCCAAATTTTCCGAGGTACTATGGAGGGTTGGGAAAGGACATTGTGCACAAGTCAACGATTGTAACAGGAGATAGCAAAGGACAAGGGTTGTACTTTCCGTGGCCTAGCTACAACGATTGAAGCAGCAGAAGCCGAAGGTCTCTCTCCATGTCCAAACATGGAGGGATGGAATACCTTTTCCTTGTCATTACCAACCCACTCTACTTTTCGGGCATTGTTTCTTGAGCCAAATGAAAGGGATGAAAGTCCCCGGTATCCGTGTTGATGCCGGAAAAGATCTTGTGTTGATAAGCGCGATGACTTCATTTGGTTGCGGTCCAGGCGATCTAATCCTGAGCTTCAATTTCGCTTGAGATGTTGGTTCATGAGGGCAGTATTCGCGAAGTCAAAGGGCCTTGCTTAGCGCCGGGGGTACGCTTCTGGTTGGTAGTAGGCTGAATGATGAATCTAGGGACGACTCATCTCCCATTGAGTGAGAATCGGTTGCCGTGGTTGAGAAGATTTCTGAACATAGCGACGGTTGCCAGCCACGGGAGCAAACATGGCTAAAGGAGATGGATATGGATATGTCAGGCACGATGTTTTGGTCGTGTTAGTTAGGGACGGTGCTGGGGCGGCATATCTGCAGCCTCAACACGTGTCAAAGGGAGACACCGAAGAAGGATTTCACCGGTTGGAGACCACTTATTCTTCAACGAGGCTGAAGATTTCGTAGAGCGCGTTCCAAGTTTCGTGTTTCTGAAAATCGTGTCATTTAAGAATAAACCGTGGGTTGTTTCCAAAATTGGCCCCCGCGGGCGTTTTCATAGATCTCTCCCATTCGGATCATCATGAATCAAGAAGAGATGTGCTGAGTCTCCCTCCCCCTGAGAGACCCTTGACCAGAGAAACTAGTGATGTCGGAGCTTTTTCTGGTGAACTAGGAAAGGCGCGCGTCCATCCCCCGAAAACTCTCCGCGAACACGAGATAAACGGGGCCTAAAGGCTGACGCGAGATTAACCGGCGTCGTTGTCAGCCTAGACTTTCAGGGGCTTCGACATCAGAAAGTATATTAACATAGCCGTCCATATGACATCGGGCCGTTCGGATCAGTTTGGCGCTCAAAATCTTGCCATCTTCGATATCTGCTCCCACCTCCAAGTTTCCCGATGGATGGCCGATGATGGTGTTGGAAGGGTGTAAGTGTTTCGACAATTGAAAAGGGATGGTTCCTTCGATTTTACAGGCAACGCCCAGATTGAGAGCCAGAGTCACCGGGACAGCTTTGTGAGCTTGTTCCATGGAGAGAGCCTGACATGTAATGTCCATCGCATGATCACTCGATGGAAATAGGAGCACGATCTTAGGGATACTGCTGATTTTAGGGTCCAGACCCATCATTTCCGCGCCCTTTTGGCGGATGATCTCTAGCCGGTCGAGAAGTTCCTGATTGGCATTCATTTCGTCCGGGGAAGCTCCTCTCTTCCAACCAACATCCCTGCCATCAATGAAGATCCCCGGATTGCCGACATCGATGAGAGACGCTCGGATGACTTGGTCTCCGACTTCTATTTGGTTAACCGCCCCTCCGGTTGGCAATGCGCTATTGGTTTTGGATCCTTCCGGGTCGAGAAATGACAAAGTAATGGTCGAACCAGTCCCGGGAACGCCATCAATGGAGCAATGGCCCAGTTCCATATATTGCCAGAATCCGTTAATCCAACAGGCCTGGAAGGTAGACTCGATGATTTTCTTGGTATTTGTGTTTCTCATTCTCATGGTTATTCGGCTACCGTCCCCATCTTCTTCATTCTGAACCAGAGTCGGAGGAACTCCTCGATAAATGCCTGCATTCAGTGCAAATGGCCCGACCGCGGCGCTTAAATTGCCACAATTACCTGCCATATCCAATTTGCCATCTTTCACGCCTATTTGGAAAAAAGTGTAGTCGACGTCAACATCGGATTGGGTCGATGGCTGAACTATCATGGCCTTGCTGAGCGACGAGATGCCACCTCCCATTCCATTGAGTTGCCTCCCATATGGGTCCGGGCAGCCCATGATTGCAGCGAAGAAATTTTCCATCCTCTTGAATTGAGAACGCTCTGGAGAGTGGCTCGATGACAAGATGGATTGCAACCATTCTGGCAGATCCGAAAAGTTCAGGAAAACGCCTTTGGAGGTACCGCCTCTCCAGAAGGAGGCTTTTACGGCGCAAGGGAAAGGAGCGGCAGACATGGGTCTCTTCGCCTGGATATTGTCTGCTAGTGACAAAATGTCCAGACACACGCGTATTGATCTCTCGAGGTGTCCCAATGTGGAGGTGTTTGCCCATCGGTGTCCAAGCAGCATGGTCACAGGACAGAATGCGGCGGGGCAGCAACCGAGGGGTCTCAAAGCCAACGGATATACAGAAAGAATGATTCGCGTGCCGGGGGCGTTGGTGATTTTGAAACCAGGGAGTTGGGGTTACATAACCGGCGGGGATGGAAAAAGAAATAACTAAGGTGCGTACTAAGTATTCGTGGCAGATTTATGAGCCGTAAGGCTGACCAATCAAAGTGCGGGTAATTGGGAGAAGCGTCGATGATTCGGTGATATATTGTCGGTGGCTCAATTGCCTATACCCACACATTGGGCATTGGAGCCGGTTCAGACTTTAACAGCACATTTCCGACTACAAAATGCCACCTCCCAAGTCAAAAGAAAGAAACCAGCGGCAAAGATGGCCACCGCGCAAAACAGCTGAACTGCGTGAGAGTTTCCCTTGATCTCAGGATAGCACCTGCAGTGGGAGTCCCACAAAGAGACCCAAAGCTGTTCATAACCAATGTCATTTCCATCCGAGATCGGTTAGAGACTTCAAACCCCAAGGGCTCCAGGCTATATCTCAGTTTCCTTTGGCGGCAACAATGTACCAACTTGGCGACAACGATAGTCCAGTGATCGAGCCCCCAACACTCTAGGCGAATCTCCAGGCCCGGCTTGAATACTTCATTGGGAGACTTTCCAGGAGGGAAGCGAGCCTCGAGTTGCTCGAGATTGGCTTCGAAATGGTGTCTCTTACCCGGGCTTTGAGTGGCCCGTTATGTCCTATGCGGCATCTGCCAGAGAAATTCTATGCATGGGTCTTCCTACGCCCGTCAACGACGATTTTGCTAAGCAGGTCTAATGTCATACCGCGACTGAGCTTGCTGATGGGATTTCTTGATTGGGTGACCCCTTCAGCAGCATTATCAGGTGTGTGCTTGATCAGCCATTGAACGCGCGGAACGAAGTGGTGAGAGAAGTTCATCATGATTGGGGCATAGACATCCCCGTGAACATAAATGAGATCCTCAGTTTCGATTTGCTGGACATCTTCGACTGCCTATACAGGGGATTATAAGGCGAAAAGTGTGTCCTCGCTCGGCAGACCTGCCTTCCTTAAATCAGACACAGTCTCAGAGGGCTGTAAGAGCGGCGAGGGGATTCTCGTTAATACAAATTGCTTAATTGGCAGATCATACACCAACATAGGGCAGCATTAGAATCTTCCCAATTAGGGAGTTCACTGAGAACGGTGGCCTTCTCCATCCATCACGCATAACATATTCCCATTGCCCCTCCATCCTACTATGGGCTCCATCCAACCTTCGTCGAGTCCTCAATTCCTCGTCATTGGAGCCGGATCACGAGGGCACGCATATGCCCGCGCCGTCGAAGCCTCCACCTCCGGATCCATTGCTGCCGTGGCCGAGATCGATCCCTTCAAGCGTCGAGAATTTGGGGAAAGGTATATTTGGGGCAGGAACGGTGAACCTCATGAACATCAATCTTTTGCGGGCTGGGAGGATTGGGTAGCATGGGAGACACAACGAAGGCACCACGCAGTGGTTCGGGGGACTCAGCCAGGCTATCAGCCCATAACCGGTGTCTTCATATGCACTCTGGACGAGACCCATGCACCTATCATTCGTGCCATTGCCCATTTCAACCTCCATATCCTTTGCGAGAAGCCTCTCGCCCTCTCCTTGTCCGATTGTCTCTCTATATCTTCAGCATTGTCAAAATATCCGCCCAAGGTATTCTCCATCGGCCATGTCCTCCACTACTCGCCACATAATATACTTCTGCGCACGCTCCTGACATCCGACCAAGTCATCGGCGAAGTTGTTTCAATCGAACATACCGAGCCTATTGGTTGGTGGCATTTTTCGCACTCATACGTGCGAGGAAATTGGAGACGATCCACGCCAGAGGGTGTTGGCTCGTTGCTCACCAAATCTTGCCATGATATTGATTTCTTGCTCTGGCTTCTTTGTGCACCAAGTCGCCTAACAGGCGAGAAGCCCCATTTTCCTTCCACCATATCGAGCACCGGAGCCATCACACAATTCCGCCGAGCAAGAAAGCCCCAAGCCGCTGGTCATTCAACCAACTGCCTCTCTTGCCCCGCTGAATCGGATTGCATTTACTCCGCGAAGAAGATCTACCGTGACAGATGGCTTCGGAAGGAGCGAGATACAGGCTGGCCACTGAAGATTGTGGTGCCCGAAATCGAAGATATTGTAACAACGAAGGGCTGGAATGCGGGAGAAGAAAGGCTGATGCAGAAACTCGGCGAAGATTACGATAAATCTACTACTCCAGACGCGGAAATTGCCAGCAGAAGCTGGTACGGTCGCTGTGTGTATGAATCGGACAACGACGTCGTTGACGATCAGACCGTCACGATAACGTGGGATGATGAATCCCTTCCCGGGAAAGCGCTCGGTCGAGGACCGAAGCAGGCCCTTTTCCACATGGCATATGCCACCCAGGCACAATGCGAACGACGAGGAAGGATATATGGCACATTGGGAGAGATCACCTATGACTCTCACACAATCACCGTCCACCGTTTTGCCACCGGTGAAACAACCGTCCATGATATCCCCAAACAAGCTCCGGAGGTGGAGAAGAGCCATGGTGGCGGCGACTGGGGGCTCGCAGGCGCTTTCGTCCAATCCGTGCACAATGTCGACGGTGGCACCATGGACGTTGCGCAGGTACAACGAGAACTTGTGGGCTGTGATTTAGAAGAAATCATCATAAGCCATGCTGTCGTGTTTGCTGCCGATGAGGCGAGACGGGAAAAAAAGGTCATCGACTGGGCTGAATGGTGGAAGAGAAATGGACAAATGGTGGAGTGACCAGACTCTTAGACATTTTCGGACCTCGATTCCTTTGATGGGTTTTGATTTACGTCTGACGAATTTCGCGAATGCAACGATTTACGACGACCATGATGACGAGGAAGGACATCCAAAGGCAGGTAACCTCACCACACAGTGCCCCCCCAGGCCCACGGTACAGAGAGGAAAGGCACATTGAGTAAGTATTATCAACTACCGCGTTACAATGGATCGAGATGTCAAATAAAGACATAGTCCAAAGCCTGTGTTTTTGGCTGACTCAGCTTTCTTTCTGTGTCCAGTTCGACAAACTGCCACCCCATAGTCGGCTTTATCTTCTTCTCCCTTCTCGCTCTGCAAACCGTGACCAAACTCCTCAATCACCGGGCTTCACTCCCTGTACAACGGGCGCCGTCTACCTTGCCCACGTACATCTCTGGTTTGGCCGAGTCCAATTGACACTTGGCATCACCAACGACGCTCTGGGTGTTCAATTCGTAAAGGGTCCTGAATAGCCACGGACAATCGAAAATTGTGTACGGCGCACCGCGGCGCTCCTCTGCATCGTGTGCTTCAGTATCCTGCTTGTCTCGGTAGAGTTGAGGAGGATGGCGAGGACGTCGTGCGTTTTGATGAGATGAGGAGTGGTCCCGCCACTCCGGATCAAGGGCAAAGTCAAGCTAGTACGAAGACCGCTGCCGCCTCTTCTACTGCGGTGCAGACTCAGGACGTGCAAGGAGATATCGCTGCTGCAGAGGAGGGGCATCGGAACGGATCACCGAATCACAGTCAGCGTTGTGGTCATGTGCGTGGTGATTTACCAGTTATGTGGATCGGCCTACTGATTCTTGGGCTGTCCTAACGATCTGGAAAATGTCAAAGCTTGGAATGATCTGTGCTTATGTGTGGAATCTAGATGAAATCTCTGACAGATGATTACAGTCGTGCTTTTGCATTGCTCATGGCTTACATTTATTCTCTGACGCTCTAACTGCATCCCTATACAGGCAACGCTCCATCTCTTGGTCTATCCATCCTCCTTTCCCGTGGTGTCGTGTTCTATTGCGCACGTGAACATTTCACAGAGAGAGGGGGGCTTGTTTATCGCCCTCCAATCTGGTGCTTCGGCACAGGTCTGATCCAAGAAACAGCTACATTCATGGCAATCACCATGACGCCAGAGATCCAGAAACTGGCAGCGTAGTCTTTGCCGTGGAACCGGAAGAGGATCGCAAAGCAGACACCACCCAAATTGCCTGCGGCGCCGGTGAGGCCCGATAGGATGCCGTTGGCGAAGGGATGGACGTGGGGTACCAGGGCAAAGTTGGCGCCGTTGCCGGCCTCAAGAAACACGGCCATGGCAGCGATAAGGCCGAAGAGCGTCGCCTCGTCGTGCGGGTCAGTCAGGCCGATGGCAATGAGAAAGGCGCCGGAGACAACGCCCACGAACAGGATCCAGATTTTCTTCACCCACGTCGACTTAGTATATCTGTAGAGGATATCGGCAACGACGCCACCTAACGGGCGCGTCACAACGTTCAACAAGCCGAACATACTCGCCCAACGGCCTGAGCCAGTCTGGCCGAGTTCCGGGAAATTCTTCAGATAGTATGCCCCAAGATATGAATTGATCGCTAGTTCGCCACCGAAAGAACAGAAGTACGTCGCGCAGTGGAAGAGAGCCTGCAGGGAGAAGATGACGTTCAGAGCCTCTTTGAAGGTCGGTTTCTGTATCACTTCTCCCCGAGCAATGTCGAGCATTTCTTGCGACGAGAGATGAGCTTCTGGGTTGTGAGAGGTTGGGGCCGTGGCGCCTTTCGAATCAACTTTTTCCATGTCGCGGTTCGGCGTCGAACTGCCGCTTGGTTCATGGGAAATGCCCTTCTCATCGGTGGTGATGCTGAGGCCGTGAGAGGAAAGAAGTTGAGAAGTATGAAGATGTCGCTCGCTCCATTTGCCCGTTGGAGTGTCCGGACAAAAGAGCGTCATGCCTAGAGCGGTGGCGACGATGAGAATGAATGGTACGATGAAGGCAACTCGCCAGGCTACATGCTCTGAAAGTCCTTGGTGATTCACGAGGCCTGTGCAGTAGGTTGGTATACGTGTCTCAAGTGGAGTCTGTAGAAGGCTGTTTCTTACTGTTGAAAATCACAGGCATGAGGAAGTAGGTAATACCTCCACCAGAATTGCCCCAGCCTCCAATCAACGCATTGGACGTTCCCACCACGTTCTTGTCAAAAAATGCGGTTGACCAGACTTGACAAGGTACGAAAGTACCTCCAAGAATGCCGACGAAGAAGCGGATCGTGATCAAGCCGGCCACACTTGAAACGGTGCCAGACAGAGCAGTGGGAATTGATCCCAGGAGCAGGGTGCCGATGAATGTCCATCTTGCACCAAACCGGTCACAGCAGGGACCGGCGACGAATCGAACCAGAAGCGTGGCCGTTAACGCAGCGATGTTGGAATTGGCGACGTCCACGGTGGACATGTTGAGATCCTTTTTGATGGTGACGGTCATCAATGGAGGGAAAGCGTACCAGGACCAGAAGGCGATGAAGAATCCGAACCAAGAGAAGAAGAAAACTCGGCCATATTTGTCGAAAGGGTTGAGGACAGGGATCGACCGTGCTTTCTGGTTGACAGGATTGACTTCTGGCGCACGCCAGAGAATTGAGATGGGGATCATATTGTTCGATATGTTGACAACGGGATTTCTCGCGGACGTTATGATATGGAACAGGAGCCTTCAAGACAATGACAAGCGGGCACCGGCTGCAGGATGGAAACGAGTTTGTGAAAGTGCGTCTTCCCGTCAATGTCGACTTAGGTTACTTTGGTGCAGCAGTCACATTCCGTAAAGATCACACGGGATTTATATGTCTTTTTTTTTTTTTTTTTTTTTTTTTTTTTTTTCCCTCCAGAGTCGATCCAAAGCCACAGGAGGTGGTCGAGGCTGCCATGGCTCTTTTGCCGAGATGGTTATCAGGGTCGCCAATGCGCCAAGGTGCCGTATCAAACTGTACCAAGAAATGGAACGATGTCGAGCATCTCATCCAAATCCCATTCTCCGCGCATCTTCGTGTTGCTTGATAATACAAGGATCGATTTTGATAGGTGAACATGGAGGAGATCCTGTACTTTGATATCATTCTCCGCGGTTTGAACATCGTCTTCTTGCTGTCACGATCGCCGCCACGGAGATCTCAAACCCTGAGTCTTAATGATACTCGAGTTTGGAGCACATGCCTGGACATCTTGAACATGTTTAGACAGTCTGTAGTGTCGGTTTTACTTTGGTCGAGCTGTTTCCGATTCGTGACTTTCAACGCCGTCGTGAACGTACCTCGATTCTCCCAATTTGAGAGTGTCATTGCCTCGGAGCTTTCAATACACAGCATCAATGCTGGAACGAAGAGCTGAATTTAGCGGATCCCCCCAGAAATAATAATAATATTTCCGTGGATTTGACCACTGGAATATTTCTCCCATTCGCTCGTGCCATTCTAGGGAAAATGCATTCTCGAGCAATCGAGATGGACTTGGAGACTATCGACGCCGCAAACTGTCGCACGAGCCAAGGTGTTTAATGCATTCTCTGCTCTCAAGCGGCCAAATTGAGGCCGAGAAACAAGACGATTATCTTGAAACGGGAAGGAAGAAATATCGGTGGAGAAAGGCTGTGGTGTTATTGCCAAGGGGAGATCCAGCGCCAAGTGGAACTAGAAGAATGTCCAGAGATAAGAGACAGTCTGCTTATACAACTGCTTCTCCGAGGCCTCGAGGCGCGCGGTTTTCTGATTTTCAAAATCATTGGACGTCAGGGGTTGGCCCTTCCTCAGGCGCCCGGTCTGTAGCAATTGCTGGACCGATTGGTGATTCTGGTCAAGCTCTTCTTCTCGCGTTGCACATATTTTGTCACATAGGCCCGTCCAATCACTGTTCGTAAAGCCATCGATTGGGTTTTGGGATTGAATAAATTCGCCATCACATAAGAATCAACAACCTCAAAATTGTCCAGCCAAAGATACCGGCATAGGCATTCGCACAGATCTGCGTACGTGGTGATCCCCAATGGTTTAGCAATCCTCATGAATGTCCAAGCACACCATTCTGTATCATCGGCGTCGACAGCACAGACAATCCCCACGGCACAGATCCCAAGGATAAGTTCCCAATAGGCGTTGCTTCGACTGGTGGTTTCAAAGTCGTTCATCTTTCTCGCATCTTCACTTCCTTCAGGTTTGTCGGCCGAACTCATCATTCCAACCGGAGGATGGCAATAATGCGGCATTCTTTGGTCGTGACTTCGACACTTGAGCCCTGGTCTTCGGGCATCTGACAGACCAGGTGGAATGCGAGCTTTTGACTTCATTCCACGATCTGTACCGTCATTTGGTCAACCCCGGAGGCCGGGGACGCGGAAGCTCCTGACGAGCATTTGTGAGCCTTTCTCGACATGATTCAGCAGCTTCGGCGCAGGCTATGATGTCTTGGATGATCTCAAGGGTAGTAAGGTCTAGAATGTCCGTGTGCAAGAAGAAGGCCGAACCGACAAACGTGCCTAATGGCTGCTCGGAAGCGAGTCTGGTCTCAATTGCCTTGAAGGGCGCTTGGTGCTCTTGCCACGTGATCGGCAAGGTTGGCTTTGAAAGAGATGCCGTGGCTGTGAAGTGGTCGATATTGCGGAACAACGTCCGGATGTGAGGGTTGAGAAATCTTTCGGCTTTCATGGACTTCAATGCTTGAAGATGTGCTCGTGTGCCTTCGACGTTGAAGCAATATAGTTCATAAGCAGCGAGAAAGAGCATGTCTAGTGCGTGATCGTCTGTCCGCCTGTTACCATCCTTCAGACGTTTTCTAAGACCTGCGATGGCCTTTGCTGCATGCTGCTGGGCTGTGAACTGACGTGTTCCCGGTCCGGCATTGTGGACAATCTGCATCCTCATCGTGACTGCGGCCATGAGGGCATTCATGTGCAGATCGTCCTTCAAACACATGTGAATGACTTCGCCTACGTCCACAACGTTCATCTTCGGTCGATGACCGTCAAATGAAGGTGATTGAAATGTTGTCAAGGTCCAAACAGTCTCGAAATACCGTATTCGCCAGAAAATACCAAGGTGCATTTCCACAGTGGAGGTAGAGAATGAATCCAATGAGGAGCCTGCTGGAATGATACCTTTTTTCCTGCATTGAACCTCTCTTCTGTACCGTTAGATCCGGGATTGTCTCGTCGTCTAGAGAGGAGATCTGAGACATAGATGTGTCGTCCTCCAATGACCACTGCTCCCTCGACACAGATCGGATAATTTGGAAGCAAATCGAATTAGGATCTCCGTACCCCCCCCCCC